TTTTCATGAGCGAACTTTCTCCTTCTATGAGAATTTGGCCTCGTTTAGCAGCTTTGATCTTGAAAAATTCCGGTTTTAACAAAATGCGGTCAGAATTATCGTTTTCTACCCCCCCTCTGTGGTCTTCTCTCCGAGATAGATGGTCGGCTTTGTCATTGACTACACCAGGCTTGTGTTGGAGCGTAAATTCGTACTCCGCCAGGAACAAACTCCATCTGGCTTGCCTTCTTGTCAATTTTTGACTCGTCATAAAGTACTCGAGGTTCTTGTGATCTGTCCAGATCTCCACATGTTGGGGTTTTCCCTGCACATAGTGCCTCCACTCTTCTAACGCACGAATGATTGCTAATAACTCTTTGTCGTGGATGTCGTAATTTCTTTCTGCATCATTCATCGACTTTGAGTAATAAGCCACTGGGTGCCATAGGCCATCTTCCATCAGTTGAGATAGAACTGCTCCTGTTGCGTAATCTGAAGCATCGGTTTCTATTTTCATTTTCTTCTCAACATCTGGCATTACTAAGACGGGAGCTTCTGTAAAACGCTTCTTTAACTCATCGAAGGCGTTTTGCTGTCTCTCTGTCCAATCCCATTTGGCATCTTTTCTTAGCAAATCATTCATTGGTCTGGCAATGTCTGAGAACCCAAGTATAAATCTTCGATAGAAGTTGGCAAAACCCATGAATGCTTGTATTTCTTTTACGCATTTGGGAACAGGCCATTTCAATACTCCTTCTACCTTGACGGGGGTCCATGGACACACTGCCTTTTTCCACAATCAACCCAAGGAACTCGACTTTAGACTGCTCGAAGCTACATTTCTCAGGCTTCAAGAACAGGTCGTTCTCTTTTAATCGTTTGAGTACTTCTCGCACGACTTTCTGGTGTTGCTCTCTACTTCCATTCGTAAAGACCAAGATGTCATCGATATAAACGACCACTGTTTTGCCGTCTATTAAATCTCTGAATATTTCATTCATCATGGTCTGGAAGGTTGCTGGAGAGTTCGTCAACCCAAAATACATTACAGTTGGTTCGTGGTGACCAAAAGGCGTTTTGAAAGCTGCCTTCCATTCGTCTCCTTCTTTCATCCGAATATTATTATACCCCCATTGTACATCCATCTTGGAGTACATCGTGGCACCAGTAAGGGCATCAATCAGGTCTTGAGATCTCGGTAGCGGATACGCGTTTTTAACCGTCTTCTCATTAAGCCTTCTATAGTCCATAACAGGTCTTAGTTTGCCATCTTTTTTGGCCACAAAGAAGAAAGGTGCTGCAACTGGAGATTGTGAATCTCTAATACGTCCTAGTGCAGTCTCGGCTTTTAACCAATCTTTCAAAGTGTCCATTTCCTTCGGTGACAAGGGGTAAGGTTTCGCGTTCGGAGGAAGATCATTGTCGTCCTTAAGATCCACAGCATGATCCCATTTCTTTCTTTCAGGGAATCGTTTGGACTCTTCTTCTGAGAACACTCCCAGGTAATCGTGAAGCCAGTCTGGAACCATTTCTTCCACAGACTTCTTTTTCTTCGTAGCTTCTTCTGCTACCTTCTGCTCCGTGGCAACCGAGGCTTTATATCTAATCCATCTTTCAGGACTATCCTCGTCTTCTACCTCTTCACAGGTCGCCTTCTTCATCTCCATGTCTTCATCGTCATCCTCTTCTGTGGGAATCAGATCCGGAACTACATCTGTCTGTTTTTGTGTTTTTCTGTTTTCTCTATTTTTTTGTCTTTGTTCTTTTTTCGTAATACATTTAAGCGGACATCTAGATAGTGAAAACTGTCCTGCATTCCAGTCTATTTCTGGATTGTGATATCTTAACCAGTCAATGCCGATAATAACGTCATCGTTTCCTAAGTCTGTAACCATGAAGGCTGCTTTGTCTTCTACATGATCACCGATCTTTAGACTTAGTTCGGCGAAATGAGTCATTGATCCAGCGGCATTTAAAGAACCATCTATGTTCTTTACCGGAATAGGCCTTAATAATTTACGGCATATTACATCATTCTTCTTTACAAACTTTTCGTTGATAAATAATGTTGATGCACCGCAGTCCACAAGTGCTTTTACGTCTGCTTGTCGATTCTTTCCTTTCAAGGTAATCGGAATGTAAAAATGCTCTGATTTCGATCGCAAATATACTTCTGTTACATCCGAGAACGTAGATAAGATGGAGAAACGATTGTTCGGGTCCAAGTCCGCAGACTCTAACTCAGACCTCTCTAAAAACCCTTATCTCCTTTGGCTTTCACATAGTCTTTAAACCATTGGGGCATCGAGTCTTCTTTTGGCACTTCAGTAGCCTTCACTTGCGCTTTTGGAGCGCCTTTGCAGTTTCTTGCCATATGGCCTTCTTCACCACAACGGTAGCAGTTGAAAGAACCAGTCTTTCCTTGAGGTTTGGGAGCTCCTCTCTGCTTGTTGGCGTCGACGTCCATGGCGTTACTGTCTCTGGGACCAGCCCTTGGTTCGAAGTTTCTTGCGGCCCTGTTAGGGGTCCAAAAAGAAGTTTTCTTCTTCTCCGCATCTAACTCCTCGAAGTTTCGTCCTATTTGGATCGCATGCTCTATCAATTTCTGCATGTTATCTTTGTCCTTGTAGGCGATATGAGCGAGTTGCAATTTGACACGGTCTTGCAGTCCTGCTCTATACTTCTGTCGTAAGTCATAGTCAGAGAATCTGGTGTGTGCAGCTTTTTGTTTGAAAGTAGCTGTATACTCTGGGACGGTAGAGGATCCTTGTCTTAAGGAATCCAATTCCCGAACTGCCTTGCCTTCAAGGTCTTCTTGTGCCCACATGGCGGTGAAGTCTTCATCTAACTTCTTCATAGTGAGAGTTCCAGTGGCATGTTCTTCAATGTAGGACTGCGCCCATTTAGCAGCAGATCCCTTCATGAACGAAAGCATGTCACAACCCTTTTAACGAATTAACGCAGGGGCGGAGACTAGGACTCAAACAAAGGTTATCTAACAAAGAAGAAAGGATAGCAGGGACGTCTTAGGATTGCTAGCAGTAAGCTAATACAAAAGAGGTTTGAACTGGAGAACTACTGACTACAATGAGCTACCTATATACATATATTGAAGCGGAGACTGAATCTGAATCTGAACTAACTAGCCAATCATTAAATAGGAAAGGGAATCGTACGATGTTCTAAATATAATTACACTATGATGTCATAGAACGTGTGATAGCAGTGCAAGGGTTCTTGAAGGTTCTAGAGTCACGTGACTTGATTGCTTGAGTAAGGAAGTCGAAATCAGGGATATCGGATATAGAAGTAGTAGGCGCTAACGGAATAGAGAAGTTCGGGTTAGGGTTTGGAAAGGTTATAGGTACAGACGCTGACTGAGCGCTAACAACAGGCGCTTGTGACGGGCGCTTAATGGGTGTCTTACGAGTATTTAGGAAAGAATAATGGTTTGTATTTGGAACTCGTGACATCACCCCTTTAGTTGCGCTCTATAGCCCCTATTGACTTTCCTTACCCTTGCAATCAATACCTTTGATCTCACTCACTATCCATTACCCCCCTTTGACTCAGTGTCCGCTTTCTTGACTTCTGCTCTTTCCCGCACATTAGCGCTCTATCTTGCGATGCGCTATTCCCACGCTTTAGCACTCTTTCGATCTTGAGTTGTCCTTAGTAGCATTTCCCTCAGGTCGAATGTTCTTGCTTTATTGTTTGCAAGTATAGCAGCATAGGCAGAGCCTAGACATATACTGGCTAAGTATTTTTACAAGTGCCTAGTCAGGTTGTGTTTTTCACAGTGGTTCCAGCGCTCCCCCAATACCATTGCCAAGTGAATACTCAGTATGTCAGCTCATTGGTATCCCTCTCAAATGTTTCATGTAGGTACTTCAACCATCATGGGAGTAAACTTAAGGAACAGAAGAATGTAAAACTTACGAACACCAGCTTCAATGTTAGATGGCATGCATGCAAAGCATCATACAGCCTGACCCAAGAAGTCAGTATGCCTGTTTTACTCAAAGAGTCCAACAAACATTACCTGGGGGATCTATGCTGCAGATAATGAGATCTCTCAAGTCCACACAGTCTCTCCATTCTGGAATCGCTGCACTCTCAGTGCGGGACACCCCATTGCTCGCCTTCTGGTGGCAACCAGTCCAGAATCGCCTTTCCAAAGAGCCTATATGACACCTCAAACTCTAACAAGAGACTCTCTTGCTCAGTCTCTTTGCTTTCTGCCTTTCCAAGTGTACAAACAAAGTGACCGTCCGGGTAACAAGGAGTAATTCCCCTACGGTCGATATTTTGTTTCCAACGAGTGACAGTGCTTGGCACGCATGTAGCCAGATGTCAAGGCTGGAGTAGCAAACAATGTTTGAAGCCCGATTGATGTAGCATTACTTGAGGTGAGACTTGTAGTAGATATGACAAACACATCTATGTCAAAAGCACATATGAACCTGCTAAATATAAAAGTAGGATAGGAACATATGCTCTCCAGTTGTGCTTAACAATGCCGACCACTCATGTATACTAACTAACTAACCCTAACAGGATGTATACTAACCACTAACCCTAATTCAAAGTCCAACAATTATCTAAGGTTACCGTTTTGGGTAGAGGTGCATGTGCGAGGGGGTCATGTGCATGTGCATGTGCAGTGTGCAGTGTGCAGTGTGCAGTGTGCGGTGTGCGGTGTGCGGTGTGCGGTGTGCAATGTGTGCACCCAACTTTGAGTGTCCCTATTAATTGATTTTGCAATGAAAAGGAATTTACTTTCATGCCCCACGATGGCTTCAGCTTTTCCTTGGAAAGTTTTTACACCTCAGGTGTATTGACTCATCCTGATGATACTCAGTTGAAGCTGCTAGTCGTGTCTACTAATAGACTTGTGACCAGTCTGATGTATGTCCTTTGAGAGTGGGAAATCTTGACATAGTCAGACTGGTCAATCTCAGAGAAATTTGGCAGGCGAAGCACGGAGTTTGAAAATTGCAGGTGCCGTTTGTGCCGACACCATGTCGTTGTCCATACAGTTCCAGCAAGTACTCAAAGCCTTCACAAACCTTGATTTCATCTTGAAAGAGTCCAAACATGTGATTCTCCGAGCAGCAACAGGCTCTGGAAAGACACTCTGCATGATTTTACCATTGCTTCTCTCCTCCAAGATGATGGCTATCATGGTTACACCTCTAAAATCACTTCAAAAAGATCATGTACGCTGAATATTTGAATACTACTCTCATCACATGGAATTTGCACTTCTGGATTACAGGTCAAGGAGTTTGAGGAGTATGGGATTTGTTCGATCACAATTTGTTTTGTCAACCGCATCGGTTTTTTCTTCATTGATGAAGCACACTTCATTTCCACTGCTGGATAAACTCAACCAGGCAAGAAGGTTCCATTCCGTGCAGCCATGCTAGGCTTGTCTGAGATGGTGTTCAGCAGGAGGTCCATGGCTGTCATCCGCATGCCACGGAGTATCTTCAGCAATGAGAGAATTTTTTCCTCTGTGTCGAGGGCCGTGAGGGTCCACTGTCCATGCTAAAGATTCAGATGGTGGAGCATACTGCAGTGGTGGTGGATAATATGGAGCAAATGGTATCATTTGCAGGATCCTATTTCAATTTTAGTGCTGCAGCACAAATCGAGAAAGATGCGGTACTCTACGAACAAAAGTTTCTGTGCGATTGATAGTCAACTGTAAAGTCTATGTCACAGACTATGTGGCACGCCGCACTATTACTTCGACCGGCACAACCGGCACTTGCACATTTTCAAACTCCGTGCTTCGCCTGCCAAATCTCTCCGAGATCGACCAGCCTGGCTACGCCACTCGACTTGTCCGTGGTTATATAAGCCAGGCTGGTATCGAGCCTAGGTCTACTAGTAGGTAGGTGAACCGGTGTTCGCTCCTTTCCTAAGCATGCGAATCCTCACCGGTGCCTCCGGTCCATGCTTGGTCCTGGACTCGAAGGCGGTGCTGTCACTCTTTTTCAAACCCTGTAGATATATATTATTTCTAGCAAATACTCCAAAGCGCAGCACTCTACACTATGATCTACACAGTAGTAGTAGTTTATATTTTCACTACCGAATACTAAATCTCTTTCGTGCGATCGAGCCAGTCTTAACTTCGTGGCTGATAGCTATTCCGAATCTTCTCCATGTCTTTCCTTCATCATCGCTTGCCAATAAAAGCCAGAACCACCAGTTGGGAACTTCATCAAACGACCAACTCTGCTCCCCAAAGGTTGCTAATACAACTTCGCCCCGTCTCTCTTTCGCTTTCTGATTCAAAAACGCCAATCTTTCCTTGCGCTCCTTATCTGCGATCTGCTGTCGAAAGGTAGGCGGACCAAAGTGGGAAGGTTCGCGCCCGCTATTGGAAGGTTCCAATATCCCCCCGACAATATATATTCCGGTTTGAGGCGGCCTTTGGCGGAAGAGCTCAGCATAGCGTGGCATGAGGTGGATATCGATATTGAGATCATCGTGCTCTACAGCAATCGACGCGAAACTCAAGTTTATGGCAACTTTCTCCACTTCGAGATAGTGCATAGACATGTGAAGTATGCCCTCAGGGTCAACATGAGGCGAGATTTCGGCATGCGGCGTAACGCCAAAGATATCCTTTGGCTGCCAGCCAAAGCCCGCAGGCAGCCACGAGATGCCGAGACCGGGTTCATCCCTCTCGTAGATTTCATGCTGGAGCGTAAGTAAAGCAGATAAATCCCCGTCTCGAACTCTCAAGTAGGCAAATATGGCGAGAATGATTCCTGGTGAAAGTTGATAATCCACCGGAAGCGAGTGGCGAATTTTTGGGGGGAATAGGCCGAGAATACCGTAGACGTTGTCATGAAGGAATGCGCAGTCTCGCTTGCGACAGTACTGCAAACAGAGTTCAGGTGACATTGGGCGATCCCAATCTGATATTGGGAGAGAAATGGGAAATTCATCGCTCGTTATGCTGAGAAGGAGACGTGAGCGTGACGAAACCGAGTCGCTAGTCTTGAACATTTCGTTGGCGTCGATTCGGATGTTTCTAGCGCGGACTACAACTTTTCTGGCCAAGTACGTCTCCTGGAAGACCCAGACCCGTTTGGCATGATACCCCTTCATCCAAGTTATAATCCTGCGCCAAGCTTGTTCACTTCTGGATTCTGACCCTGTGTCATCTTCGGGAGGGTCTTTGGCGGTAGCATAGCGCCGGCGTAGCGCTTCGGATACAGCAACGCAGCAAGCTGCATTGCTGTAGTAGTCGCTCATCCTTGGTATCTCGTGCGCGACATCTTCTGGATCTGCTTGGTTGACGCAAATGCTGTCCATCCAGACATACTCAAGACCCATCAACAAAGCTTCCCTGGCAGCAAGGAAAAATATCTCTTGTAGATATTCCCGAGATAGCCCTGCCGGCACTTCCGACGGACAATGCAAACGATCCAACTCCCTTTCCTCTGCATCAACTGCCTGAACGATGTTTGGATGCATGAGACAAGTCAGACGGAACCAATTGTCGAATGTGGGTGCCTGGGGTATGTCATCCCACAAACCACAATAGTGTTCTGGACTCGGAGCGTCCGAAAATCTGTCTGGATTCCAAAGGTAGGATGCAATGACATAGCGCTTCGTGGTATCATTCTGGATGGTTTCAACTTGTCCCGTGAAGATGTTGATCAACCTTGTGGGGACATGCCTAGGGGCTGATAATGCATCTGTATTCTGATCTAGTGTATCGAACTTTTGCATCGCGTTGACCCAGGCTACCCGAGCCCGGTCGGGTTTAGCAATGGATGACGGGCCATCCGAGTTCCTTGATGATCTGAGTATAACTTGAAAGAGGGTTCGTAACCAGCGAAATGCTGCCAACAAGTAGCTAGAAGCAGGATGAGTTGACTCGACTCTCCCGGACGGGTTCATATGATATACCTTAGCATTTGGGAAGTAAGCTCATCCAAATGCGTACTAGTGGGTTCAAGTTGAAGCCAAAACGATCGAATCGAGAGACTGAGATTGCCGGAGGATAATATAAATTGGGGTAGTAGAAGTAGTACGGTATTGCTCACTGCAGCTAGTCAGCTTCAAGTTGGCCACGAGTTGGTGTTCCGCCGGCAGGCCACATCATACAACGTGGCTACTGGTTGGCAGTCCCAGATTGGCAGGAAGGTTTGATTACTACGTCACGGTCTACGTCGACGACTTGAGTGTAGACTGTCTGACTCATGTACGGAGTTTTGAGTAAAGAAGGTTAATTTATTGATGTTGCTTCTCCAAGTCATCTAACGCTTACTTCAAGTATTGCAGGCGCAAGGACGCCCACCCGTAGCCGATGCGGAGAGAACAAGATTAAGTTAAAATAATTGGACCAGCCAAACGATGTCTAAAGGAAGGAACTAGAAGCAATTTCAAAGCAAATGATTACGTCGGACCTCACATTGACCTAAGTATTTGTTTACATAAATATCCGAATTTTGATCCATTTTCCTCTGGATGACGCAGTGTTGGTAAAAATATCCCAGGCTGTCCCAGAAGTAATTTAATAAAATAACAGAAGAAGAATTCGAGTCTTCGTACACATACTATGTGAAATCCATTGCTTGACCATCCAATATAATCCTGACAAGAAGGAAGGAATGGTACATGATATGTCGAAAGACTTGTGCAATTCGGACCAAAGTTGCACCCGTCTCCAGCTGGTGCGGTGATCATCCGAGAACGTATCGTAAATGATGTCATGGAAAGCAAGTAGTACTATTGAACAGCTAGTCGAACTGGAGTTATGACCGTGAAAGCGTGCTACTAGCCGGCTCTGAGTTTAAGCTTGATTCAAGGTTCTCGACATCAACGTTGTCAACGTTCGCATACATACATAGTATGATTTATGAGCAATATATGACTCTTGTATACGGCAGCACCTGAGAACGACTTTATACTTTTCCCGCAGCTTCTTTGTTCTGGACAGGATGAAGGTTTTTTCAAAATACTCTAGTATGGCTATCAACCTTCCATCAACAAGTCCCACTTTTTTTCGTTTGATAAGCTCTTCAGGTCTCAACGTTCAATCATGTACTTCCTCTCTCGACGCTCTGCGGAGCCATCAAGGCCATCTTCTGATCTGGACATAGCTGGAGGGAGAAGCGCTGCAGCAGATACTAGTACTGTTCCCCAGGAGAAATCTCCAAGTCGTGTTCTTAAACGCGTCACCACCCTCTTCAACCCTCGCAAACGAACTTTGTCCAAAAACACCAGCCCCGCGGGCGCCCATGGAGCAGTTGGATTCATTCATGATGCCGCTGCAGCATATCCCCGATCCTCTAGTGATTCCTCCATTCCATCACCAGACGAAATTAGGAGACCCAGCGGCCTGGGACGCAGGGCCAGTTTAATGGAGTCTTTACAATCACCCAGCGATCTAGACCGGTCAAATGAAAATGGAGGTGAGGCAAGAGTGTTCAAGTCTTTGCCCGTTTTATTGAAGAATCTATCACAATCATTTCGTGCAGAATTGTTTGCAGAACACGCAACATATACAGGCGTTGCTATCCAGAGCCTTCCTGTGGAGCTATTGGAGGCAATTCTGTCTTTCTTGCCCAAGTTCGATTTACCCCGTATTGCCCTGGTTTCGGCTCAACTCTGCGACGTGTCACGTAACACATTATATCGGATACTCGACTTCCAATCGATATCAGAGCCACAAGTTGAAAAGCTTTGTCGAACCCTTGCCACCCATCCGTCTCTCGCTGCAAGGGTCCAATCTTTCTCATGTCACTTTTGGCCAGCGACGACGTCATCTGACGGACATCTTATACCCTCTCTTGATCTCACGACCGCATTGCATAATATGTCGAACTTGGAATCTCTTACCCTACGGACATTTGTTCCAGTATTTTCCCAGTCGCCTTCTCTTTCTTTCCGATTGAAGACACTCGTCATCCTGGATGACACAATCTCTGTGGAACAAATCATCGACATTCTACATTTCCTCAGAAATCAATCCTCCCTACAATATCTAGCCTTCCCTAACGTCGTCGAGAACCCATTCTTACCCGAATCTTCCTTCCATCAACACATATTCGCATCTGGTCTCGCACGAGAAACTATATTGCCATCACTCTCTCAACTACATGCTCCTCCACGACTCATGATGGCAATATGCTCCTTACTGGGACAAGCACTCCAAACTGTTGTTTTGGATATCACCACCACGCTGTATACGGGGTTGCGGCCTGCCGCCCTCCTCCGTGCAATTCAGGGTGTCTCCAAACTGGATGTGGTCTTCACTCACGAGGTGGACAAACGAACAGTTGAAAAATTCCTAGGTGCTGCCGGTGGAATACTGTCAGGTAGTGGTGCTGCCAACAGCCGCGGCCTCACCGTTTTAGAGGTGGAAGTGCTTTGGATGGATGATGACACCGCCGAAGTCAGTAATATTTTCTAAATTCAAGAATCGTTGATTTTGACGCTTTGCTCGAAGATACTATATGGCATTATTGATGCAGTCATCTCGCGGTTTAATGGCTTGCGCACGCTCAAGCTCACTACACCATTTCGTTCTAGGCAGTCACAATTGTTGACGCCCCCATTGTCTGCGTCCCTTCAGCTGTCCGTGTCATCTCATAGTCCCACAACGCCCTCATTTGGCCTTTCTTCGATGCTGATTACTTCACCTGTGGGCGTTGTCCTATCAAGCGAGTTTGTGAGCTCGGGCACGGAGAGGACACATGCCAAAATGTGGACGAAAGCTTGCTCTACGCTGAGTGATATTCAATTTTGTTTTCCGGATCCATCGTCGGAGGCAGACGTTGGGTTGTGTGGAATCTGGTTTAACAGGAAAGAATGACAGTCGAGCATTGGCCCTCTCCCAGGATACAGTAGAGTAGAAGTTTATCTATCCGCCCTTGCCCAGCGCTTCCGCCCCTCTGTTGATATGTTTTATATCTAATTTTCATTTCGTCGAGCTTAATGAACTTTTGGACTTTGAAAGTCAAGTGTTACCACGACAGGATATAAGTATGTATAGTGATGGTGATATGCAAGATATATGTATGCAAAAAATTATATGGCTAGATATCAAGAGTCTACCTTGGTGTTCTAATAGCACGAGAAGTGTTGACCGTAATCACATCTAGCTGTCATGTAAACCCATCTATCAATCCGTGCGAAGACGTTTCTTGGCACTTCCGTTCGCATGACCATTGATGGCCGAATCATCCACTGTCGAGAAGTAATCCATAGATCCTTTGGGGTCCGGCTTGATGGTTTTATCACCCTCAGTCCAGCCCAAAGGGCAAACCTCTCCATTTGCCTCCTGCAAAAGATGTAATGAAACGTTACGACATCCAAAGAAAGAAAAACATACCACAAATTGGAAGGCCTGGAGAAGACGGATAGTTTCTTCCACAGATCGACCGACAGGCAGATCATTAATGGTGATTTGCCTGTTTAAAAACCGCCGGTTACCAAACTAGTCCCCTCAGGGTTTACAGAGAACCCACCTAACGATACCCTTGGGGTCAATGATGAACAAACCACGCAGAGCAATGCCTTCCTCCTCGATGAGGACACCATAGTCCTTGGATATAGTCATGTTCCTGTCCGCAATCAAAGGTAGCCTGAGGTCAGGCCCAATGCCGCCCTGCTTCCTCGGTTGCTGCGCCCATGCAAAATGGGAATACTGGGAATCCGTGGAAACACCTATAAAACCATCAGAACGCGTCTAATAGACCAAAAAAAAACCCGAACTAACCGAGAACGGATGCATTCAGCGCTTTGAATTGAGGAAGCGCATCATTGAAAGCCAATATCTCAGTTGGGCAAACGAATGTGAAATCCCTGTTAGTGTTTGACAGCAATGGTGAGAATGTGACGCTTGAGGAGAAAGATGATCCTTACATGGGATAGAAGAAAAGAATTACCCTTGCAGGTGATACTAATGTTAGCCACTCCTCTCACGGATGTCTGGTGCATGAGACGCGTACCATTGGCCTAGGTATTCGGACAAGGAGGTCTCCTTGAATTCACCCTCTACAACTGCGGTAGCTGTGAAGGCTGGTGCTGGGCGCTGAACGAAGACGGCCATTGTTGTGAGGCTGGGTTGTGAATTCAGAAAAGAGGCGAATTGTTCAAGTGATGTGTGAAGATTTTAAATCCACTTAACCGACGCGTTATGTGTCTTTGTTTGGCTAGTCCATGGACCCATTAAACGCGTCCGGACTCGTCTAAGGTCTGCTGCGTGTACCTGCACATGCTTGCACACCACTCAACAAGACTATTGTGAATCTGTCATACGTCAGGAAAGCTTCGTCGAAACGACGACGAAGTGCGAAGTTCCTACTGACGAGTTCTGATCATGGTACCCCTGTTATCATTCGTATCTTTCTCGGTTCCACTTCAAACCCTAAGCAAACAAAGTCCGGACACCCTCACGTCATTCATAATTCATAATGAAAAGACCCCAGATTCCATCTTCGCTTCAAGTTAACGTTGCAGTCATCCCGCACTCCCGCTACTTCGTTGACGTCTCTTGAGATGGTGCTGAAGTTTGTCTTTGTTAGTAGATTCCTGTTGCACACTGCAAAATACTCACCGTGATCGATCAACAGGCAGTACAATATCCACGATTAAAGGACTATGGCCATGGCATGTATCCGTGATGTCCGTTATCTTCCGTTCTGGTATGTGTTTACAGCATTTCTCTTTATGCGCACTCGAGCAAGGACATCGAGGCGACGCAGGTATTTTGCAGGCATGATTTACATAGGCAAGCACACTCTTGAATCGATATTGAGTACAATCGCATTTATGTGTCTGATAAGTCCAGTTCAAATAGGGCCCTGGCAATGTGCCTGCATCACATGCGCCCATCACGCGATGAGGGCAATTGGAATCTGATTCAGAAACCGAGAAGTATATAAAGCAATCGGACTATGTACTAACCACTTAAGTAGCAAGGTCATTTACCGTCGCACCGAAGACCCGCAAGGAGAACTTACATAACTCAAGTAGCGCGACCGGGCGGCATCACTGTTCAGGACCGGGGTGATGGGAGTTGCGTAGCTACTCAGCTATGCTACTCCAATTCGACTAACGCACGTCCAATGTTGCTCTCATCCTCCACTCCCAAGTTTCGAGTAGCAATCTGGTGAATCGGATAATCTTCTCACAAACGGAATGCAGACTAAACTCCCTATGCAGTGGTGCAGGCATAGGAGGGCTTGTCCTTCGCTATCACGATTGGCAAGTTTGCTGGGCGTGATATCCACATAGACTTATACGAAGCGCATGATGCCATCACTACCGCTGGTGCTGGGATTTCAGTCTCGCGACGCACGGCGGAGGTCATGGTGGAACTCGGATTGTATGAAAAATTCCCCCACACTTCCTCTAGTTATGGTCCGTTTCGAGAACCTATGTCGCAATCGCGTTTAACCTGATCGTTTCAACAGATATGAGATTAAGGAAGTCTAATGCCCCAAACGGTGGTTTTGATGTCTTCAGAACATGTTTGTAAACTCCATTATTTCGAATTGGGGGTAGGAAGATGACAAGACTCTCCACAGTTGGACAGGGATCCAAAATGCATCGCAGGGATCTCCTTGACATTCTCAAGCAAAGCATCCCGTCCTCATGCACTGTCCACCTTAATAAACGACTTACTAAATATGAAAAGCAATCACCAGGATCCACTCATCCTCTACTTCGCTGATGACAGCACCTCGACCGCCGACGTGTTAGTAGGGGCAGACGGTATCCGCTCATCAGTGCGGAAGACATTCTTCGAAGCACTAGGCCCAGACACCGTAGACCCAAGCAAGATAAGACACTACAGTCATCCATCTTGGACCGGAACAGCTTGTCTATCGCTAGCGTCTTTCCAGCGGAGAAGCTCTCGAAATTGGATCCAAAGTAACGTAGCTTTGAATAATTTCATTATAGTAAGTCCTCAGAAAGCGGTCACGATTGTCAGGAATAACCTTCATTTCGCAGTTCTGCGGGAAGGGAAAGGTAATTTATCACAATCAACTGGTCACTGCTCGCTGACGAACGCTTACAAGCACATCGCCTCGTATCCGGTTTCGCAAGGAACGCAGATCAATGTCGCAGCATATGCTTCTGATGAACAGAAAGCTGGCACACCTTTTGAAGGCCGTTGGGTTTCAGATGTATCGCTAGAAGAGGTTGAGGAAGCATTTCAGGACTTCGAGCCTGATGCTAAGCGCCTTCTGAACGTAATTTGGGCCGAGTCGTTTATGCTATCTTCGACTTATGAGTATTTTTCGCAGTGTTTCGAAAAACCCTCAAGATGGGCGCTTCACGTGGTAAATGAATTGCCGTTAGTCACTTGCGACAGAGTTGCGCTGATAGGTGACGCGGTGGGTTTCTGTTTAGCTGCCACGACAATCCTTTGACTAGATCGCGTACATAGGCCCATGCCATGACGCCCTCCTGTGGCGCTGGAGCTGGTCAGGCAATCGAGGTATGGCATGTTCATTCAGCAGACCATGCAAACTCATCTATTTGTATGAAGGATGCTTTTGTGCTTGGTCGCCTTCTTGCACACCCACTCACAACTATTGAATAACGTGCCCGTCGCGCTGAAAGCATACCAGGACGTTCCGTCCTCCCGTTCGCTCAATTCGTAGCACGTGAATCGGAACGTAACAGGAAAGATGTTCGATTTTCACGCACCTGGTTATTATGATGGGACAGATCGAGGCAACGAACGAGAGGAGATGGAGATTCTGAAAGAGAAGATCGTAGACCAGTGGAATTGGGAAAGTAAAGGTGAAGGTGGTGCTGTTGCTGAATGGGAAAAGGCAGAAAGGCAGCTGCAGGAGGGTTCGTACAATGGAGGGTATGAGAACGGTACATCATGATCACTGTATACTAGCAATGAGTTTTTTGCATGCGAGTTGCATAAACGCACATTCGACCGAGGAAGGTTAGTAGACCAGTAAGCTTGTTTGATGATCAACTTGTCATGTCAACATCTGTAGCATCAGCAAGTCACCGGATTCCTTAATGACCCCTTATCCCGCCTTATCGGCCTTAATGTGCATAATAAGAAACATTTAAGAAAGCTTGCCAGGCTGCAAATGGTACTTGACCTTTTTCCTGATGATACTGAAGCTTCCAGCAGTGGCAAAAGGATTGTCTAAGAATCTAGTTAGAAGTTAGATGATATTCCCAAGTACTAACATACCTCTACACATGTCTATATACACCCAGTTTTGCGCGGTGCGAGGACAGAGGAGGACGAGCTGCACGACGGGAAAATGTCACACTTTGGCGGGGGTCACGGGCGTGTCACACCACGTGACCACTGACCCTATCCGACTTAACATTTTTGACGCTCAAAAAGCTGCGTCGTTTTGAGGGTTCCGGACGGACAGACCTTATAGGGAGCTTCAGCGTGCCTATAGTGACCTTGTTGGTACAAGGTAATCTTCTGATCATGATACCCTCTCATCATTCGTATCTTTCTCGGTTCCACTTCAAAACCTGAGCACACAATTGAAGTCCGGACACCCTCCGTAGTACGTCATTCATAATGCAAAGACCCCATATTCCATCTTCGCCATCTTCGCTTCAAGTTATTAAATACATCATAAGATTATATATTGTGGATTAATGTTGCAATCATCCCCCACCCCCGCTACTGTCTTTTCGTTAACGTCTCTCCTTCGTTACTTGAGATGGTGCTGAAGTGTGTCTTTTTTTTTTTTTTTTGTTCCGATTTCTGTCCTATTGAGAGTTATACTCTATGGAGGACAATACTGTCTAGTCTAAGGGACTCCCTGCGTCCCTGTCGCAACTCTGAGCACGCGAATGCCCTGGTGTGGAGCGTGCCCCCACCAGTCCGCCGTTCCCGCCGGCCGTTTTAGACGCGCTGCTCGTTGGAGGTGAGATGACTCTAAGTTCGTACGTGATAATGACTATCGATATAAAAACAGAAGCGCGTACTGAAGTGTGTCTTTGTCAGTAGATTCCTGGTGCACACTGCAAATGCTCACCGTGATCGATCAACAGGGAAAACAATCTCCACGATTAAAGAACCATGACCATGGCATGTATCCGTGATGTCCGTTATCTTCCATTCTGGTATGTGTTTGCAGCATTTCTCTTTATGCGCACTCGAGCAAGGACATCGAGGCGACGCAGGTATTTTGCAGGCATGATTTACATAGGCAGGCACGGGCACAATCGCATTTATGTGTCTGATAAGTCCAGTTCAAATAGGACCCAGGCAATGTGCCTGCATATGCGCCCATCACGCGATGAGGGCATTTGGAATCTGATTCAGAAACCGAGAAGTATATAAAGCAACCGGACTATGTACTACTAACCACTTAAGTAGCAAGGTTATTTACCCTCGCAACGAAGACCCGCGAGGAGCAAGTTCAGGACCGGGGTGACAGGAGTCGCGTAGCTACTCAGCCATGCTAATCCAATTCGACTAACGCACGTCCAATGTTGCTCTCATCCTCCACTCCCAAACTTCAAGTAGCAATCTGGTGAGTCGGGACTCGGGATAATCTCTCACAAACGGAACGCAGACTAAACTTTCTATGCAGTGGTGCAGGCATAGGAGGGCTTATCCTCGCTATCACGATTGGCAAGTTTGCTGGGCGTGATATCCACATAGACTTATACGAAGCGCATGATGTCATCACGACCGTTGGGGCTGGGATTGTAGTCTCGCAACGTACGGCGGAGGTTATGGTAGAACTCGGATTGTATGAAAAATTCCCCCACCCTCCTCTAGTTATGGTCTGTTTCGAGAACCTATGTCGCAACCGCGTTTAACCTGATCCGTTCCAACAGGTCTCTGATTAAGGAAGTCTAATGCCCCAAACGGTGGTTTTGATGTCTTCAAAACGTGTCTGTGAACGCCATTATTTCGAACTGGGTGTAGGAAGATGACAAGACCTCTCACAGTGAGACCGGGATCCAATATGCATCGCAAGGATCTCCTTGACATTCTCACGCAAAGCATTCCGTCCTCGTGCACTGTCCAATTTAATAAACGGCTTACCAAATATGAAAAGCAATCACCAGGATCACTCATCCTCTACTTCGCTGACGACAGCACCTCGACCGCCGACGTGTTAGTAGGGGCAGACGGTATCCGCTCATCAGTGCGGAAGACATTCTTCGAAGCACTAAGCCCAGACACCGTAGACCCAAGCAAGATAAGACACTACAGTCATCCATCTTGGACCGGAACACTTGTCTATCGTAGCGTCTTTCCAGCGGAGAAGCTCTCGAAATTGGATCCAAATAACGTAGCTTTGAAGAATTTCATTATAGTAAGTCCTCAGAAAGCGGTCACGATTGTCGGGAATAACTTTCAATTCGCAGTTCTGCGGGAAGGGAAAGGTAATTTATCACAATCAACTGGTCCCTGCTTGCTGACGAACACTTAAAAGCACATGGTCTCATATCCGGTTTCGCAAGGAACGCAGATCAATGTCGCAGCATATGCTTCTGATGAACAGAAAGCTGGCACACCTTTTGAAGGCCGTTGGGTTTCAGATGTATCGCTAGAAGAGGTTGAGGAAGCATTTCAGGACTTCGAGCCTGATGCTAAGTGCCTTCTGAACGTAATTTGTGCCCACGTTTATGCTATCCTCGACCTATGTGTATTTTTTGCAGTGTTTCGAAAACCCTCAAGATGGGCGCTTCACGTGGTAAATGAATTGCCGTTAGTCACTTGCGACAGAGTTGCGCTGATAGGTGACGCGGTGGGTTTCTCTTTACTGCCACGACAATCCTTTGACTATATCGCGTACATAGGCCCATGCCATGATGCCCCACTGTGGCGCTGGAGCTGGTCAGGCAATCGAGGTATGGCATGTTCATTCAGCAGACCATGCAAACTCATCTCTTTGTATGAAGGATGCTTTTGTACTTGGTCGCCTTCTTGCACACCCACTCACAACATCGGATAACGTGCCCGTCGCGCTGAAAGCATACCAGGACGTCCGCCTCCCGTTCGCTCAATTCGCAGCACGTGAATCGAAACGTGCAGGAAAGATGTTCGATTTTCGTGCACCTGGTTATTATGATGGGACAGATCGAGGCAACGAACGAGAGGAGATGGAGATTCTGAAAGAGAAGATCGTAGACCTATGGGATTGGGAAAGTAAAGGTGAAGGTGGTGCTGTTGCTGAATGGGAAAAGGCAGAAAGGCAACTGCGGGAGGGTTCGTACAATGTAGGATATGAGCTCATCCTTTTATGATGTCACCTAGAAGTATCAAATTTACACCGTCACGGTTGACATTGCGGTAAGCCTGCTCATTGCCGTTCATGGTAGCCGGACATGCAAGCCATATATCTTCGGGTATAAAGCTTGCAGGACGGTATAAGGCCGGCAGCGCGAATTTATTAGTGGAAGCTGCAATGGATGTTTGCAGTGAGCGTGTTGCGGGCCCACATCCTAACCTGTTCGGACGACGAAGAGGATCTTTGTCTTTTGTCTGCCGGCATTTCCCGTGTTGTCGATCGATCGTTGCCTTTTCCGTTTTGTGTGATTGGTACACTTTCTTCCATTGGTATACCTCCCAGCGCACTAGGATTCGGAGGATAGCTGGGATTGTTGGAGTATGGGTTTCCGTTCTCGTATTGATTAACATTACATTAGGGTATTAGACAACCTCGCCATCTCGTACCACATGCGACGCGCTTGGCGCCTGCATGGTAGCATCCTTCTCCGGTCATTCTTGCTCCGTCTCTTGCACAGTACAAATATCTTGTCGTCTCACTGTTAGCGTCCCTCAGTTGTTGTCCCCAACACTGAGGTACGCGTCTCACTTATCTTGCTAGTTTCACACTTACTTAGATCTATCTCAGCGTGTTCTTCCAACAGGTATATAGATCGTCAATATAGTTGTTGTCCCCAACACTGAGCGTGTTCTTCCAACAGGTTATGAGCCACGTGTTCTAAACGACACGAAATCTGGAAGACTACTGAAGTCCCTCTCGTTGAAACAACTCAAATATTCAGTTCTACTCCTTCTCTGACGCGTCGTCCTAATAATGGGGAAATACGACCACATCCCAGAGTTGACCGGAGCGGACAATTACATTCCCTGGGAGATGCAGGCGCAGCTCGTCTTAACGAACGATGACCTCTGGTGTCACATAACTGAAAATGCAAATCCGGGCGACATCCTTGGAACGGCCTTGTTCTTGCCTGTCGCAGCTACTCCAGCTACTCCTACTGATGCCGAGAAGGCAGCTATGCGAGCCTGGCTTATCAATGACTCTAAGGCTAAGACAATCATCCTCTGTAAACTCGCACCGAGCATTCATCTTCTCATTCCTCGCAACACTTCTGTCACAGCGCGTGAAGCCTGGAAAATTCTTAAGGATCACTTCCATCGTAACGACGTCAGTTCTCAATTTGTCATTCGAAGACACATTGAGGCACTTCGCATGAAAGATGCGCAGGATGCAAACAACTACGTCGGTCAACACACCAGTTGCCGTGATCGTCTTATCAGCATGGGTGCTTCCTATTCTGATGAGGAAGCGGTATTCAATATCCTTACTGGGCTGCCTTCATCCTTCAGCGTGGCAACTGTTCCGCACGCAACTCGAGCAACGCATGCATGACAGCTTCTCTGCTACTGTCGTCAGTTCTGCTGCTCACTGGCAGTGGGAACCCCATTACTGCTTCATTCCAAACGAGCGCACTCACGTTCGAAAGCTGCACAGCACGCATCACTGCAGAAGCCTCACTGCATGGTCAACATCCATCCTACAAACGCATCTGGTCCTGGATCCGAGTACGCCAACTCTGCATCAACTACATCCGCCTCCAATGTCAATTCTATCACAGGGCTGAGGAAGCACAAGAACAACCCCCAGGGAGTCTTTTGCTTGACGACCGGGTGTGGACGCAGGAGATCATGACAAGGAGCATTGCTATCGTGAGGGTGGAGGTATGGCAGGACAGGCGCCCTGGCAGAAGAAGAACGAGAAGAAGAAGGAAACTACAGCAGTTGCGACGAGCACACCTCCCACTCCTTCTACGACATCGTCAGTCTCACCTCCTCCCATTGCTGCATACGCCACACATACGCGTGACCTATCCTGCGCGAGCATTGAAGAGTTGCTCGATGAGGTCCCTGATGATGATGTCTCTGCAACCGCTCGTGCGCTATCCACCATTCTTGACTCCGGCACCACCAGCACTCTCATCAGCGATCAAGCCATGTTCTGGACTTACTCCACCCAGGATCCCATCATTGTCAAGACAGTGAATCATGGGTCTCTTCACACATCTGGTCGCGGTGACTGTGTCGCATGGCTCAAGATAGGTGGTACTCGTCATTGAGTACGGTTCACTAACTGTCTTCATGCACCTGGGGTGATATTGAACCTTCTCTCAGTGGGGTGGATGCTAGCTAAGGGATGGGACTGTAACTTCCGGGGTGACCCTGCTCGCTGTGACCTTGTGTACAAAGGAATGGCCCTCGGCACTGTTCCAATGTCAGGTCGACTCTTCTATGTAGACCTTGAGTTAATTCCCCCTCCCCAGTCAACCCCTCTGCTATCTGAACCGTCTGAACTCTCTGCATTTGCGCAGTGTTCCGCTAACCTATGATCTCTGGCACGCTCGCATGGGTCACACAGGTGGACAGTCGGTCCGTTGCCCTCCCTCACATTGCTGAAGGTTTCTCCCTCGACTCTGATGCAGCCATGACACGCTGCGAGTCGTGCATCATTGGCAAACATCCCAGGCAGCCGCATCCACCTTCACAATTGCCTCCAGCCTCTCGTTTCCTTGAGCTAATTCACTCAGACGTCTGTGGCCCCATCCCCAGTTGTCACTCCGCATCACAAACACTATTTCATCATATTCCTCGAACGACCACACTGGGCTTCTGGCACTTCAACTTCTCGTCACCAAGGACCAGGCTTCTGGACGCATGGCAGAGTGTTCGTGCAAAGTGGGAAACACATTCTGGTTTGCGGGTCGTCGCATTCCGCTCAGACAACGGTGGTGAATTTCTCAACGAGGCGTTTACAGCAGAACTCAAGGCAGCTGGGATCGAGCGTCAACTCTCCGCACCTTATGCTCACCAGCAGAACGGAAAGGCTGAACGTGTGCTCCGCACAATTGAAGGGCGAATGTATGCGATGCTGAATCATGCACGGCTTCCAAGGAATCTTTGGGGAGAGGCAGCGCTAACAGCAGCATATCTATTTAATCGCACTGAGTCTCGTGCACTACCTGCTGGTAAAACACCATACGAAATGCTACACAAAGTAAAGCCCGACCTTTCGCATATTCGCGTCTTTGGTGCGCGATGCTTCGCTCGTATCCCCACTGAACTCCAGCAGAAACTGGGTCCTAAATCCCTGCGAGGCCATCTTCATGGGCTATGCACCAGATGGACGTGCCTGGCGTTGTCGTGACAAGGCGACCGGGAGCTTCTTCAACTCACGCGATGTCATCTTTGATGAGACGTTCACCGGTCACCCATTTCCAACTGCCGGTGAGGACTCAGATGATGAAGACACAGCAGTGGTTCCTGCTGTGCCTCCTGCACCTTCCACCACTCCAACGCAATCCTCAACCTCTCCAACTCCTCCATTGCCCATTAAGGCACGTCGTTCGGAGCGTGTTCGCTTACCAACTGCGCGTGGGCAGATATTCCAGGAGCAGCTGGCATCAGACCGAGAGAGATTGGCGCGCCAACGTGAGGTGCGTCAAGCACGCATTCAGGGGGTGCCTCTCGAGGGGGTGAATGCTGAGCGTGACGCTGACGTGGTTGATGACATGGCCACTAACCCTGACACCATTGTCCCTGACGAAGATGAAGTCAACTATCCCCGTGTGCTTGCCAGCCTTATTGCCACTGAATTCGCGTGTGTTACCATCCGCAGTGACACTCGAAGGAATCCACTCACTCCAGACTACAACATGAGGATCCCGCCCTCCACATTCGACGAAGCCATGCAACGTTCGGACTGCAACGACTGGCTCAATGCCATGCGCAAGGAGATTAACCTCATGTCGGAGATGGAATGTTTACGAGTTGGTGGAGCTTCCAGCGGGACGAAAGGCGATTGGGTGTAGATGGGTTCTGGAGTTTAAGGAGGACGGAAAGGGTGGGCCTGTGCACAAGGCACATCTCGTTGTGCAAGGTTTTTCGCAGGTGCCTGGCATCGACTTCGGCAAAACTGTTTGCACCAGTCGCACGACCATCTTCCATTCGTCTCCTTTCCGCACATGCAGCAGCTCATGACTGGGAAATCGACAGCTTTGATGCGAAGCATGCCTTCCTGTGGGGGAAGCTGCGTGAAGACGTTTACATGCGCCAGCCACCCGGCTTTGAGAATGGGGCAAGTCTGGTGTGCCACCTTCTCTCTTCGCTCTACGGGCTGAAACAAGCTGCATACGATTGGTATGAGCGTTTACGGGCGGTGCTCATCCGTTTGGGGTTCCTCCGATGCGACGCTGACTATGCCGTCTTCGTGTATGACCACAGTCAACGATGAGGGGGTGCATGTCATATGCATTATTGCATGGCACGTTGATGACGGCCTTGCTGGGCTGCAACAACCGCAAATTCCTTGATTGGATCAAGGGTTGCATTGCTGAGCATTTCGGAATTGCTGACTTGGGTCCCGTTGTCAAGCACTTAGGTGTTCAGTACGTCCGTTCGCGTGCTACTCGAGAGCTATGGATGCACCAGCAGGAATATATCACTTACCTTCTTCGAAGAACACGGCCTTCATCAGTGTAACCCCGTCTCACTTCCTATGGACCCTGCATTCCCTTTTGGACTGCGACACTGACGTTCATCCTCACATCGACAATCTCCCGTCAGAATATCGCAAACTCATTGGGGAATTACTCTACCTTGTGATGTACACCCTGCCCAGACATCGCCCATGCCGTTATGAAGCTGTCACAACACAATTCCTCCCCTGAACTTCGTCACTATGCAGCCGCAAAGCGAGTCCTTCGCTATCTCTCTGGCACACTGTCCTATCGCAGTACACTACGGCGAGAAAGAATGCAGACACCACCATTCACGGGTTTAGCGACGCAGACTGGGCCACATGCCCTGATGATCGCATCTCCATCACCGGCTACGTCTGGTATTACCATGGTGGCCCCATCTCACATGCTGCGAAGAAGCAGTCAACGCAGGCATTGTCGTCCGTGGAGTCAGAGTACATGGCGTTAACAGCGGCCATCCAGGATGGTCTCTGGATCAAGTCATTCTGTGAATGCGTAAAGATCACCTTCACGCTGCCTCTCAAGCTTTACGCTGGACAATACAGGCGCTATAGCACTATCCACTGAGGCAGCCAACCACATCCGCACTAAACACATCGACTTACGCTACCATTTCATCCGCAAACACATCGAAGCTGGCACCTTCCTACCCGTCTGGGTTTCCACCCATCGCAATAGTGCCGACATCTTCACCAAGGTTCTTCCACGTCCTACATTCATTGCGCATCGTGCTGGCCTAGCACTCGTGGCGGGTTGAGGGGGTGTGTTGGAGTATGGGTTTCCGTTCTCGTATTGATTAACATTACATTAGGGTATTAGACAACCTCGCCATCTCGTACCACATGCGACTGCGCTTGGCGCCGCATGGTAGCATCCTTCTCCGGTCATTCTTGCTCCGTCTCTTGCACAGTACAAATATCTTGTCGTCTCACTGTTAGCGTCCCTCAGTTGTTGTCCCCAACACTGAGGTACGCGTCTCACTTATCTTGCTAGTTTCACACTTACTTAGATCTATCTCAGCGTGTTCTTCCAACAGGTATATAGATCGTCAATATAGTTGTTGTCCCCAACACTGAGCGTGTTCTTCCAACAGGGATCACATCAAACGCAGACGACGTCATAGGCAAGGTGTGTGACTGAGGCCTAAACTATGTGTGAAACCATAGAACAGTTTGCAGAGTTACTATACGAAGTGATTAGTAGGATGATTTGATACAAAGTTCTGACTTACTCGAGGTCAATAAATGACTACAGGATAGAGTCTGGGGGTCTTTTCATTAATGTCACATGATGAATGCCGTGAGGGTGTTCGAACTTTGTTGGCTCGAAGAAACCGAGTAAGATCCGACTGATATATAACAGGGTACCATGAACTCTCGCTCAATTGTCACTGTAATTGGAATTTGGCACCCTTCTTCCAAGCATATAAGTATCTGATGCAACCCATCAACCGGTACGATCCATGGACTCACAACGTGGCGCAGACTGCATCTGCTGGTGGTCGGTTAATGGTTCCGCTACCAATCCTATATCAGGAAAATGCGAAATCCCTGTAGGCAGCCATTTCCTATGTACGCGTATTTAGATCACGCGCTCCTAAATAAGACTCTGTAGGTTCTGTAGGCGGCTCAACTCAGCATTCAACTCTGTAGGACCTGTAGACACAATTTTTTTTCTCCAGTATGCGTCCTTTTTCCTTGGACACATTGGACCACATTACTAACTTCAATGGCAGGCAAATCTCTCAAGCGGTGCGACCTTATCTAACTTCTCAAACTGGTCACTTGCTGACAACTCCAACAGCCCATGTCCCACCAAGTATCAGACAGCCAACTCCGAGTCAGACTTGGACACCCATGCCAACGACATCATACCCAGCACACCCTCTGCCAGTGAGGCTCTCCAAGTCAACGCTAACATGCCCCAGGACGAGACCAAGGCCAAATGGTAAGAGACATCAAATTATATATGAATGCTGACATGTGCTTATTTCGAGTCACCGTGACAGTCCGCGTCTTCGCCGGTGGGCTAGCATCCAACTAGAAAAGCAGCAGAAGGAAGATGCACTCAACTTGCAATGGGCCCGGGAGCGAGCGGATGCGGAAGAGGAACAACGCCGACGGGATAACGGTGAGTATTGTTGTTGTTGACCTAGTTGCACATACCTACTGAATAATGGTCCATCCTTGTTAGAAATTGTTGAGGTGACAGTTGGATACCTTCGACAACTTATTGAACACCGTTGGGATACTGAGAAGTCACTCACTGAGGCCAACCGTTGAGCTCAGTTACTCAAGATCAACACCTTCCGCCGACGGTTGACTGAGACCACCAATTCACATGAGGAAAATAAGGCTGAGGGTGATACAACCATTTGCACACAAGTTTTATAAACCTTCATAATGCAGAATTAATCAAAAGGATACATATCATATCAGGCGGTTCGGAATTTGTAGAAGCTGTACATGTCTATCCAAGGATTAAGGTAGAATGTCTTGCATGCATCCAAGATGAAATCCCGCCTCCACGTTTGGTCGACATGTGTGCCGAACTTAGGTATAAGATGACAACTCCGAGAAATTTGACTGATGGGGATCACCTCAGTGCGAGGAGCTTGACCCACATAAGAACGCGAGACTGTGTGCAGCTGCAACAATGCATCGCATGCCCGGAAGGGATTGAACCATTCAACGAGTGCAAGGTGGAAAGGCTGTCCAGTAGTGCGCAGGTGCATTGGTAAGTCAAATATCAGGTGGACTTGCGCAACTTGAAGACCTATGACAAGTGTCCAAGACCATATCAATGCAAAACCCTACTAGTAAGTTTCAGTGAACTTGCTCACCTTCCAATGCAGTCCCCTGAGTGTGTACATTAGTAGTACCTTCTGTTTGCACCAGGACTGTATCAAATTGTCCTGGCGAACCAGCTGACCGACCAGAAGGAGGGGTGTAAGGCACTGCACGGATGCGGTCCATGGACTTCGACATATGGACTGCACGCAAGTGTGGATAAGGGATTGACAGACGCCGGTAAGCATCAAACCTGTCCCAACGACAGACTGACAACGGTACTTGTGGGGGTGGTGGATTTTGGGGTGGTGGAGTTCGATTCAGGTATTGGGTGAGTGCAGTAAAGAAATTGACCGCCCCAAATGTCTGGGCAATATAATCAACTGCTAGAGCGCGCAATGGAGGACGGACTGCCAGGACATGAGATAAAGGTGTATCACCCTCACTTGGCGGCTGTGGCTCGGGTACATCTGCATTCAGCGCTATGCCACCTTCAACATCGTCAACATCGCCATCGGCTTCCTCATCATCCATCTTTCTCTGCAACCTCCAGTCCATGTAAGCCACGAATTGGTCCACTGCTTCCTGTCATGCTGACCACTTCGTCATCTGCACAACATAGTCTTTTTTGTTTGTTGCTCGATACACATTTTTTGCAAAGTCAATGTGGAGGCGTTCGGGGAATTCAGTGTTGAATCCATCTGCGGAGCCACGAGACTTGATCGACACCACGTAATGTTGCATTGAGTGCATTTTTGGAATATTGAAGTCATTACGCACCCCCAGATCCATGAATATATGCTTGTGATCGTGAAATTCGCGCAGCGCGGACTCTAGGGCATCAAGAGACTGAGATGTATGGGCGTGGAATTGTGTGTAGTATATAAAATCGAGGACGACACGTGCTGCTTGAATAACTGTTGGTTGAACCGCCCCAGCTAACACACCCATGAAGACTCGTTGCATCTCCCGATGCTCTGTCCCTGTCCATTGACATACAAGGGAGATGCCCTGCGAAGAAGTGGCGGAGACCTGGATAATTGGACATCTTTTGGTAACATTCGTCAATCTCTTTTTCTCCTGCGATTTCGGTGCACCATTTCAACAGGTGATCATGAAACACGCCCTTGTGCAATTGGTGCAGAATATCAGGTGTGATCATGCCAAAGATATCGGAGTAAGGAAGATCTGCCCAGAATGGACAATACACAGGGCGCAGCCCCTCACGTGTGTAGGCGGGTACCCTGCGACCTGTTCGCTTGTGTTCCAGCATAGTCAAGGTGCACACTTCATCTCATAGGAGTGAAGCCAGAGGTTCACCACGGCTGTCTCTGTGAACACGACACTTAGGACAGAAACTTTCTTTCGTGCAGGTAATGAGACACTGTTCTGGATGGTCGGCAACATAGGCAGTGAGGATCAGGGTGCACTCGACAAACTCTCCCATCAGCACATACCATCTCTACACCCTCCTTGCCAGCTTCAATCAGGGGCTGTAGAAGCCTCCACATACATTCATGAAACAGCTGATACCCTGCAATGGACCGAGTTCCTTTGCTAAAGCAGTCAAGCTTTGTTGCTGGGAGGTAGCCAAGCAAAATGGCTCCATGCATCCGTGGACGACGGCGTTGTCCTGCATGATTTGGGAATCATGCATGGACATGACTACTAGGTATCCCCCTAAAAGACAAAGTCTGTTAGCTTAGTCCTCAGACTAGTCAACCCATACCTTGGTATCAAACCTTGGTCCAATAGTTTCAGTTTTCCCTCAGTGATTCATGAATCCACCATGTTTTGAAGAAAAGTCATATGTGAGATGGGAATCACATAATGACCTAGTTGATATGAGAAGCAAAATGAAGGTTAAGGTATTGCCTTTCATTTGGCTTATTCACTTTGGCTAGAGAAACCCATAGAGAAAAGTTCAAAGCCTAACAAAAACCTATCTAAAAAGCCCGCATATTGTGTACTATTATTTGTTCCATTATTTCTGAGTTGTTTTCTCTAGTGTTTCTTTACTTTACTTTTCTATTAGGATGCTCTGACTAATCAGATGCTTCATAAAATTGTACCTACAGGGTATGATGTCATAATGATGTCATAGGACTTCACCTACACTCCTGCAGGTATTTTGGTTGAAAGATATGATGTCATGTTCCATGGAATTTGCTAGAACATTCCGATGACTCATAATGACTCATAGTGACTCATAGTGACTCAGAATGATGTCATTATCCCACCATGAATATTCTGGAATGTTCTTTTGCACCTGCTAGAACATTCTGCTCCAGTTTTTGGAATATTCTTCTCACATTCTGAAGTCATTACATCACCTTTTTACTTACATAATATTCCCACACAAAATGTATATAAGGAGAGCCCATTCTCCCCCCAAAAAAATAGATCTCCCACTTGTTGCATTCAAGACCTCCCTCTTGAGCAAATTGAACTCTCACCTAAGAAGCTTCAATCTGAACAAATTGCTGCTTACAAAGCCCATTTCCTTTGTAAGAACTGTCCAGGCAAGTGCAGGGAAAGTGTTTCCCTTGAGATTACGTAAGTTTCTCGCGATAGAAACCCAGTTTTGTGAGACCAGTGTTCTCACCACGTAGTGTTTACTGACCAACACGAGCTTTGGTCAACGTTGTTATTTGTGAGACCAGCGTTCTCACCAGGTATTTGTATACTGACCAACACGAGCTTTGGTCATTGTTGTTATTTGTCATTGTTTTCTATTTGTCATTTGTTGTTATTTGTGAGACCAGCATTCTCACCAGGTATTTGTATATTGACCAACACGAGCTTTGGTCCACGTAGTCACATTTGAGACCAGCTTCTCAACAGTTAACCGTATATTCAGGAAACCAGTTCAAGTGTCTAGACAGTATATCCTAGACAATCCCATAGTTTCAATCAGAGATAATAAAGCTCCAGCTAAGTTAATCTAACTGATTGGTTTAGCAAGCCTCCCAAGAACTCACACGTTATCTACCACGAAAGAAGAAAAGTCGTAGACCGTGTTAATCGAGGACTGGCAAGAAGTCGTATCCAGTGTAATTGTGGTGTCATTACATTCTTACACGTTTTCATATAAGACCCTCAGTTATTAAGACAGTGTGTGGCCTTTTCTATATTCCCAATGGTCAAATACACTGGCCATGCAGATTTGTCGCCTCTAAACTGTGAGAGGCTTGTTTTATCGGACGCAAGGATGACTGGTGCTATTGTTGCTCCTTTCGGCAGCTTGCCCTGCCATGAGGACAACGAACATTAGTAAGTAACAGCACAGCTTTGGTCCGGTTCAACTCTCTAACCTGCATGTCCCACCACCAGTCCCCTGACCACATTTCATCATAAATTCGGCTATTACCTCCCCTGTCCTCAAATGCATGCTCAGGTGCGTAAGCCATCATATCTTTGAATGTTGGATTGCCGATGAGTTCAGCGAATACAGTCCACCAAGTCGCGCCGCCAGAGTTCTAATTCAGCTGACGACATCTCACCATCCATGGCAATAATGTCTCCTGCCACCTTGATGAGGTCACAGTGCCATTCAGGTCCTTTTGTAGGCAGTGCGTCAATTTTTTTCAAGAAGGAGCGGTTATTTGGGTATGTAACCTGGGCACGATTTCGAACCTGCATGAATGTGAGTTCGATGATGATTGTCTTCAAATGGCATGATCCTTACAATAGGAAGCTTTAGAAATTCGTCGGTTTGGTTTTGCCTGACATTTTGGATCAACCACCTAGCTAATTCCCATTCCTCCTCGTACATTGAAAGGGCCCCAAACACTCTCTGCCATTTGCTTCTTGGTTATCCTTAATGGCGTCAAACTTGGTGGGCACAATGTCTTTGGCAGGATCACATGGTGCACCAGCTAACATCTCATCAGGGTACTCTTCAACCCAGCGCCGTGTCCCAACAGGACCAGGGTCATCGGTGACCTCTTCGATCTGGACACTGCAACTCTGAACATGGTCTTGATCGAACTCTGACCGAACCTGGATGTGGAGGTGAGTACGTTTCTTCGTTTGTATTGTCCTCAACTGGTGGTCTAGCATCATGCAGATCTTCATCATCTTCAAGATAGAAATTGTCCTCGACTGGTGCTGCAAACCCGCCACCAAGGTCAAACACATTGATGCTGAAGTTTTTGAGGCGATCCTGCCATTTCTGGTGGCAGGTAAGTGAATTCGCGATGTGCTTGTTCAGACCTGATGTAGTAGGGAGCCAGTGACCACAATCTTTGCAAGCTGGCATTATTGGGCTGATTTGACATGGTCTTCTGACTTGGGCATTCAAAAGGTATGATCTTTAGCATGTGTTTAAGATTTCGGAGAGTGGTTGACAGGTCTGACATCCCGGTCTGCGCGTATATCGGGTGGCATTGGAGGTCTTTTTTTTTGTCTTCAACCACCATTTCAGACTCCACTGATGCACTCTCTGTGTTTTTTAATGGCACGTCGCAGGAATACCGGTGAACAGCCGGCCAGTGAAATGCCAACAATGCGTGTACAACGTCGCCAGTCGCAGCACATCCAAGAAAATTGCCCAAGGTCAGTTGATTTAAGTTTGCTCAGTCGGCACCAAGAACTTAAGATGACATGTTGCAGAGGACCAAACTCACGCACAAGACCTCAGGAAGACTCAAAAGTATGCAACTCAAGGTCTCCGCCAGAGACAGGCTCTCGAAGAGGTCAACGACTTCGCACCTTTGGACCCGGAGTCAGAAGATGCAGAAGATGATGGCGACATTGCCAATGGCAATGATGATGAGCCGTTGACTACAGATTCAGTAAGTCTGCAGATCCATGGTCAAGATTTTCATTAACATGCCTCCATGACAGTTCACTTTTACAGCAGTGCCTCTCCGTGGTATGACGAAATCAGGCCCGTGCTCTCACTTACCCTGCACAAGCTACCAGAACGTCTGTGGGACATGCAGACCAAGAAAACCGTCAGGTCTCACGTATTCCACCTAGACTGACTCCACGGACACATCATGTCCCCCCCAGCATCCCTTCAGCATATTTGAACACACCTGTGGTGCCTTGGGTCCAGCCGCAACAAGTGATCGATCCTCAATTGCTTACTGGCGACTTGGAGGAGGAGGCAGGGCCACGTATGGTAAATGTTTCAGCTCCAACTAGGGCCATAATACTAATGTGCGTCATGCAGGAAAGTTCTTGAAGTGAAAGTTCGAGCAAATATGTTCAACAGACAAGATTTGAACACCGTTTTGCAACGGCAGGGCCACGCAGTAGCCAAGTCACACATGATACTCCAACGCCATTCAGAGGAGTGCCGCCGAGCTTGAGGGGTGAAGGATCTTCAAGTTCGGTCGAGTCCATGGTGGCACAACAGGTGAATGATCTTTATTGGACTAGGGATTCAACTGATAAAATCAAACACAGCCAGTTGAATTGATGGCCGCTCTGGGGGCTGTGAAGCGCCCGGCTCCGCCACTCACAGAGGTAGAAGGCCTCCAGGTGGTTCAGAAGGTCAAAATTGGTGATGGCGGCAGTCGTGGCCGCATTCGATGTGCTGACTTTGATCGTCTCTATTCATCCATCATACATCTTGCGGTGGGACACTACCAAGCTATTCTCGCTAACTCGACAATCTATCCAGGTGATGTTGAGAGTCGCAACTGGTCAGGCGAAGCATGGGCTGCATCGTGTTGGGCAAATGGAGTGAGAATTGATTATGATGAGGACGCTTACAAATTGGTACTGGTCTGATGCCTATGACCTATGTCATGCTGACCCGCTGCTATTAGATAACTTCACGAGGCTCTATTCTGCGGAGCGAACTTAAAACTGTCATGCGGCCTCTTGTTATGACAGAGTTTGGCTTCAGTGATGATAAAACACCTGAAGCCACATCCCTCAATGCAGTGCTGGTAAAGTCACTCCTTGAAAACCGTAAGAATTTCACCTATAAGGTAAGGTGCAGGTGTTTTTTGGAGGCCGACATGATGCTAATTGCTGCTATAGGATCGGAAGGAGGGCAAGGGAGTGTTCGAGGCTGAGATTATACAAAAGGGCATGATTAAATGGTGCTACGAGAAGAAGAACTCACTTGGGGTCAAGTTCCCTGCCTATTTCATGGATGCGAGCACTGGCGGCGTGAGCTTTGGCATCATCGTGGCAATCCTTACAGCTGTAAGTAATGGATCAGTCATCATAGTAGTAGTCGGAGCTGACAACAACCAACTGTATGATGTATAGGTCGAGGCCTGCGTCATGGAATGGACCACCGGGACAAGGACTGAAACAAAATTTTACAAGGAGCAGTATGCGACGGTGTTCAACACATACCTGACCCTCCTCATCAACTTTCACGAAGGTACAAAACACGCTGGTATTATCCCAAGGATTTGCAAAAAGCTGTTGAAGGTTGCACGGTAAGTAGTAATACACTGATATTTGACATGACAGTACTAACGACAACTCACCAGACACCACGGAAATGTCGCCAACGAGCCTATCCCAAGTGCTGCTACTCAACACTTCACAGTCGACGAGTTCGCGGCGGCGGCAGCTGAGTGGGATAATCGCAGCGGAGCTGACTCAGAGGATGATATGATGTGGTAGTGGCTAACTGGTTGTGCGAGCATTAGTACTAGTACTGTTCATGTTTCGTGGCTCCCGGAAAATAAAAATGCCGTACTATTGTTTTTCCTAGTGTCCTCCAGGCCTACTGACCACTGGATCCTACGGCGTGCCTATTCTATACATGAGTGTCCTACTCGCTACCTACATATCCGGGACTTACCTACCAGGCTACCAAACCGACAGAGACTATATAGGCTCGCTTAGGCACTGTGCTTTTTCCTGATGTATGACTTTTGATAGAGCTTGTAGGTTCTCCTACCTTGACATCCCCTGATGTATATGTAAACCGCCCTTTTGAAGAGCAGAAGACTCAGCTCGATCACTTAGAAACAACCCTATATCTCTTTCCCAATAGCCGCTCCATCTCCCCGACGTCATCCACTCCCCCATCTTCGTCTAGCGCGTCCCTCACGTCTCCATTCCAATTCACATTCCCTGCTGATGGTCCGATCACACAAGATCGCGCAGAATTTGATTATCCCGGGCACTCCAATACCCGCAGTATTGATTTAATCTTACACGGTCGCACTGCAGATATTTCACTTCCAAGTGCGGGCAGTGATGGCGTGCGTTACAGACTCGGGGCCCGTCGCGCGAATTCTGATCCAAGTCCACTCCTACGCTCCCTTCCTCAGTTATCTGGAAGCGGGAACGACCCTCATCATGAGCGGGGGAGTAGCGAAGATGAAACCACCCCCTATCCGAAGCTGCGACCTCGTAGAGGACGTTCTCGAGAGTCGAGGTCACCTTCCCCCGGTGCACCTCCGATCTCGGGCACGCTAGAGGTTATCAAAGCTCAAGCTTTTGGAGCACTCCGTCGAACTCGTACCAAGACCAAAAAAACGGAATGGGCGTACTTAGTGGCTAGCTCGAAGCGTCCCCGCCTTCACCACGACGATTCCGACATGCAAATATGACGCAGATATAAATGTACTCTGTAACAATTACCAGTTCACACATTTGATCCCTAGGGATTGTATCATTCTTCTCGTCACCAGTGGACTATGTAACCACGATTATTCGTACAGGAATTTAAGATCCCAGTTACTTACTGTATTGCACTTACTCCATACAAGCGCTCCATTCACCCTTGGACGTTTCCTACTGTGAATTACAAGATGTCTGCACACTACGTTTGCTGTTGTCTTTTTCTCTTCCTCTCTTGCAAATAGCGTTCGAATGTATCGCCGACATCGCACTCTTGAAAGTGCGGTGTATAGCTGCCCGTGTGCGAACGAATCCGTGCGCAGGTCAAGCATGGCTTTCTCTAGTGTCAGCCTTTGACATCCGTTGAATGTCGTCGCATAAGCAGGTCGCAGGGGAAACTGTTTACGATTTACGGTCCAGCTTAAACGCGCTGGATTGAACCTGGTCAAAGAATAGGAGTATAGTTAGGAGAGAAGTGAGCGCTCCCAGTGAAAACTGGACGCGCAAAATTTCAGTACATATCGATGTGTGGTTCTCTGTCGTATCGCTTTCATTTTCAGTTACAGACGATACGCTACGTTGCATGAGGTATACAGGAATGAGTTGTGCCTGTAAAAGTCGTAAGTAAAGAATGAATATTCGGGCCACTACGCATCCAAAAATATTTTCGAGAAATACTTCTTTACGCCTTCTGCACCATGAACGATCGCCCCAACCACTCCATCCGGCCGAATCACAAACACCTTCGTCTGGTCAGCTTCCACGAGGTAAGCCGAATAAGCATAGCCCTCCCGATCAACAAGAACGAGGTCAGCAGGAGATGCGACAAGCGTCACTGATGCTGATGATGGAAGAACGACTGCCGATCGCACGATATTTTGTCGTATGCCTCCAGGACACCCAAGATCGGGGTGGCATCAGTGAGACCCGGCGCAAATACGAGCACTGTGTGGTACCAGGGTCTGTACAAACCAAAAAGCGTTATCTTATCAGGCTCTGCGCGCCCCACCTGCAACATGTTGGGCGCATCGGGCGCCCTGTCCCCAGCTTCCAGATGTCCCTCGTCAAGCATTCCGTATGCGTTGATAGGCCTCCCCTCGACTGAAGTCACAAATTCATCGAGTACGATGGTGCTGAATCGACAGTTGATGCCGAGCATGTGAAGGATGGGACTTCGTCCGACTGAGGGGTCTCCAGACGATATTGTCTTGTCGAGAATCGAGGTGGTCACCCCGAGCATCTCGGAGATCACAGGCAGACGCTCGGCGCTGTATGTCTCGAGAAGAGATTTGTCGGCGAGCCCTTTCTGAACGAGCGCAAGTTTCCATGCTAGATTGAACTGGTGCACGGTCAGTGGTAACACACATGCTACATCTACCCGACTCACTGCATCTTGTACGCCCGAATTGAGTCCCTGTTCATAGACAAATGAGCGGGTATTAGCAACAATCGGATCAACCATACCTGACCACCAGTTGGGCTGTGGACGCTTTGATATGTGTTAGCAGCGATTTGCGAAGAAGGCATTCAAAGATAGACATACTGAGCAGCATCTACGACAACATGCATGAGCATAGCTACACACGTCTCAAACAGAACCACTTACCGCCCGCAACGAAGACTCGACCTTCGCTAAACTTATTCACCATCCGGATATTGGCCCTGAAACAAACCGATGAACGTGGATCGACACGGATAAAAATACAAAACGCACCGGAAGTCGCTCATCCAAACTACCTTGGTGAACGTAATCTCCGTTGGTATTAACGACGCGATGGTCTCGAAAACAAGCTCTTCGCTCTCAGCGATCTTCGTCAGATCTAGTTCGTTGCCGTAGAGGAAAAATTGCCAGCCGTCTTCGCCAACTTCGTCTGTTGGACGCAATGAGAGGCTGCATATTGTCAATATACAGGTCTCCAGGCCTCAACTGAACATACCCTCGCTCGTTAAAGTTTCCAAACCCGTGCGAATGCTTTAAGACTGCATTAGCACAGCTTTTCATCGAATACGTAGAAAACGGACGTACCACTCTATCGAGGCCAACGCCCTTCAAATGGATATCCCCGGTCACAACTCGGATATCATCTCTAGTCGAGCCCAAAAATGTGAGCCCAAGTTGCTTGCGCACGACGCCTGCAAAACCACCTTCAGTCTCGTTTAATCCGATGCATTTAACTGCGTCTTACTTTTAGCACCATCAGCGCCGATGATCCATTTGGTATCAACAATCTCTGATATGCCGTTCTTTGCTAAAATAGCGGTGATGCCCTCATCGGACTGTTCGAACGAGCGCAGTTCGGTGCCCATCTCGACAGAACAAGAGAACTTCTCTAGATGGCGTCGCAGAATCACATCTAGGAGCTGTTGACCCATCAATTTGAGGCTGTGCTAAAAAAACCGAATCAGCATGAAGGTTTGATCAAGCGACTATGTTGCCCACGAATGGTATTGCTGGGGTAGGTTCCATTTGCGGGGCCAATGGGTCTTTCAAAGGTTCCAGCGTGCCGGACTTGTATGAACAGGTGGGAGGGGCTGGTTTTCCCAGACCATTAACTTCTGAAACGTCCAGGAAGTTGTAGAGTTCGAGGGGGCGCGGCTACATAGAGAGAATGCATTCAGTGAGACCACGGGGCGATACGACAAGTGGATGTTGTGACAAACCCATATTCCAGCACCACGCTGTCCGATGCGATGGTGGGGGTCTTTATCGATGATACGAACTGAGATATCATTTTGGAGGAGCGTCAACGCTGCTACCAGACCCACCGGCCCAGCGCCTACCTAACAAGGAATTTAGCTAGCTGCAAACATGTGTCAAAGAAAGATCATCACTTACTATTAACACGGGAGGATGGACAGAATTCATGTGTAGCGCTTATACTGACCGAGGATCACTTAGTTTGATGATTTGGATCAGCATCTCGAGGGAAGCAGGTCGTTATAACATAGGGGTGATGCCGACCAGACCGGGAACTGCGTACGTCGATAATGATGTGTCGTTCAGCTGCGTACTTACAAAACAACTTCTCCTTGCCGATGACTTAGACGTCACTCTCGTACGTACTCAATGATGTCCTCGAGCTAGTTACCGGCACCCGTCCCAGTCAGCGTATTATGTAATTCCTAGATCTCCCCGACTCCCTTTCCCGTTCCTCTTCATTCGTAAGAGACGTAAGTTACACGTCTCATCAGATGATTTGTCAAAACGCTCACCAGATACATGATGCTGACTGGACGGCCCGCTTAGATTTTCATGCCATCAGACGTTTGCTGACAAGCGAAATGTAAGCTAGCGCGGTATTGGGTTTGTGTTGGCCAAAACGGCCAGAATATTGTGCTCATGAGCAGGGTTTGAAGTCGAACCGAGAAAGGTCCGAATGATAACACGGCACTGGGGTTCTACTGTGTTGTAAACACTCTAAAGGATAGTGGATTTTCCTGCAATAGCTCGAATTCCTATGATCCGGGGGTTCGGAAGGGACAGAATTTCTGCTTGAAGAAATATAGCAGACGTGAACACTTCAAAGATGCGGTTTGTTTTCTAATAGCAACACTAATTTGTACCTCTTATTCAAGTCCACTCTCCAGATCGCAAAAATAAAAAATAAGCAGCGAGAGAACCCGAATGTAATCACAAACAGAAATCTTAACTCTGGTGGATAATCTACGACCATCTAGGAGCTAACTCCCTGAACCGGCTCATAGAGTCCTGTAGACCTGCGCATTGAGGGCTGCTGGCTTGTACGGAGTAGGCCTCTGGTATCAGTTCCTCAAGATGCTAACGGAAAAATAAGACCATGAAGCTCAAAGTGGAAACACTACACTGACTTTGATTCTCCGTTCTGCACCAGGGTGCGTACGCAAGAATTCTAGACTCGTTGCTCCATGCGCCTTTTCATATTGTGCGAGTCGCGTATGCATTCTGTATTGTCACGCACATAAGTCAGACAACGGAAAACCCATATCACTCACTCCACAGCAGCCTGGGGGTCAAAACATGCCCTTGCACTGAGCTGCATGCCGATAGTATCGGCTACGTCCCTACATCAGTATTTCCATGTTTATAACTGGAAGAAACACACCCTCGTATTCCTGAGTCCGCGAATTGGGTAGCTCCAGTAGCAGCGTGCTTATGAGGTGGGTGATTCCAAAATCGAACCCGAAGACTGTTTGCAGAAGAACTGCTAGCGCTAGGAATACTTTAGAGGACGAATAGCGTTCAGAAGCATGTCGAGCAACTAGTAAAGGGGTATTTAGAATGTACCCGCATGTTGTATCATGCAATCATACCCACGTGGGCCATCTCTGCCGAATCATTTGAGTTGTGCAGAATATCCTGGGCAGAATCGCGTACCATGTCCAAGGACAGCAGCCAAACCCTGTTCATCCTTGCATATAGGTAATATTCCGGTGAAAACCACGATATTTCCTGTGGCCACATATATGTAAAGGTTCACTTGCAGAGGCAGCTCGAGAGCGAACCAAAGGTGGCCATGGCGTTCACAACGGATGGATCATTCACAACAAGCAAATTCCATTCTTTACCTCCGCTTTCTGGGGTAGACGACTCCCCGGAAGGCCTTCCAGTGGTGAATGAGTCTTCGCTCCAGAAGTCATCTAGTGCTTCCACTAGTGACCGGCGAGGCTCGCTAGAACGCAAGTGGCCAAGATCCGATGATTCAAGAATACGATTAACAACTCGTTGAACGTGTTGTGTCACAGGATGATTGGAAGGCAGTATCTTGCCTCGGAATTCAGCCAAGAGCTCGTCGTATGCTGCCTGTGCAAGCTGCAAGGGGGGAATATAAGAGTTTGTTCCTTCAAGCTAAGCTTGCTCTCACCTTTGTCTCATACTTGGGGCTGATATCCATAAATCGCCACCTACCTGTTTCAGGGACTTTTTCTAAACTTGAGGGCTAAAGTGAGACAAGGCATCACAAGTAGTGCACTGAACACGCACTGCACGACATAATATGCTCCTCCGACTGCAACAAGTGCAATAGCAAACTTCATGCGATTGTCTATCACCTCTCCCGATGGGTGGCGGTGTTTTTCGGATGGAAAGCGCGTATACTGAGCATGTCGAGGAGATGATGTTGAGAGTTGGCGCAAGGGAATTGAACGAAGGCTAGATGTCGGTAGTCGAGCCCGCAGGTAATTTCCAACAAGGACTGGTAGGCCCCGAGTATCACGCGACGCCCGCAGGATAGGTGCTGCTGTCGTCCACATACGAGCAGGGAGCATGACGAATATTAATGGCAAGATGAATCTCCAAGCTTTTCTAACATATATAAGGTGCACCGGCGGTTCGTGTCCATCCCGTCATTGCTGACGCATGCTCCCGGCGGCTCGGTATCGTCCACTGCATGCTGTGCAGCGCTGACGCATGCTCTGATCCTTCTCCTTTTTGCAACCATTACTTTTCATGGATCCGCAAGCTCATCCTTACCTGTCCAAAACAGCTTTGCATTGTTGATTGTCCAAGTCCAACTGCTCAAAAATCTCGAGAACCATTTTATCCCACGTATCATGTTTTCTTTTCATCCTCACCGCTCTTTTTGTACATAAAATAAATTGCAAGCTCAGTGGAAGTTCGTCTACTTGCATATAGGACTAACGGCTACCATTGTTGACAAGACTCTTGTTACTGGATCGGATATGGTGTAATGGTTAACATTACCGCCTCTCATCAATTGGAATCTTTGGTTCGCGGTAGCTCGGGGTTCGATTCCCCGTATCCGAATTTTTATATATTTCCATTGCAGTTATAAATCCGTTTGTTCTGGGTTATTTTCGAACCTGTTGTTTGATACGTGACTTACTTTTTCTTTAAATGCACGGTCTAACTACGTGGACGTCGGAATCCTCAGACAATCCCCGGATATCACTCTTGCGAAGTACTAAATGCCATATTGATGTAGAAGCTTGAACGTTAACCTGCATCACTTTATAGCCAAGACCACATTAGTGTCATGGCTTGTCGACATGGCTCCGCTCAAAATCACATCATCCTAAAAGTCGCGCCTTGGAACCCATGGGGTACGGTAGCATCCCGAATAACCCTGGAGAGCGATAGGTGTCCAAGTAATATTATCTCCCGAATCCACGAAAGTAAGTACTACTGTGCCAGCTCCAAGATTGTTCCCAATTTGTATACTATTTGTTCAATACTGAAAGACTTTGAACCCGGATTGTGTTCTACTTGGCCAGATACGCGTGGAGCATGTGCAACAAATTGGGAGACTACGGTCGTTTCTGAAGATCTTCAACTGTACGTATCCTTGGTTCTAATTGAACATAATGTCCATTTCGATTGACTTTACTGCCATAACTAGGTGCGCATGCACTCGCGTTAAGCCCTACATATACTATAAGCAATACGGAATTAGAGGCTCCGGTGAGTTATTTCGTTTTTACCGGTTTCCCTTGTCTCACCTAGCTAGTGCTATGTCCTATGAGGATGGTAAATACGTTGAATTCGCACACACGGTCTTGAGGCCTGCCCCAAAAATCTGTACATCACAAAACTGCAAGTGACTGAAGAGTCGGTAGGAGCGGATGATAGTATTGACAGTGAGCATCCGCAGTCTTATTTATCCTCTTGTAAGTTCGTAACTTGGGAATTTCATGCTATATAATTCATGCTGCATCTTTCCCCCAGGTCTGGCTAGCGCCCGAAGAGAGTACTTTAGCATTACATCGTGCTCAGCTGGTATGATCCCACTTATGATGCGAATATGCCTGTCAGTGTGAGTACCCGAGTTACACAAATCGGTTGGTAGAGTCGTGACACTATCATAGGTACTGGGCTGCACTAACATATTCTGATGCGCTATCAAGTAATATTACCACTTGGTTCATCGATCGTGACAATAGCACTATTTGACATGCACTATGGTCAGGCATCAACAATACTACGCCAGAACTTTAGCTGGAGTCGAGTCGACCCTACCATATTTGCGAGCGACGAGGACATGATGCAGGCGGTCATCAATGAACAGGTTTGGTTGGCTCTTGTCGGTGAGTCACCTCTTTGTACATTGCATCTTTGACCATTCATCTTTCCCAGTCGAGACGAACGCTACTGATAAACTGTCTGACGCAAGGAAGACCGGAAACAGTACTTTCAACTCCACTTCCTTGCTCACTGTTCACTATGCTCAGGTGTGCAGTCCAAACCCACGCGTGCTACATACGGCTAATCGTATATCTAATAATCTATAGGCTCGTCAAGAAATCGCGGTTGGCACTTATGTACTTGATTATGGCAATCTCCCGCAACCTCCTTGGAGAGATTACGTCGTCTCTTGCTGCTACTTCTGCACAGCAATATTCCACGTAAATTTATGGGCAAGGTCGGACCAATGAAATACCCTTGCAACTAATTTGCACAAGCCCCGCAAACAATTTCTCCTGGCATCGGATAGACCAGACTTCCGGTGATTTCCACGCACGCGTGAAAAATTTCTGGCGGTCTCTAGGCACTGTACCCGCACCCTTGTGGGGTTTACCGTGGGTACTATCTAAAGACTTGTAGTTATAAATGCAAAAACAATATCGAAACAAATTGTACCTATTCAAGTTGCACAGGCACACAACAAGGAGCGAAGCACGCAAAAGCAAAACAAACAAACATTTCTTCCCAATGCACAGAGTCTTGGTACTCAAATTTGCTTGCACAACTCTGGAAACCTCACTCATCTACCTCCTTCCTTTTCGATGGATGGTGTGCGTGACTAGGGGGCTTTACCTCCACAAAAATGACGGGGCGAGCTTGGGCGGCGATAACAAAGGTAGTAACGAAGTTGATTGATGTACGTCCTACAGGATAGTACTGGGGTTGACAGCGTAGCCCAGTGCGAACGCGCAGAACAGCATCTGCAGCAAGAAGTCGTGGGCTTCATACGTATCTTCTCGGTGTTATCGTTTGGGTATGATGAGAGAAAAGCTATCTTGTACGGATCATACAACATATATTTTCTCTCATCAGTATGGTCTGGGGAGACGTGGGTGATAACACGATATACGTCCCGCAAGATGTACGAGTGCTTTTGCGATTACAGTTTACGCTGACGAAAACAATGCAGGATACGCACAATAGATGAATAAGAGCTGGGCGCAAACGAATGCTGATGGCTTTCGCACTCAACACGTCTGAAGGGCTTCAGTTGGATTCAGATAACTTGGGTATCCAGCAGGAGAATGAGGAGATCGGACTTACCTGGGTTGGGTTTAAGAGCAAGAGCGAGTTGCAAATGAATAGAACAGTATTTTTGGCTCGCTGAGTCCCTCGCTCCTCAAGTTGAAGTTTGAAAGAGAACCCCTTTCAAACCACCCTCATATAGATACTTAGTATTAGTCAACTTATATGTCGTGAGAAAACTGACTCGTTTGAGTATTGCCTTGGTTCGTACCAAACGTTCACTTCCCACTCTGGTCTCTGACAGCGTTTGTTACGCATGAGAAGACACCGTGGATAGTGCCTTTCGAGTCAGTCTCGCCAAGGTTACGCTAAATCTGATGCTGCAGTTAGAGATGCATACGTTCAATCTTCAGCCATTCAAGTGGGTCGTCCTTGTTGCCTCTGATGCGACCTGAAGCCGCAAGCGGCTCCAGAGCCGCTTCAACGATTCGGAGCGATTCACGATTCCATTCGGTTCTGACGCTCAAAAATCGACAATCGATGTCCGAATCGGTGCGTGAATCGACGTGTTTGACTCCCTAGGACTCCCTCTATTTGCATATGTTTTATCATAGAGTCCTCTCAGTGTTTCGATAACTGTGGTCACAGGTACTTTATGGTAGCTTGCCCATTGCCATTCCTTGATGAAGCTCACCGCCATACAGGTCGAAGCCAATGTGTATCGGCGAGCTCTTGTCCAGGAACATCTCCGGCTTTCCTCCTACCTCCAACTCCGCTTTGCTGTGTTATTAATGACCTATTATACGTTCTCGTAAGTTTGACTTTTGGGCTTCTGATGAATGCAAAGTATGCGTGACAATCTTCAGTGGCTGTTTCACACTGACTTCTTGGGCTTCTTCCTCATGTGGATATATGTTTGCCTAGGTACAAATCCGTTTGGACTGGTAGCGCGCAGCACGTTTCGGATGAGTATCTGAGACGAATCTAGATCAGTGGTCAGGCTGTAGGCCGCGAGCGTGTCACTGGCTGTGCACGGAAGTGTATCGAGATTCGAGTGGTTCATGGGATCTGGAATTTTAACGCGGTTTTCGTGGGTTGCTACGTGTAACGGGAAGGTGTCATGGTCGCACGCGGAGGGGCGTGAGCGATGTGTGCGCCCCCGAACTTTGAGCGTCCCTGATGAAGTGAACTCATCCAGGTCAGAATCATCGTTGTCTGCTCTGAGCTATTATTCGGCATGCAAAGCAGTCTTTGAAAATAGAAGACTGCTAGGTATTACTCTCGTCGAGGATGGTCATGGGGTGAAGTACAAGTTTAGTTTACGTGGTTCATGATGGTACCAATGTGGATAAGATTAGATTACATCGCATACACGCAGCAGCACCGTGTGGGAGGTACGGCACGCAAGTTGATCAGGCACCAAACACATTCAACAATACCCGTCATCTCACTCTCCTCATCGTCGACGACAGCGTTCAACCACAGTTCGTCGGCGTATTGCGTCCTTCAGAGACAGTTGTATACCATACTACTTGTATACCTGTATGTAAATTTGTATTTTCCTTCACATGGCACCTCCCAAGCGTAGGGTATCATATGTGATACCTCCACCCACGGACGACGTTCCACGGCTTAGGCTACCGCCACTTGAAGTCCTCCGCAATGGTTCAATACGCCCACTCCTCATACCCTCTCAGACACCACTGGCCAACTCCAAGAGCATTTCGGAGAATTCTCATCCAAGGCATCGACTGGGCGTCATGTCCCTTGCGCTCGACACAACCACGCGTCTTGAAGGTCGGAACACACCGGAAGGCATCCTCTATACTGGGGGAAGGGATGGATTAATCATATCATGGGATTTGAGACTTCCGTTCAGGCGGAGATATGATAGCAGGCACCGCAGAGACCGGTTAGACAGGTGGGAAATGTTGACGGGGATGGGAGATGAGACACTTGCTGAGGAGGCTGAGGAAGACGAACGACGAGATGGTGATGTGCTAGGAGATGTCAAGGAGGGTGGGGGACGAAAACGAAGAGGCAGCACAACGGACCAGTTACCGTACGAACTTCAGTGGCAGTTGGACACCGATGCGTTGACGTCGGGATCGGTGAGACACAATGTTTATTATGTTGCGTGTAACTGGAAGCATTTCTTGTAGCCTTCTAGCTTCCGTCAGTGCGCGCAGACCCACACAGACTGGGTAAACGATCTCTTGCTCTGTAATTACAATCAGACAGGTAAGCACACGGGAATGCAGTGGCGCGTCAACGGGCTGACCATAAGCAGTTGTTTCTGCATCGTCTGATGGAACCATCAAGGCCTGGCATCCCCATGCCAGTTCTCCCAGTGACCCCTCTGCAATAGGGACTCACGCCGATTATGCGCGCTGTCTTGCTCTTTGGTATGCATTCCTTGAATATAATGGTTCACGCTGACATGTATTTAGTCGTGAACAGAATTGGATAGCTTCTGGCTCATTTGACCGGACCATTAAACTCTGGGATCTTACCCGAGCATCGATAACGCCCGAACCATTCCTTACCCTTAACCCACCTGATGCTACCGCGCCCAAAGCCTCTGTATATGCAATAGCCTCCGACCCGTACGGACACGCCATCGCAAGTGGATCTCCGGAACGTGTCGTCAGGATGTGGGACCCGCGCTCGGGAAAGAGGACAGGGAAGCTGGTCGGTCACACGGACAATATCAGAGCCATTCTTATTTCAGAGGATGCGCGATATGTAAGTTACGAATACTTCAACAATGATTTGTTCTGATGAGTTCGGCCAGCTCCTCACAGGTTCTGCAGACGGTGTGTAACTCATCATAATCCTCCGAATATTTTTCCTGAATATTTATATTACTAGCATCCATCAAGCTATGGTCATTGTCGTCTCAGCGATGCCTACATACGTTTGCATACCACACAGATTCTGTTTGGTCTCTACATTCGACGCATCCCTCGCTTGAGGTGTTCTACTCTGGCGACAAGTCGGGTATGGTATGCAAAGTCGATGTGGAGGGATGTGGAGACGTTTCGGACGGTGCCTGCATTACCGTTGCGCGGGAAACTTCTGTCGAAGTCGGGGAAGGTATCAATAAAATCGTGACCGCGGATGACGGTCTTCTTTGGACCGCCTCCGGTAAATCGAGCATCAGTCGTTGGAGGCTGCCGAAACCCGTACCGAAACGAGTCTTAGATGAAGAAAGAGAAATCATTGCTGATAGCTCCATTGCTACGATCTCGAGGAGACAAGTTTCCCTTGGACGTGAATCTATGCAATGGTCTGCACCACCGTCAATACATCAAGGTGCACTTTCAATTTTATGTTAAATTTTCAATACTGAGCTATCGACTAGTTCGTAGGGATGACGCGACAGCAGCCTACCCCGGTGTTCCGCTCACATCTTTTGTACGACTCACCTCTCCCGATGGTCCTTTCTCCCCTTCTTCATTCGCTCTACGTGGACGCGATCCCGAGGTTGCAACACTATACTCTGCAGCATCCATCGCCTCCGTTCCGGGAGGACGTCCGCCACTCCATACTGCCTTTCACCATTCTTCGACCCTCATGCCCCCCAACACTCTCCGGAGCATGAAGAGTGAGGTCTCGATGGCGCCCACCGATGTTGATGCAGTGCAGGACCATCGAACAGCATATGAAGCTCGGGAATTCGCTGCTGATGCTGAGCCTTTAAACGCAAACCCAGATGCGATGATAGCAGGCTCTCCTGGCCTCGTGCGAGCTATCTTGCTGAACGATCGAATGCATGCGTTAACGGTAGATACGACCGGCGAGGTCGCCGTGTGGGATGTCGTGCGAGGAGTTTGCAGAGGTTGGTTTGCCCGTGAAGAGGTTCGTGCTGCGAGTAGATCCTGCAGTACTTCCAGCAGTGGGCCTCGTCGTGACAACGGGAGTGTGACAGGGGGTGACAAAGAACGGAGTCCTCGTGAGGCGCTTGAGGCAGTCCGAGAGCGCATTGAGGGTGATGCTGTTAGTTCGCCTTGGTCGTCTGTGGACACGAAAACCGGTGTCCTCACTGTGCATATCAACGAGCGCTGTTTCGATTCCGAGATATATGCAGACGAAGCTGGCTTCGATTATGACAGGCATTTTAGCGATGAACTCCGGTGTAAGGATATCCTTCTTCGTGTCAAGTGACATCTGATCCCAACACGCACTTCAGTTAACATTGGCAGGTGGGTCCTACGAAATTTGTTCCTCGGCTTTATTCGCGAGGAGCAACGCATTCGTCGTAAACGCGACACCCATGGTTCCGAGACCGGTCACTCAGCTATGCAGCGCACTGCGGCCCCACCATCACTGGAACTGAACGGGAACTCTTCTAGTTCCACACTGCGGCATTCCTTCGAGTCTTCGACAAGGCCGCCGCGAGTTCTTGTTAGTAGTGCGGTCGTCATGTCAACCACTTGTTTGCCCGCTGTCCTTCCTTCACTTCCCACTTTAACCCGACCCAGCCCTCTTCTTACTCCGATGATACCGCTCGTTCCGCTAAAATCTCCTCCACCGTTATCCATTGTCCCTCAATTGCCCCCGAACGATACCACCCCTGGTCCTCGACCAATACGCACGCAAGGCCTTGATCCAGTGGCTTCGCCCCACAGCGCGTCTCAGGACCTGGATTATTTCACCCCCCCATCCCCATACACGGCGTCCGTCTACGGGAAGCACCGCGCTGTCAGACGCCGGTGATTTTTCTGCATGGAGTGGTCCTCCGAGTGTCGCAACACCGACACCAAATACTCCTGGCGGCAGCGGGTTCATGGGGCGTCTGAAGAGCCTTGGTAAAGGCACTGTGAGAAAAACGACCAGCGACATATTGCCGGGTTCACCTATATCTAGCCCTTCTGGCAATCTGGCCGATGTGCCAACCGCTCTAGAGGTAAATTTGGTGAACATGAAGATTTGTGTTTGTCTGACTATTGCTTTGTCCAGGCACCTACAGAAACCGTTGAAAAATCGCCTGTACAGGCACTCCTCGCAAACCCTATTTCACCTCCCACATCCAGCGATGCTCCCACTCTGATGTTGCCTTCGGCAATGACAATTTTAATATCTGACGAAGTATATCCCGGGTGGAGAACGGTTTATAGGGGCAGCGTGTCAACTACATGGGCCGACGTGTACAAGTTGGAGTCGACGATACCTTTGTGGCTTGCTGAATACCTGCTATTTAACAAAATTAACACCCCACCTCCTGTAAGGTATCTTTTGTATTGTTACCCTGGCCAGGCACAGAACAGGGACATGAGCCACTCCCCGAGTTGCTCAACACGTTAGTGAATTTCATTCATCACGCGCCGTGTATTCTAAACGTGTTCTTCAAAAGGTCACAGTCCAAATTAACATCGAGCAAGTTCCTCAGAGTACGCAAGCTAACCCATCATGTAAGTTAATCCCCTGTGTGGGCGATGCAATAGTTGATATCGCATACAGGTTCAAGAAAAATTGGACAGGATATCCAGCAGTCCTACATTGCCACATCATCCACCGCATGACGATAATCACAACCCGCATGATCGTGTTCGGGGTGAAGACCTGTACGAAATTCTCTGCAATGACTCTGTTCTGCCGCTGGATATGACTCTGGCTGCTGTGCGGCATTATTTCTGGCGTCAGGCTGGCGAGCTGGTGATGCACTATCGTTCTAAAATTCGGACACAAGTACTTGTGCCTTCACAAAATATGTAATTTTCTGTAGAAAATACTTATGTATGTGATACGAGATTACTGCGCCCAGTTGTTAGAACGCTCTCAATGCCTTTCTCTTTCGAATTTCTTACTGCTCTGTTTAACTCGTCCGAATTTTTTTGGTTCCCTGGAATTGCATCACTTCAAGGTACAAGCAGTTATTAATCACCGTCCAAAATCTTTTCAAACTGCGTGTACACTATGATGTTGTTGACAGTTAATTGATCATATCTTAACTATAGTTAGTACCGGAAGCACTAAACCAGCAACTACAATATTGTTAGAGGACTCAAATTTGGTCTATTTGCACGATGAATTTTTAGGCAGGAAAGGCAGCAACTTGAAAATGGTCAATATTTATGGATTTTAGGGTGTTGTTTCAATTTTTGGTGGTGGAGTTTCACTGTGCTGTGTACTATTGATAAAGGTCGACGGTCCTTCCCCGACTCTACGAAGTAGGAAGGGTTTTGTAGGATACGAAAATTCAGGCACCTGTTGCTCGACTTTACACAGTGTGAACTTCCTTCCTTTTATGTCCAACTGTCCTTTGTCCGTCAACATTCTAGAATGAGAATCACGTTCTCAAGCGTTTGGCATTCTGCACGCCAGGTGCCGAAAAAGATAGCGGGTTTGGCCACTTGTGCTGGCGCTACCAGCTTATAGAAGGAACGGTGGGAAATGACGCAGACGCGGGACTTAAGACGGAAGAAAAGATAAAATTTTGGATCACATTCGCGGAGTCGGGGACATGGTGCGCACGCACCGCTACGATAATTTATTTTTTTTGGACAAGCGAGTCTATTATGTAGCCACTGACACTGTCTAGTTCTACATAAACGCTTATAGCGGTGCCTAAACTAGGTACCGGTCTGAGGGGAAAATGCTCTTACGCACTCCCTACCTTGGTAGGGGTGTGTGGGACTCTGTGAACTTCCTAGGTTGCCTCGGTCTGCGGGGGCCGGAGAAGCTTAATACCCACTAAAACCTCGAGTGATGTCGCCCAGTTGTGGGGGGGGTGGTTTTCTCGCGATATTACTTTTATCCATGTTGATTTGATGAGGTTCGTGAATTTTATGTTTCTTTTTGTCTTGCTGGCTAGCATTCTGTCTAGTTGTAGTCTGTTGTCGATTGTTTTAAACCATCTTCTCGTTATCTGTTCGTCGTTTTGGGTCACACCTTGTATGACACGTTCGCATCTCAGGACCCATATTAGGTAAGCTGATTCGGAGATGAGAATTCTTAGTAGTCTTGATAGTCCTTTTGTCGTTCCTGTTCTTCTCCTTTCTTCGTCATCGTCATCGTTTGGTGCTTGTTGTATGTTTATCGTTCCGCAACCTAGGATTGTTCCTAGTGATATGTTCGGCCATGGGGTGTCATTTTGGGGCCATATTTGACTGGCTAGGTGCCATATTACTGTCAGAGGGGATTGGTTGCAGTCAGTGAGTATGTGTTCTAATGATTCTATGTCTTCCCTGCAGGTTGGGCAGCGGCTCCTATGTTCAAGGTTTGGGATGTTTGTCCAGAATTCTCCAATTTTTAGTGAGTCGTGTAGAGCTCAGTATGTAAAGACCTGAAATTTTCTCGATAGGTCTTTGTTCTTTCTGCTCATCCATATGGTGCTGTCCGTTTCTAGGTTATTTGATATGTTTTTTATGGCATGTCTGGTTCGGTCGAGAAGGCCAAGTGTTGAGCATTTGTATTCGGTGTTTGCGGACTGACATTATTTGTTTATATGCTGATGCTTGTGTTAACTTGGTGAGTCTCACTCCTTTAATGTCAAAATTTGGTGGTATAGATGTGTCTAGTTGGTCTGGGGTGTCTTTCTTGGCTCCTGATCCGGCAAGTTTATCTGCTTCTTTCGTTTCCTTTGTTACCGTTGTGTCCTTTTATCCATCTGAAGGTCGTCGTTGCTGACCTTTTTCTCAGGTGGTATGCTGTTGCTTTAAAGAGTTCGCTATTCGTTACGTCTATCCATCCTCGATCTTCCCAATCTTTAAGGTGGCTTGTCAGCCCTTCTATAGCGTATTGTGAGTCTGTTATGATTGTTACTGGGGTTAGCGGGTTAATGTCTTGTATTCCTATTAGTATGGCTGTGATTTCTCCTGCTTGGTTGGATTGTGTCTTTCCAGGGGATTCGTACTGATCTGTTATTTGGGTGATTTACTCCAAGCCAGACTCCACTTCCGCATCTTGCGTCTTCCTTTCCGTTATTTATGCAGGAGCCGTCAGTATATATTTTGGTTGGTGGTGTTTGTATGCCCCTCCCTCTCCCTGGTCTTTGGAGGCGGTGGGCTGGTGTTTGTGGGGTTTCATTTTTTCGCTAAAGATTCTGAAGCATTCTGCTAGGTCAGTTTTTTCGGTGACCGATGGGTCGAAGACTATGTCTCCTCTGTGTTGGGTCAGGGCCCTTGAGTTTTTTTCTAGTCAGTGATGGGTTAGCATGAGGTTGTCGTTTGGTGGGGTGTTTAGTGGGCTGAATATCGGGGTGAGTTTTGTCAGTATTGATGACGCTGCTATCATGCATTTTTGTGGGTTTTTGCACCCTGCTAACCGATCATCTATGCATAGGGTGCAGATACATTTGCCTTTTGTTTGGTGTCGTCTCTCATTTAGTGTTCTTCCGTTTAGTTTTATGAGGTCTTTTACTGATCTTATTCTGTGGATGCATTGTAGGCATGAATCTCTCAGCTTTTTGTATGTCTTTGGTGGCGCTCCAAGATGCAGCCATGCTGGGAGTTGTTTTTTCAGTGGTTGCGATAACTTTACTGGTGCGAAGCTCATGTTGTACGTCTTAGCTGTTTTTAACATGATAGTTATCTCTTTTGGTAGCCGATTTGCGCGTGGTCCTCGTGTTGGAGGATTCCATGACATGAGGATTGCATTTATGTCGTTCATGTTCTTTATCCCCTCAGGCCTTAGTGTGTTGATTAGTGCATCGGAGACATATGCCCACGCGGGGCGGTTGGGTGAGATATTGACATAAGTTTTTAACCATGTTAAGCTAATTGCTTTATTTCTAGCCACGATGTCTAATATCTCTAGGCCCCCTTTGGCTTTCGGTCTTTGGAGGCGTTTTAAGCTAATTGGTGTGGATTTTGTGTTATCCCATATGAAGTTTCTTATGATTTTTGTGATTGCTGATTCGATTTGCTTTGGCATGCCTTGGGCTTTTGTTAGGAATTGCGTCATTCCTCCCACAAACATTTGGATGATCAGGTGTTTTCCAGTCTAGTGTTGGGTGTCCTTTGTTCCATTGTTGGAGGGTAGCTTCTATTTTGTCCAGAATTGGTTCCCATGGAGTTGTGTCTTCCAATTCGTTTCCTATCCATGCTCCTAATGACCTTACAGGTGTTCCGTCTTGTGCTATTCTCACGGCGGTGTCCCAAGGATTGTCTTCCTCGTTTATCTTTCTGGTTGCTATTGTCGCCGTTCTATGTTGTTTGGATCCGATCGGTAGTATTTCTGTTTTTTTCCAGGTTGAACTTTGCGCCTGATGCTAAACACCAGTTTTTGAGGATGTCCTGGAGGTCCTTGTATTTGTCTCCTTTTCTCAGGTATACTGTGGTGTCGTCCGCATATAAATTGACTATTATTCTGTTAGTGAGGCCAGGTATGTTATATTCTTGTAGTTTTGTTGAATTTTGCAGGGTACATGCTAACGGTTCTATTGCTAGATCGAAGAGTAGGCAGGACAAGGGGTCCCCTTGTCTGACACCTCTTGTTACTTTGAATGGGTTACTCATGAATCCGTTTATAGCTACTTTCGTGTGTGCATTTTCATATAGTGTTCGGATAGTGTTGATGAATCTTGCCGGTAAGTTGAATTTTGTTAGTGTATCAATCAAGTAGTCATGGTTTATTTTGTCGTAGGCTTTCTCCTGGTCTAGTGCGATGATCACGCTGTCCTCCTCCATGACGTCTGCGTACGCCGTCATCATTTGTGAAAGCCGGATTGGATTGAAGATTGATCTTTGTGGTATAAATCCACTTTGGTCGGGGTGGATCATGTTTCTTATTTCCTTTGCGAGTTGCATTGCTAGTGTCTTGGTGAGTAGTTTGTAGTCCGTGTTTAATAGCGTGATTGGGCGGTAATTTTCTATTTCAGATTTGTCTTTTTTCTTATATAATGGGCACATCCATCCTAGTGCGAAGTTTGATTCCTTCGATGTCCCATGGGTTTGTATATCGTTTAGTACTATGGTCAGGGTTTTTATGATGTCGAAGCCTGGTTCATCAGTTTCTTGTTTTCTTTTGTTCGTTTCATATAATATTTTCCATGCTTCGTATGGTATTCCGTCTATTCCGGTTGCGCTGCCTGCTTTTGACGAGTATAAAGCTTCTCTTACATTGGATTCTAGGATAGGTTCGCTTAAGGGACCGGATGGTGCGTTTAGTTTTTGTCCTTCTGGGATTTCGTTGAGGGACTCTCTTTTAGCATTGTTTCTTCTGTTGATCTCTTCCGAGTGGGTGTGTACGTTTTGTAGGTTCTCATGGTAGGTTCTTGCTATTTCCGCCATTTCTTTAGATTTATGAGTGAGTTTGTTTGTTTGTGGGTTTCATAATCGGTGAATGATGTCTCTTGGTTTTTTTGGGTTGTTTACCTTTGTCCAGTATTTACTTATCGTTTCGCCTTTTAAAGACCATTGGGCTTGTGCTTTCAGGTGCGTGCTTTTGTGCTTCTTCCTCTCAAGGTGTTCAATTTCGTTTTCTAGAATTATTTTGTTTTGGTCGTCGGTCTATTGAAGAGTCAATATCTGGTGCATTTGAGGTCTTTTGGATGTCTTTCTGTAGTTGTTTGATTTTGTTGTTGATTTTCGCTAGGTGGGCTTTCGTTGTTTGTTTTACTAGATTGTTCATATTGATTTTGAATTCTTCCCATAGGTAGAGAGGGTTCTCGGTTTCTGAGCGGTTTTCCTGGGTATGGTTGTTCTTTCTATGTCGTCTTGTAGCTTAATGCCTAATTTTTCAAATTTTTTTATTAATGTTTTGTCCGATAGTATGCTTAATGGCCACGTCCATCTCCCTTTGCCTATGTGTGGTAGGCCTGGTGGGGCGAATCTTACTAGAGTGATATTGTGATCTGTTGGTATTGGGCAAAGGTATGTTTTCCAATCTGAGACACTGTCTGAGTGAGAGGGTGATGTGTATATTCTGTCTAGGCGGGACATGGAGTTGTTGTTGCTTGTGAATGTGAAGAGCCTTGTAGTCGGGTGAGTGTGTCTCCAGGTATCCTGTATGTTCATGCTCAGTTCTGAATTCTCTTAGTGCCTCTACGGCGCATTCTGTGTCAAATCTTGCCGGGGCTTGGTCCAGTGGGTCTTCGGTAACGTTGAAGTCCCCCATCATAAAATCTATTGGTCCTAGTCCTTGGCTTGGCCAAAGCTGTCTTAATCGTGTTCCAGAAGTGTGGATGTTCAGAGTGGTTGTTTGGGGCGTATATTAAGTATTCTTATTATTTTTTCATTATGCCAGTTGATTGTTAGGGCGATGGCTCTTCCAGGGATTATAACAGTCATTTTTGTGTCGTTGATGTTTACTTTCTCTTTGTTGATGACAAAGGCCACCCCTGCTGAGCTGCCTGGGCGGTTGGGTTCTTGGGAGTTGAGCACGAGTAAGCGTCTCGAGAATAGTGATTCTATTTGTTTTTCATGTTCATCAGACAGGTGGGTTTCTTGTATGCACAGTATCCCTATCTTATTGTCTCTTACGGTTTTGTTTATTATAGGCCATTTTGAGGTTGTGCTAGTTCCTAGTGTTGGGGAGGCTCTCCCTTTTACATTTAGGGATGCTAAGGTGATGTTCGCGCGGGTACATTGTTCTTGTTCGTGTATGTTGTTTGTTGATTCGCGGGTGTCTGTTGTGTTAGGTTGCGGTTTGTGTTTTCCTCCCTGGGGGGGTTTTGTGGTGCTGACCTGGGTCAGGGAGCTGCGCTTGTGGTTGGGGTGTTTCCTTAATTGTTGTTGTTTCTTGGGGGGCTTGTGGCTCGTTGTGTGGGGTTGTAGGTGTGTTGCGTGGGGGGACGAGTGTTTTGTCCGTTCCTGGTTGGGAACTGTTCCTGCTCGCAGCAGGCGATTCCACTTCCAAAAACCCGCGAGTGGTCATCAGGCGGCCTCCCAGTGGTCCGAGGTGGGCCACCTTCGCGCTCGGGGGAGCGAGTACCTAGACCGGTGTCTTAATAACCGAGGGTCTTATATAAATACGTGTAAGAATGTAATGACACCACAATTACACTGGATAAGACTTCTTGCCAGTCCTCGATTAACACGGTCTACGACTTTTCTTCTTTCATGGTAGATAATGTGTGAGTTCTTGGGAGGCTCGCTAAACCAATCAGTCAGATTAACTTAGCCGGAGCTTTATTATCTCTGATTGAAACTATGGGATTGTCTAGGATATACCGTCTAGACACTTGAACTGGTTTCCTGAATATACGGTTAACTGTTGAGAAGCTGGTCTCAAATGTGACTACGTGGACCAAAGCTCGTGTTGGTCAATATACAAATACCTGGTGAGAACGCTGGTCTCACAAATAACAACAATAACCAAAGCTTGTGTTGGTCAGTATACAAATACCTGGTGAGAACGCTGGTCTCACAAATAACAACGTTGACCAAAGCTCGTGTTGGTCAGTAAACACTACGTGGTGAGAACACTGGTCTCACAAAACTGGGTTTCTATCGCGAGAAACTTACGTAATCTCAAGGGAAACACTTTCCCTGCACTTGCCTGGACAGTTCTTACAAAGGAAATGGGCTTTGTAAGCAGCAATTTGTTCAGACTGAAGCTTCTTAGGTGAGAGTTCAATTTGCTCAAGAGGGAGGTCTTGAATGCAACAAGTGGGAGATCTATTTTTTTGGGGGGAGAATGGGCTCTCCTTATATACATTTTGTGTGGGAATATTATGTAAGTAAAAAGGTGATGTAATGACTTCAGAATGTGAGAAGAATATTCCAAAAACTGGAGCAGAATGTTCTAGCAGGTGCAAAAGAACATATGTCGAGGATTTTACGCGGTTTTACGGTCACGTGATGCGTCCACGTGACCTTCGGGCTCCGCTGGATTCTCCATCCTCCTTGAACTTCCTTCATTGCGACGCGCGTCGTTTCTCGTCGTTGCCAGTGGTTGTTCTCGTTTTCAAACGCTCTCGACCCTCCGAGCGCTCGGCTCGAACGGATTGGACGAACGATAAAATAATATACATGAATCCGACTATTTAAAACAACGTTATAACAAAGCAAATCGACGGATACAAAGGGCAAAGACAGTCAGACTACAACAGCCGCAGGTGTGACTGAAAACGATCTAGGGATACAATTGTTGAGTTGCGGGGACAAACCTGAGCACTGCAGGGAGTGACAGGTGCGTGAAAATACAATGCGAAAAACATCGAAACGAGGGGGGGAAATGAGAGTGTATGTGAATGTGTGTGGTTCGTGAATCGTGGATGTGGGGGTAATAGCCTTCAGCGGGAGGAGGATGCTTGGACTTCTGGGCGGCCGTTCTTGCTTGCTCGACCATGGTGATTTCTCCGCGTCCCTCACGCTGGCGCTGGATGGCAGTTGAAAAGTGGATTGACACCACGGGTGGCCTCAGGGTATGCTTCCAGAAAAACTTGATGGTCCCGCTGCAGCCTGTTTAGAGGAAGTGTTTGAGTTGCAAACAGTCGGGTGCCGCTTCTGAACCTGCCGAAATGGCGTGAAGGCCACTCACCGGTAGAACTCGATAGCAATCACCTTGCGGATGTTCCGCTTCACGCCAGTGATTGTACGCATAGGGCCAGTGTACCACTCCTCCGGCCAATCTTTCAGTGCCTTGCCGCCAATGGATGCTGCAGGATCCTCCCACTGCTTTACAGCAGCTAGCCATGCCTCTTGTCCACGTGGGAGGTCAGGGATTCCGACGCCGGGGATGGGAGCCGTCTTTTTTGCTGCACCGCGGCTATGCTGACGGTGGTCAGAGGGAGGCACCTGCAGCACGGGTATGATGCGAGGAAAGGGAGAAGAAGTTGAGGCTACAGGAACCGGGCTGGGTATCGAAGAAGTTTCTGTGCTGCTCAGCAAAGAGGGTGGATGGGTGGCCTGATGGCACATGGTTGGTTGGACCGAGATTGGAGGTTGTGAAGGTGACGGCAAGAGTGAGGGATAAGGGGATGAGGCCGGAGAAAGAGTTAGTTTGTCTAGGACTTCCTCGACTTTACCAGACAGGCGGTTCAGTTCGCGATCAAATGACATCTTGAGTTCGCGTGTTTCCGCTGCGGTGATGGGTGCTGTCAAAATGTGGTCGCCGTTGAAGCTTTTGTTGCCTTCCCGAGGAATTGGGCACAGCGCGTCCCGGTGATTTTTCTTGTATCGGGTGAGCTCGTCCAGAAGGTACTGTATCAGCGTATCGACCTGTCCAAGTTGGGAATCAGTTCACATTACAGATTAGCAGGCCAACTCACGCTTTCGCCTTCAGCCCACGCACCCCACCAACGTATCGTAGATAGTGACCAGCGCTCTCCGAGGGGTGCGAACATAAACCGATACCTCGCACCACCTCGGCGGAAGCAATGGCTAGTGTACCTGACTGTCAGCCCAGCCTTGGCACAAATCCAGGTCAGTGTCTTCATGACAGCGTCGTAGGACAGCTCGTCGGAAGGGTAGACGACACCATTTGCACCGACACGCGGAAAGATGTACTCTTCAGGTTGCAAGGGCCGTTGGAGAAGTACCTCCTCCAGGAAACTCACCCAAGCTCGCAGGTGTGTGAACATACAGATTTCGGGGGTCTTCAGGCTGAGCATAGACCTCAGTACTCATGACCTGGTAGTCACAGAGTCAGCGCCCTCATCCAGCAACCCAATCAAAAAATAGATACCTTCGAGTGCGCTGTCAATTTCCCCCTTCCTGCTGCCAGCATTTACAGGTTGACAAGGCTCACGAGGTTCGAAGGGAATGCCATAGGGCAGGGCGTCCCTGGCAGTTGCCAAACAATGTCTTTCCGCTTGATTTTCGTCAGTTCAAAATTCCTGTGGTAAATGAGTGCATGCATCAGTCCAGTCAGTCTGAGTCCCTGAGGCGATGAGGGCAAAGCGGCCCGAATTCAAAACCTAGCGTACCAGTGTCCAGATCGTGATTCCTGCTTGTCGAGAATGCGCGCACCATGAGGTGCCAGCTGGGCCAGAATCACGTCAGCCACGTCAAGGGTTGACCTGCCTTCAACGGACTGGCGAATGTGGCTGACAATTCCATCTGGACACTGGCTATAGGACCAGGCCATGAGTTTCTGCATGTCCTCGATGGTCATGGCCGATGCGTGATTTCTGCTTCCACCTTCGGCACCCTCGTTGTTCTTGAGGACTTCCATCATATCCTGTGCAGCCGTGGACAAGGCTGGGTTTCCTGTGACCACCCCAGTGCCCTTGTCACAGTGATAGGAAACCACGGTAAGTCTCGCCCTTGCTGTAGTATTCCACGTGGAGTCCTGAGGCCTTGAACGCATGCACAGAAATAGACGAGATGTATGCATTCTTCCACATATCCTTGAATGCGGAGAAGATGCCCCATGTTGTGCTCAAACTCCGTCCCTCCATCAATCCCTTCTGGACAAGGAACAGCTCGAGTGCCGATGCCGAGTATCTGTTAGGGATGATGTCGAACGCGCGACTGTATGCATCGATATCGGACTCGCCATCAGCCTGAGAGTGAGTGCCCTCTGCTTGGGCAGTTCTCTTCTGCTCAACAACGTCCATCGAGAAACCGTCGGCCCCGTTCAAGATGGCCTGGTGTACTGCGATTGAGTCCCTTTTGCCTTCAGCAGTGTTTGTCGTGCTTCTTTGCGCTGTTCCTGAAGAGCTGAGGCCAGAGGCAGTAGCTGCCTTCCGTCCTGGTTTATTTACGACCTGCCGCAATTTTCTTTGTTGTGCCCCATGCCATCTGTTTAAAGTACAATAGAGTATAGAGTATGAATAGGATAAATACGATTCGAGCGGATGAGAAGGAGGTGTTGTACGAGCAGGGTGTCACACTCTAGATGTGAATTATAGGAGTCAGTACATATAGAAGTTCAAACACTTAAAGGGGTTTCTGGCTGCATCTTCGCCTTTTTCCACAGCATCAAACAGCAGTGCCGGTTTGCATTCGTCACATCGTATGAACTACACACTGACACACACCTCTCTACAGCCACAATGCTCCAGCTCACATTCTTCAAAGACAGCACGAGAGGACAACAGCCCAGCAGCCATTCTACTACAACAGCTTCAGGTGCTTCCACCACTCATAGTGACGTACATGAGGGCGACATCGCACACTTTGTCCCAGGTTGGCTTCGACGCCTTTGTCCAATCGCTTGCGGTCCAGCAAGGGTTTCAGGCGGATGTCATCAGAACCTGTTTACAAGTACCTCTCAAGCTATGAGAAAACGGTCGAGGGCATTGAGGCGATGAGGGATGGCAGCCGAGGTGCACGCCGTTGCTGAGATTCTAAGCAGGACAGAGGATGACGACGTTGAGGACGACAGCATTATGGATGATAGCGTCAAGGAAGACAGTGTCAAATCGGAGGAGGAATAGGTGTATTGCCAAAGGGCCGTAACTTAAGAGAGTCCCTATTTACGTGGAAGCCCATCTGTAGCAAGAGATCGTACGAGGAGAGCAGTTACGAAGAGAGCAGTTATGAGGAAAGCACGAAGGAGGAGAGCGTGGAGGAGAGTGTGAAGGAGGAGAGCGTGAAGGAGGAAAATAACGATTAAGAGAACAAGGATATCAAGCAAGAGCAGCAGTGTATTGAGGATTGACAGGCAATGGTAATAAACATAGGGCACGACAGCAGTCTCATTAGCAAGTTGTTGGCAAGCCTGAGCGCCAGTTAAAGCAGCAGACTCAGGTAGTAAGACTTCGCCTCCAGGGACGTGAGGGGCATACAGCTTCCATCTGTGAGTAGTTGTCATTGTCTGATGGTACCCCCCAGCGATTATGGTCATTATGACTGGGCATGTTCCCAAACCCCATCACACATCCTTTGGTCATGTAATCTGTCCACGCCATAGTCACAATGAGGCGGACTATAATTGACCGCTGGAGAGCGACGTGAGGGCAATCTGTGCTTTGCTCAGTGTGAAGAAGAGAAGGAGGACCAGGGAACGGGAGCTGGTCAGGTGAATGAGATGACAATGAAGAAATATCATGTTCCCTTCCATAGACACGACCGTCATATATATCTCGTGCTGGAATATAGGTGTCATGAGCAGGCCTATAAGGGTCCCATGGAAGGTCCCAGGCAGGGGGATGACGGTTGCCTTCTCTACTATAGGAAGGAGGCCAATGATTAGGTATTTGAGCACCACCCCTCTTGCGAGATTGGTATAATGAGGCCTGGGCCTGCTGTTGCGCTGGTCATCCTCCTGAATGCGCCTCTCGTCATCTTCGGATCTCTCATAAACCGAAGGATGCCTTCTGTCCATCATAGGACTAATTCTGAGTAGAGGGACCAGGCGCATCTGGACCATTTGTTTTCTTCTTGAAAGGAAACTTGACCTTGGTCTCGAACTTGGAAGGAGCTGGCTTGGGTGGTAGGGGAATTACTGTTGGGCACGGAGAAGGTGGCATCCCCTGAATACGCATGCTCGTGACAGTGGATGGATACCAGTTCAGACTTTTGGGAGGGGGAGGGTGCTAAGCCCGAATCGGGTGACAGCGAGTGGGATATGAGACTTGAACTCGGATACAAAGGATGAGAATCAGGCTCCGCTTGAGCGACTTAAACTGAAAGAAGTCGTGTTAGGTATAGAAAAATATGAACAGAACCATAAACGTACCGAGCATTAACCTCCATGACACAGTATTCCTTGGAATTGGGGTTGAGTGCATACTGAATGTTACACTCGCCGACAACACCGAGATGCCTGATGACCTTGATAGTAGTGCTGCGAAGCATGTGGTATTCGTCATCCAGAAGAGTTTGAGATGGTGCAACAACAATCGAATTGCCAGTGTGTGTACTGAGAGGGTACCGAGAGGATCAAAGTTCTCCATATTGCAGCAAACTGATCGTATTCTAAGAGCATATGCACTCAACTTCAGAACGCACAACAAAGCAGAAATGAACCTACATGAGCGCCATCACGAGCAACTTCGTATTCGAGTTCCTTCCAGCCCTTCATACTCTGCTCAATGGAAAAATCCATAATCGACGACAGGCACTGTCTGGCGTTGGAGAGGGATAGTAGTCGGTGTTGCCTTGAGTGAAAACTTCTGTTGGTAAATCCTGTCCAGCGGGTGGAGTGAACCTAAACAGTTGGCCAGAGGGCAGAGTCAGGGTATCTGTCATTGGATTAAATGATAGTGAGCCAGAGAATGCCATAGCCATCACAATTGTAGGCAACGCGAGAAAGTTCATGGTTAGTTGATTTCCATCATTGCGAGACTTGAAGTTCCTGCATCATTGAAAATAAGTGACATCACGGGTTGAATGAACTCCAGACTTGCCATTGGACCAGTCAAAGCAGCGGGCCTTCGCATTTTTCGTGTTCAGCTGGAGAGAAGTATTTCCTCCTGTGAATGGCGATATCATCTCCAGCGCAACCTTGACCTGGACTGGCCGTGCTAAGAACTGACTTTCAATCTGAGGATGCTACCATCAGCAACTATCTACAATTGATTTCTTTATAATGTACCTGTATTAAAAGCCAGTCAGGGTACAGCTCCGGATCAAATCCCTTGCATTCTTCATTCTCCAATTTCTTGAAGAACTCAACCCAGTTTTTATTAGCGGCAAAGACCAACAGCCTTTGCGAGTGCTGCAGTTGGAGAAGTATCTGCGACAGGCGAATGAGAGCCATACACCATGCCTTTCCCCATATCTCATATCATCGACGCGCAAGATGAATGCTTCGACACTGAATGTGCCTTTTCTTTGGTCTGGGGGTGGAGGACTATTTGCTGAAGTAGGAGTAGGAGGAGGTTGCGAGCACACACCATATAATCGCCCATGTTTCTCCTTGCCATTATCCGAAACATCAATTTAATGCGAGTAACCTCCGCTTGTGACATCCCATGTGTGAGGCCAGCCTGTAGAAGGTTCGTGAGAGGGAGGTGTAGGCTCTGGCACACAAGAATCACCATATCCTTGGTTCGCTTGCATCGACCGCTGCAATGAATCACGGTATATTCCAGGCGTGAACATATCCAGGTTAACGCTGCTAAAAGGATGAGATCTCATATATGTGTAATCATTAGACACCTGTGGTCGTTCTGAAGACATGTGTGGTGGAGAGTGGAGAGTGTGAGTGACCAGCACGCAAGGTGTGAAGAGGCTGACGTGAGTAGCCGATGAACATACTGGTAGATGCACGCATTGCTTCTTCAAGCAACAGCGCAATGTCATCACGCCCTGGCAGATCAAATGGGAGACCAGAGTAGGGGGACAAAGAACTGCAGCGTGATGCAGAGCAGTCAAGCTGGCTAATGGCGAAAATGTCAACAACTGGGTGAGGTGGAACCGATGTACTCGCCTTTATCAGCACAGGTAGCATCAGGTCCTTGTGCAATCAGCAGCCGAACACACTCTTCACGCTCGACATCTCTTTCCAAAGCATGCAAAACGCGCCATAAGGTATAAGTAATGGCAGGTTGAGAATTCTGAACAGAAGTACGGGAGGCCGGGCGCCATATTCCTGCTTAAATGCTGAGTGAAACGGGTGAGGATCAGAGCCTGCATGACAATATGAACTCCAGACTCGCCATTGGACCAGTCAAAGCAGCGGGCCGTCGCATTTTCGTCAATTGTAACATATAATCAATGGCGCCTGCAGATGGGAGCACGCTGGGAGCTGGCGGCAGCGGCAAAGTGGACAAAATCAGCGAGATGTCGCGTCGTCGAGACTTCAATAGATAATACGAAGCGAGATCTTAACAGTGCGAGCTCCACCTATTTACACCGTTCGCCACCCTGACACACCAAAGGCAGTTACTAGGTGAGGAGGGTAGAGCTGCGAGCACCATTTCAGACTCTCGTACCTAAGCCAGTAATGAACAAGACCGCCGGAATTCTTCGTCGAGGGCTGAACACAGCTGATAGTGCAGGATTGAAAGAGCAACGTGATTGTATAATGTGACAAACAGTCACGCTGCCTGGTTAGGGCAGCACCCCTGGTCTGAGAGCAGTGAGGTGCGTTGTAAGTATGAAAAGAGGACGTATAACATACCTCTGGGAGTATTCAGAGTAGCATATATGGTGGTGAAAATGCAAGGCTACAGTTAAAGCAAATTTTGAGGGAAAGAACCAGAAATGCAATTTTTCGCCACGCTGCGCGCCACATTTTACAAGAAAAGAACGGAAAAAGTGGTGGTAAAGTGCCCGCCACACTTATTTTACCATAAAATCTTGGGATTTTACGGGTGGCTGAGAGCTCCGGCGGCAGAATTTTACATGGATAGGGCGGGCAGGCGCATGAGCTCATTTTCGCCATACAATTGAGCAAATTTAAACATGTATATTGCATGGGTGTACGTATATACAGCTTGTACATTATGGAAACAGAAAAGAACATAAACCATGCCGTCTTTCTGCATGTGCGCACGCGAAATTTCGACGGAATCGCGTCGCAACAACCGTGACAGCACGAGGTTGATGGACGCGACACGACGACACGAGGGGCCCGGCGAACTCCGTCAGACAGTAGTTTTCTATGCTTACGAGTGGTCCTCAGGTGCAGGTACAGGTGCGGTGCATCCTGCAATGCGAAGACGACGGAACGGGAGCTGCAGACCTGCGCGTTGAGTGTCGGGTTGCTGATGTGTCAGCGAAGTCACGTGCTTTGGCGTTTTACACGCCTGTGGTAAAATGAGGCAATAAAACCAACTTTCCAGAATATTCATGGTGGGATAATGACATCATTCTGAGTCACTATGAGTCACTATGAGTCATTATGAGTCATTGGAATGTTCTAGCAAATTCCATGGAACATGACATCATTATGACATCATACCCTGTAGGTACAATCTTATGAAGCATCTGATTAGTCAGAGCATCCTAATAGAAAAGTAAAGTAAAGAAACACTAGAGAAAACAACTCAGAAATAATGGAACAAATAATAGTACACAATATGTGGGCTTTTTAGATAGGTTTTTGTTAGGCTTTGAACTTTTCTCTATGGGTTTCTCTAGCCAAAGTGAATAAGCCAAATGAAAGGCAATACCTTAACCTTCATTTTGCTTCTCATATCAACTAGGTCATTATGTGATTCCCATCTCACATATGACTTTCTTCAAAACATGGTGGATTCATGAATCACCGAGGGAAAACTGAAACTATTGGACCAAGGTTTGATACCAAGGTATGGGTTGACTAGTCTGAGGACTAAGCTAACAGACTTTGTCTTTTAGGGGGATACCTAGTAGTCATGTCCATGCATGATTCCCAAATCATGCAGGACACCGGTGAAAAAAACCGTACTGTGGGGGGTTTAGGTGTGAGTTTTGGGTGATTGGGCTACTAAGCTACTGTATGATCATGTTGTAACTTAGAATTGACGTATCCTGGCCAATTGGCAGTGGACTATGTTAGCATTTTCGAGTGATATTAATGCCCAGGACGTTAATATTATCTACTAATGAGAACTTGAGCCTCTCGGCACGGCTCGTCCGAACCTAAATAGGTATCCGTGTTCTGGCATGCACCATGCTGGTCGAGATGACCTACGCTTTCCTGTCTCGTTCGCACGATCAGTATATTTGGGCATTTGGTCTATTGATGACTATTCGAGTCTCGATCGAAGTTGTCTGGCTATCCGACGGCTCATGTATTCATTAGGTTCCGGGCCTAAGTTAGAGTCGTTGTGGCGGGGTGTTGTTTTGTGTTTTGGTTGATAGTGACTGTGGTTGGGACAAGGGTGATGTGAGTAAATTGACTGGGTAGTTCGAGGTACATAGTATGGACTGAGGGGGCTATGTAGTACGAGGTGTGGATTAAGTATGTGCGATATCTTCGGATGGTGGAAGCTGACGGCTCATGATATGTGCTTAGGCGTTGCGTCCAGGCCTTCCGCCTCTAAATCTTCCGGTTTGACGAGGTATGCTGGCCACGTTTCGGTTCCCTGATTTTGGGCCATTCCAGAGCGGGACGAGCGGGAACGGGCAGAGTCCTCTTGGGTGAGTGAGGGAGTGACATATTTGGCAGGGGAAGAGGGGAGTTGTTGACCCACAGCCGTCGAGGCCTGTGGGGTATTTGAGGGCATGTAGGAGGCTTCTCAAGTTCGTCCAGGTTTTCGCGTCATTGGTAGGGCTGGTGGCAAATATATTAAAGCGTGGCACTGAGAGGCCTCCTGTGATCTTGAAGTGGAGGAGCTCGGCGCGTGCGGACTCGATAAAGTCTCGCGCGGCCTTGTATATTAGCTCGTCGTCGGGTAGCCCGCATTTTGAGAGGCAGTCTTCGATTTGGTGCCTGATCTCGTCTTGAGACCAGACCTCAACCACGGTTTGACGGACGGCGTCTGCATCGAGTGTGGTGAAGCCGGAGAGGCAGAAGAGAAGTTCTGGAGGATGGGCACAGTTGAATGGTAGGGCTTCAAATGTTATATCCATCGTTGACCAGATTCTTTGGTTTAGGATTAGATTCATGGTCTCTTCTGATACCTTGTGGACTAAGAATCCAGTTGGTAGGTCTCTAGAGCCCTTGCCACCCTGGGGTTGGGGGGGGGGAGACACGGACAGGAGGGGCGTCTTGATTAACGAATTCAGCTATGGTTGTAACGCTAGCCCAGATGCGTTCTGCGATGATTGTGGCTTGTTCAGCGACGTCTTTTCCGGAGTAGTCAAAGACCTGGATCATGAATTTGGGATGCCCGACCTGGAACCAGGCGAGGAGGACCTTGGTTTCTAAGTGGTCGAAAATTTGAGCCGAGTGGGACATGTGCACTTTGGGAAAGCCCCCATTTGGGGTGGGGGTGAACTGGGGAAGGGTCATGCGGTTGTTGAGGCCGCTTTGGCTTAGTACCGATCTGTTCGTTTCCGCTAACTCCAGGTGAGCCAGAATTGCTTGTTCTTCAGTGGTTTGTGCGTGTCCGGAGTTTGGGCTTGGAGGGTTGCTCATTACTTGGTCATCTGTAGGGTTGCCCGGGGCATGGATAGAGTTCCCTAGGTCACTGTGAGTGCCTTCGTTGTTTTTTGGGCCCGACCTTATAACGCTGAGTTCTCGGTAAACGAGGAGGTCGGGATTCAGAGGGTTTACACGTTCTACACGTGGAATAGGGGTGGGTGTGTTTGGGGGGAGCGAGGGGTGCGAGGGGAAGGTGGGTCGGGGATCGTGTCTAGGAGGTCTAAGGCGCGTTCCATGTTATCATCTTCTGGGAGGGTGTTCGGCGGAAAGTATTTTGGTCCAGCCCGAGGGGTTTGGGATGTGGGACGGGGTGTGATGGGGTATGGCGGGAGGCTTGTGACATGGTTTTGAGGGAGGTGGGTTCCTTGTCTTTCATCTCTGGGTGGACGAGGGTTTGGGTGGTTTGCGAGGGGATTTATAGTCTACTTTCAAGCGCAGATTCGTGGTGGGGGGCATTTCATGATTCAGCTGTTGGGGGTCGGGGGCTCCATCGTGGCCAGGTTCATCTTGGTTTTGGCGATAAGCTAGTGCCTATTAAGTTTTATGAGTGGTAGTTTGTTCACAGGAGGATTTTGGCGGGGGTGTTGGTTTTGGGTTTGTTGCAGTGTTCCTTGTTGTAATTTACGTCTGGGCGCTGTTTTACTTCCGTTTTACCTTGTTTTTGATGGTTGGTTGCTTTACCTTGACGTTCTAGAGATGCGAGGGTGTGATTTGTTTACGTTGTGGTAAAGGTGCGTCGCAGGTACTCGTGTGCTTAGCTTTCCGTGTGTTTCTTAGAGGTTTATTGGTGTCATTTGGGGGTCGTGTTCACGTATGTGGTACTTGGGTTATGTTTTTTAATGAGTTCTAGGTGTTTTTATATGTGTTATGGCCAGTTGTTGTTCTGTGAGCCGTTGTAGCTCGACCTTGCCAGCAATTTTTCATGCGTGGGAAGTTCTGTCCATGGTGGTGGTACAGAGTCAAGGGCCACCCCGCTACGATAATTAATAGGCGGCGGCGTCGAAGCGTTCGCATGCAGTTGGTTGGTGAGTTGAAGGGGTGAATGAGTGGAGGCCAGAACGTGATAGCGGCGACGCAAAACCACTGGACCGTAAAATCAACTCGGAAGCCCGATGGCGTCATTCTTCCTTTGAACAGTGCATGCGCTCCCTTCGAGGATGACGGAAAGAGCGGCAAACAGGGCAAACACTTTGAAACAGAAGCACGACAAGAGGCACGACACGAAGTGCAATGCTCACGTGGTCAAGAATGCGATGGCAAAGCCGCCAGCGCCAGTGACTCCCTTGGAAAGATGTTCTAGCTTGCATCGAGTTCAAGAGAAAGACAAACAGGACTCGGAAGAAATCGATTACACCGCCGCACTCTTCGCATATAGTGATTGCCTATGTTCCTACCAAACCAGAATATCTGGTAGTGGATCATCTTAAAGCTGAAGATCCGGTGCCAGGTTCTTCGCAGACCGGGCCAGCAACACAACCTGCGTCCGACACTGCACGTAAGTTATTGCATTCTTGATTCTAAGATCAAACTAAATCGGCCGAGCAGCAGTTATATCTTCCGGCCTGACTGCTGCCCACTGGCCCAGCCTTCCCAGGGCGGGTCCAGCTCAAAGCGCAAGGCTGCGGAAACTTTGCAATCCGCTGCGAAAAAAAATCCAAGATCTACCCCAACGAGCCAGATGTGACCGTCCAGACGGGTATGTATTATCTGATTAATCTTGTCGTCGTCGGTGTGTTCATTCGTCTGTCGAATCGGTTGCGCTCTTACTACAGCTTTTTTAGACGATGTGATCTGGATCTGGTATTATGATCGCCAGGGCACTATCCAAAGCTCGGGCATCAACTTCATTCAAGATCTCCCGCGATTCATGGTGCTGTTGTATGCCTTGCAATCCGTTGAGCTTCACGATTTGGGCCGAAACAAGGACTTCCTCCCTGTTCGAGTTGAGGGGAAACAGTGCCATGAATTCAAAGTCAAGGATGAAAACTTGGAGAGGTAAACCTGCTGCTTCACACCAGCCACGACGAACGAGTGATGCACTACGGAGTATAAGGACGGGCCACCGATATGGTCCCCGTCACTAGCAAAGCACTTGCGAAGAAATACGGCAACTTCCCGGACGGGATGGTGGCGAAGATATTTTTGGGAGAGGCGAGTCGTACTAGCGAGCCGGAAATCTTGGACAAGGTTAAGGAGATCGCAAAGGTGCACAACATCATAAAAGATCATATTTCCAAGCTGCTTTGGCACCACACGTTCACGAATCCCACGTCCGCCATCCGAGAAGTGCTCGGCGTTCCACAGCCCATCACAAGCAGTCGCGTGTTCTACATTCTCGTATTCCGCAAGCTCCTCCCCATCACGAAACTTCACATCAATGAGCTTTTCGACGTGTGGTATCAGTGTATCCTATGTACGTGTTTTCGTCGCATTTACGAGGCTCGTCGTTGACATGGCGTGCAGGCCACCGTACGCTGTGGAAGGAAGGGGTCTATCATCGAGATGTCAGCCCTGGAAACTTGATGTGGTATTGGAAAGATGGTAAGCGGATGGGTGTCTTAAACGACTACGATCTGTCCTTGTTGGCAGATGATCAGGGTCATCGGGGGCAACAAGCGCACGGACGTGGTACCGTTCATGGCGCTCGATCTTCTCTCCGCAAAGGCCCAACTAGGCGAAGTCAAACACCTATATTGCCATGATCTGGAGTCATTTATGGGGGTCTATATCTGGATTTGCTTGCGTTACAGGACGGGAGTCCTACCAGCGGAATTACGCCCATTAGATGAGTGGATGAGACTAAATCCTGTGACATGCGGCGAGAAGAAATATCTTTTCCTAGGCCATCTGCGAGTTCACTACTCCTCGGACATTGATTCACGTATATGGGTTTTCCTTGTGGAGTGTGTGGAGGTCCTTCGAGACGATGTCAACCATCGATCTACTCGCCTCGACCAGCTAATGGCCCGAGGAGCAGCCGAGCAGTCCAACAATGAGCAATTGGAAGATATCGATAGTTTTCTACGCATGTTTCCAGACCTGCCGAACTCACTGAGCTCAGCAGCTCTTCCCAGTGATTTCTTACTTACACAATATTCTAAGCCGGGGTGTACGGATCACGCTATAGGGACGGCGCGCGCCCGTTGAACTAGACATCGGAACATCCATATATCGGATGCAGTGTTAGGAGGTCGGCATGGCTCCTCGGGGAGTAACAGCTGCGTGAGATCTGAGGACTGGTCACCCTTGCAATTCAGAGTTTCTATCTGCAGTTCGGAGCGGCAATTGTGCGTTTCAATTTGAATCCTAGTCGTGTCCGAGTCTACGCGTCTTCTTCACTGTCGGAGGACGATTATGGCGCTGCACGAGTATTGACTGACAGGCAATCAATCTGTGCGATCTAGTCCTCGACCTGCTTGCGTCCCACCCTGAGCTAACTCTCGGACCAGCCCAACATCATTGTCACCGACTCTAGAACCAGGCGAAGCTGGAATTACGTTCTTACGTTACGCTGCACGTACTATTACCTTGCTTTGGGAGCCGGTGTATTTCGGAACAGTAACAGGGCATTCATCACACGCCATCCTGACGAGTGTCCACAGCAAGTCAGCACTGGGCTAAAACAACTTCATCCATACGATTTTGTTACGCTTGAAATTGGGGTCCATCGCCGGCGCGCTTCGTTTCTTTGCCTAGTTCATTACCGTCGAACACACTTCTGGACTGTGACACCAAAACATTGTTTCACGCCTGCAACCTTTTTTACAATTTACCCCGGCTCCAAGTTACGGCTGAGATCTTGGTATTGTAATCAATGTCTTCGTATATTGCCCCTCGAGATAACCTACTACATAGTACCCCCGGGTTTATCATCCATTCCACTTCGTCAACCCCCGTCAACGAGTGAGATGGATCAATGTTGGTAACTCCATTTTGCACCATCTCTCGCTCTCTAACCTCATCGACAGTCGCTCAATCATCTGAAAGAACTGGGTGGAGCTCTCCCGGGTCACTGTCAAGGGTGCTGAATATGACTCTCGCGAACCGCCAGCCCCACCCAAAGTGTTTGAAAGAGACCCGGGTGGGCCTTCTCAATCACATCCACGAAATATTAGATAAACGAGAGAAGAATCAGCTCATTTGGCTGCATGGCACAGCAGGCGTTGGAAAGTCTGGCCGTTGCGTTCACTGTAGCTGAAAGGATGAGAGGCCTAAAAGTCGCAGAGCATACGAATGTGGAAACGCGGCTCGCTGGGGACCTTCTTTTTCTCGCGCAAGCACACCGAACGCTGCACGACTGGATATTCTTTGCAACGCTAGTCTACCAGCTTGCAAGCAATTTCCCCAGCATTCGGGAGGATGTGAACAAATCCATCCATGACAATCCCGCTCTTCTAGACCCCAACAAGTCTCTCCGCGACCAGATGGAGATACTCTTTCTCCAGCCTCTCCGTAGGCTTTACTTCAGATTGCGTGGGTGCCACCCTTTGACTTTCGTTCTTGATGCCCTGGATGAATGCACATCCGAACCAGAGCTTGTCGATCTGATCCTTTCCCTTGCTCGGGCTCTTCGTGAACCTAATCTTCCCGTGACCCACATTCTGCTGACGAGTCGCTCGGAATCGCATATCTGTAGAGCCATGCAGGCAGAGAGGGGTGCGCTCGTTGGTGTGCGAGATACCAGTGACAATTTCAGGGGAGGGCGTGGCTACCATCATCTCATTAGACGGCGCTGATGTCGACAATGACATCTGTATTTTTTTGCAGCATTCATTCAGAGAGCTGGAGAGTCGCTATCCTGATTTCCCACAGCCATCGAGGGATCAATTCGAGCGGCTAGCCAGCCGAGCTGGCAGACGTTTCATCGTGGCGTCCACTATGATGAAGTTTATCGATGAAGGAGACAATGATCCCCACGATCGGCTTCAACTCATGCTCGAACTTACGAGCAAGCTGCTACCAGGAACGGAGGTGTACAAGTTGTACGACTCTATCCTCTCCACGTGTGCCGACCCCAAGCGGGCATATCTGCATTTGTCCATCGTTGCTGCTCTCACAGATCCTCTACCTCTCTCACAAATCTCGACACTGCTTGCCCTGGTTTGGGCAAGGATGTGGAGAAAACACTGAAACAACTACGGTCTGTCATGGATATTCCCCCGGACGGCACACTCCCCGTGAATATCTATCACTCCTCCATTCGTGATTATGTTTCCGACTCTTCAAACTGCAGCCTTCCTCAAGTACACGACATGCCATCACCTCACTGCCTACTCGCACGTTCCTCTTTCCGCCTGATGGTGAAAAAGCTACCAGAAAGCACTGCCCTTCTCGATGCACTCTCGAAATTGAAGACGCACAGCCAAACTATGCAACCCCACGACCCCCAGAGATTAAAAGACTCATTAGCCTTCCTCGTCCAGCCACTGATGCCACTCTCAGTTCTCATCAGTCTTCTATGGCTCAGGGGAGATCGCAGTTCAGATTTACGATCATGGCTAGAGTCTCTGGATGGGTGCGCCTGGCTGCAGACGGAAGGAGGGAAAGACTGGTTGCAGACGCGAGGAGGGGAAGATTGGTTGCAGACACAAGTAGGGAAAGACTGGCTGCAGAGCCGCGGAGGGCAAGATTGGCTGCAGGCTTGGGGAGGAGACTGGCTGCAGACGCAAGGAGGGGATGTCTGGCTGCAGACTCAAGCAGGGGAAGACTGGCTGCGAACGCGAGGAGGGCAAGACTGGTTACATACCCAAGGAGGGCAAGACTGGCTGCAGACCCCGTGCGGGTACCACTGGCTGCAGGCCCCCCAAGGCGTCCAAGACTGGCTGCAGGCCCTGCACGGGCGGGACTGGCTGCACACCCAGGGTGGGAAAGACTGGTTGCAGACACAGAGAGGACGAAGCTGGCTGCACACCCATGACGGACGAGACTGGCTGCAGACCCAGTACGGGAAATACTGGCTGCAGACCCAGGGAGGCCGAGACTTGCTGCAGACCCAGGGTTTTCAATACTGGCTGCAGACTCAACGAGGGCAAGACTGGCTGCAGACCTCGCGCGGGCAACAATGGCTGCTGATCCCGAGCGGGCAAGACTGGCTACAGACCCAAGACGGGGCGCGACTGGCTGCAGACCCCGCACGGGTGTGACTGGCTGCAGACCCCACGCGGGGGCGATTGGTTGCGGACCCAGGGCGCACAAGAGTGGCTGCAGACCCGGGGCGGGCAGGAATGGCTATCCACACACGGAGGGCGAGAGTGGCTGCATACCCGTGGCGGACGAGAGTGGCTGCGGACCCGGCGCATACATGAATGGCTGCAGACCCGGGATGGGCAGGAGTGGCTCCAGACGCAAGGAGGGGAAAGAGTGGTTGCAGACGCAAGGAGGGGAAAGACTGGCTGCAGGCCTTGAGAGGGGAAGACTGGCTGCAGAGCCCTGGCGGGCGGGCTTGGCTGCGAACTCAGGGAGGGCAAGACTGGTTGCTGAGGTCGGGCGGGCGGGCCTGGCTGCGAACTCGGGGAGGGCAAGACTGGCTGCTGACTCCGCGCGGGTACCACTGGCTGCAGGCCCAAGGCGGGCAAGACTGGCTGAAGACCTCGCACGGGCGGGACTGGCTGCAGACCCAGGGCAGGCAAGGCTGGTTGCAGACAGAGGGAGGACGAGACTGGCTGCACACCGATTATGGGCGAGACTGGATGCAGACCCAGGACGGGAAATACTGGCTGCAGACCCAGGGAGGGCGAGACTGGTTGCAGACCCAAGGCGGTCGGGACTGGCTGGAGATCCAGGAGGAGGGACAACACTGGCTGCAGACCTCGTGTGCGCGACAGTGGCTGGAGACCCCGGATGGGCCATACTGGCTGCAAACCCCGGGCGGGCAATGCTGGCTGCAAACTCAAGGTGGACGAGACTGGCTACAGACCCCGCGTGGGCGGGACTGGCTTCAGACCCTATGCGGACGAGACTGGCTGCAGACGCCCCGCGGCCAAGCGTGGCAGTCGACTCCTGCAGCATCTGTCTGGGTGACCATGGAAGAATTCTCAAGCACGTTGGAAGCAATCAGCAAGTTTATAATCATCCCCGAATGTCCTTTACCCCCAGCTTTTCAAGTCATCCAGGAGTTCAAGAACTTGCCAGATTTCTTGATGTTTCCAGCTTTCCTCGCATTAAGGCACCAACATCATCCCACCTCTGCACTACCACCAGCTCATTTTACGCCAAACATGGAGATTGTCCATGCTGTGAATGCCTTTGAGAGATTCGCCAACGAAGCACAGGAACGAAATAGATCAGATAACCATGCTCTCAAGTACGCCTGTCAAAACTGGGCCGTCCATCTCTCACGAGCTCCGAATCCATGGATAACGAGCTCGATCATATATTTAATACTTTCTGGAATTGCCATCTGCTCTCCTGGCTTGAAAGGAAGTGGTTTTTGAAAGGCTTGCGATCTTGCCTGGTTCTTGTATCTGAAGGGCAGAAATTTGCACACGTGCGTTTCCGCGATTCATTAGGAAAGTCCCAGATACTGACTGTATGGCTTATCCTCAGCGTGGACTTTCTCATGTGCAGCCTAACAAAATACTGCCAACCATCGGTCCTGACCTCCAAAAGTTGAGAATGCAAACATCAGTACCTGCTTCTACCTCCGAAATGGTCGATGACGCAACCATCAACTCTTACTTGGAGCTCGGAACTCATCGTGGCGCCACACGAACGTAAATCTCCACCACACATCAAACCGACTTCGCCCTATCTCCCCTCTACTCATCTTGAACCCTCCTCGCGAACTGTCCCTTGTCCGAAGCTCGAACCTGTTGTGTCTCAACGCTGGCATGACCAAAAAAGCGCACATCAGATGACCTTGGGGTCGATAGCCATCCCTCATTCCAATCTGTCGCCGCCCCTATCCCCACAAAACGCCCGAAACGAGACAGCCCAATGCATGACAAGAATGCTATCAAGTAACACAGTATATTGGTAGGATGTCATTTGGTTTTCTCGCATTTGACCCTGACAACGTGATACAGTCGTTATTCAACACAATACCTCTCAGCGCCGATCTATAATTGAATGCTGACCTTTATGCCTGTGCGCTGTTCAAAAGCCTGTTCACGCTACCGATCGAGTGGTTTCATGGCTGTGAAATTCAGCATCTATTTATCTCACCTTACCAGCAAGCAGTTGTAAATGGTCATTTCATAGAGTAATAGCGGAGGAACAAAGCAATACTCAGTACAAGCTATTGAAGCGGAAAAACTAAATGCTATCCGAGACACAATCGGAATATGGATGTACGAGTAATCCAAGGCAACACTTGATGGAATCTAAAATTCATTGGTCCCGCTGCTGGTAATCTTTCTGTCAGTAAATCTTTTGTACAGTCCATGTAAAAGATCAGACGTAGGTATATATGCTTCCCGTTCGAGGATTGGGCGTATTTGATATTATTGATGTGTGAAAAGAAAACTTCTTGAGCGAGTTCAGCGTGCTACGTAACTACGAAACAAGCTACGAAGACTGTCAGACGATGTCAACGGCGACTCAACGCACACGTCGATGTTGCCTCTTTATGTCGCAGGACCAACCTTCAATCGAAGGAACTTGCGATTCTGTCGCGCGCGCCGCGTTCCTCGTAATCGAATTCGTGCCTTGGCTGAAGCCCTTCGCCCTGCGTTTAAACACCGAATAAGTTATATACTAGTACTTACAACGAAACTTGGAATCAAAACGAATGTATCCCAGATTTTCCCACTTCGTGCAGTGTGTTCATCACATCGAATATTTCCCGTGCTACATATTGCTGCTAGTCGACACATGCACGCGCTCCTGAAAAGGGATTGAAGTCATCCCGATTGCTGCGTCGTTGTCGGCCACGAGTTTAGCGTGATGTTCTCGAACGCTGAGGATTAGGCGCGATCCCAGTACAATTGTGATTGGAATGGCTGTGAATGGTGGGTGCTTGGATAAGTTAGAATTTGGACTGCACTGATTTTGTGCTGCCAGCAAATCCCTTGGTGCGTTAGTAGCATTGGGCTTAGCTCGGATCCCGACGGTGTCGAATCTACCGCCGAAAGAGTTGCCAGCAGCGCAGTATTTCGTTCCCAGAAGACAAGGCAAGCAGTAAAGAAGTAGGCGTATGGGCAGGGGCTGCGTCCGGCTCTTGCCGCCGTAGTCGTACAATCGGCGCGCACATAAATGGTGGTGGTGCTGGCCACACGAAGTTTTGTGTCTTCGATTGCGTGGCCTTCTTCTTCGTCCGCGTTTGGGAGGTCCAATGTAAACCTCAGGAAAATCGGCAGATCTGGTGAGAAGTTTTGCCTTGTTTTTGTGGCCAGGATGGGGCTTCGGAGTTAGTGAGTTCGGTTTGATTTATTTGGATGTGATGTCCTGGCTAGTTCAAAGCGTCAGAAATGGGATTTCTGGATAGTTTAGTCTGATAGCACTATTGGTCACCTCTCGGAAGCAAAGACCACTTCGAGGGCATCAAGGCCTATGCCAAGCGTTGTAATTGTACCAGTGACAGTCACGCTGTCTGACTCGTCCGCTGTGAGCACCCACGACATCAGCCCCGGCGCAACGGCCACTCCTCGCGGTTGGGCTGCTTGCGATACTGAAACAGACGCCACGCTCGATTGTGAAAAGTCTACAGGGGCTGGCATAATTTGCGGCTCCAACCGGTCCAGCACGTAGATAGCAAAGTCCCTGGAATTATCCAAGAGAAGCTCTGGGCTGCAAAGCGATGGGTTCCATGGAATAAAGGTTATATGAGAACACATACCTTGAGTTGCAGATAGCATTGAAATATGCTTTAAGCGGTGCAAAGCCGTGCTGCGCATTTGCGGTAATGGAGATGGGTAAAGAGTAAGTAACCTGTACAGAGATGGGGTCTAGGCAAGAATGGGTTGAAGAGAGCTGTTGACTGTGTAAAGCACTCGCGCTAATACAGGTCAATTATGGGGAGCACCAGACCAACCGGTGCAATGAATACATCCAATGTTTGACTTTTATTAACAAACGTGAGGACTATTTATATACCTGTGATGTGATAATATTAAAGTTCGACGGTCCTTAGTAGGCGGCGGCGTCGAAGCGTTCGCATGGTTGGTTGGTTGGGGGTGAATGAGTGGAGGTGTTTGTGATCTGAACATTGGCTGTTAACAGTGGGCGCTTGGATAGTTTAGTCGGAACATACATATGAGTGTTAGGAGGTCGGCGTGGCTCCTCGGGGTCTTGCCATTGAACTTTAAATGGAACCGAAGAGAGGACAGCTGGTCAGCCTTGCAATTCAAAGATTCTATCAGTTCGGCAATTGAGCGTTTCAAATTTGAATGCTAGTCGTGTCCGAGTCTACCCGTCTTCTTCACTGTCAGACAGTCTGAGCTAGCGCGTTCGGGACCCAGGCAAATCAATTTAAGTCATCGATCTCGATTCTCCGTAAAAATCAAAAGTGGTCTCATTCTTGACCTCCGGTCAAATAATATAAAGATCTGGCCACTCCTAAGTAATGTTTATCCACCCTTGTCATATCTGTAACCATACTTAACCAACACCCAAGGATATATCATTTTGTACCAGTACTCTTCTTGCTTTTAGCTTTCATCGTCACCCAGAAATACCGTACCCTAGACACGGTCTCCCTAGCCTTCAAAAGCTCGTCGATACCAAGCCCAATCTTATCGCCAACTACTATACATTCGACCCACGCAGACAAAATGTCGAAAGCAGACAAGCGTAACAAGTTCCTCGCCGTATTCGAGCGCATCCGCGAGGAACTTATTGCCCATATGAAATCAGAGAAAATGCCAGAGGACGCTGTGACGTGGTTCAACGAGGTAAGCGATTATTCGCATGCTCTATCAATAGTGATGCTGATATGATCACCCACCTCGTTGGATCTTCTCCTAGAGTCTCATTTACAACGTTCCAGGAGGAAAACTCAATCGCGGCATATCCGTTGTCGATACCGTCACTATACTTCTCAACCGACATCTAACTGATGACGAGTACTTCAAAGCCGCCCTGACTCGGATTGGTGCATCGAACTCGTACGTTTCAGCTTTATCGGCTTCTTCCACTATGCTCAGCCAATAGCACCCTCTGATAATTATAGCTACAAGCCTTCTTCCTCGTCTCCGATGACATGATGGATGGTTCCATTTCGCGGCGCGGTCAACCTTGTTGGTACCGCGTCCATGATGTCAAGGGCCTCGGAAAAGTCCACAATGTTGCCATCAACGATTCGTTCATGCTCGAGGGTGCAATTTACCACCTCCTGAAAACCCACTTCAGGCGAGAGAGCTACTATGTAGATCTGTTGGAGCTGTTCCAAGAGGTATGCCTCTCGTAATCACTTCTGCCACGTTCATACCTTCTGACATGGACGTGCTGCAGGTCACGTACAAAACCGAAATGGGCCAGCTCGTCGATTTGATCACTGCCCCAGAAGATAACATCGATATTCGCAAATACAACCTTGACAAACATACCTTCATTGTGCGGTATAAGACCGCATTCTACTCTTTCTACCTCAGCGTCGCGCTCGCCATGCGTATGTGTGGTGTTCCAGACGTGTACGAGCTCAACGGAAAGACCATCGAGCCGTACAAAGAGGCAGACCGCATTCTCATTCCTATGGGCGAGTTCTTCCAGGTGCAAGACGATTACCTAGACTACCACGGCACCGAGGCAGAAATTGGCAAAATTGGCACGGACATCGTCGATGGCAAATGTTCCTGGTGTGTGTGCACAGCACTCACGTATGGTACCGAAGCGCAGAAACAGCTCTTGTATGAGAACTATGGGAAGAAGGGCGCAGATCAGGCTGTGCGGGAGCAAGCTGTGAAGGACATGTACAACGACGAGCAGGGGCTGAACATTCCCAGACGCTATGAGGAGTATCAGAAGAAGGCGGTGGCGGAGATCAATGCGATGATTGATCAGGTCCCTGAACCTGCTGCGCACGAGGTGGTCAAGGGTAACAGGTTGAGACGCGACGCGTTCCGCGCCTTCTTGAGCAAGATCACTGATCGCAAAGCGTAGAAAAGGAGTGCATGCAGACATCAATCACTGTAATTGTTGCTTGGTTTATATCCGCTGTTTGTATTAGACTACTGGAATCATTGGATCGCGGACATGACTACAAGTCATCGCATAGATGATTCGTCTAGTATCGCAAACCAACACCCGCATCGCTAAGATAATTGTGGCTTGTGAGAGACGTACATCATAGGATAAGTGTTCTACTCTGCACATTTCAGCAGCCTGGACAGGTATAATGTCTTAAACACGCATAGGCAATGTCAAAATCACGATAACGATAGCAAAACATCAATACAATAGAGATCTAGCACACTGGAGCCTCAGTGCACATGTTGCGGTGGGTACGCAGCTGGCACATGGTGCGCTTGCGATGGTAGGCTCTGGCGAGCTCGCCGCTGTGGGGGAAGGACATGTGTGACAGCTGCTGCTTCTTCTCTAGATAACAACAGAACCCAATTAACGAAAATCAGACAGTACAGACATGAACAAACGCACCCAAAGACAGTCCTGATCAATTCATCCAGCATTGCTTCCTTCTTTGCCTTTTCCTCCTTCGCCTGTGCCCTCGTGACCCTAAATAGTATGATGTCAATGCCGCGAGAACTATCCACATCAATTCAGCACACCTGAGTTCCTCGATGAGCGCCGCATGCGTCTCAAGCGCATAGCGCATTTTCGCTTTCTGAATTACATACATGACGAGTGCAGGACTGCGACCCATGATCAAGCCAGTCCTAGGATCCAAGAGCTTCTGCAAATGCGGTGGAAGTCCATCGTCCTCTCCATCATCATCGTCTTCCTCGTCTTCCTCACGCGCGAGTCCCGAAAAGTAATCTCCTCCACCCCCGAGGCCGTTATCAAGCTCAGAAGGGGTCTGCGGTTCGAGTTTGAAGGTGTTGAAGGCGGAGTGTTCGGGCGCAGGTGCGGTTTGGGGGTGGGAGGGTGAGGTAGATCGTTTGCGTTTGCGTGTCCCTGAGGAGCCCCTACCGGAGGGTGGAGGGGGCATGTTATGCTGTAGTCGCATGTGTTTTGCCAACGCGTCGGAGCGAGTGAAGGACTTGTCGCATTCTGGGAATATTTAAGTGGGTGGAGAAAAAGATTAGTCAACCAGACAATGAGGATTGGCACATGGAGGTAAATTATAAGAGTTGAAACAAAATACAGGTGATGTTCGTTTACTTTAGATGGGATTGAGGACACTACTCACCTGGCCGGGAACAAATGAAGGGCTTCTCGCCGGTATGCGAGCGGATATGGGATATAAGGGCGAATCGCGAAGTCTGTGCGAGCCCACGACGGTTGCATGTCGCCCACTCGCAGGTATAGTTCGACTTGTGCACGCCAATATGGGCTGTAACACACACTCACACATGATGTTTAGTTTCGACGATATTAGGGCATGGACGCACTGTTGTGAATGTGTTCTATGAGACTGGGGAGGTGACTGAAGATAACACCGCAGTCGTCCCAGAGGCATGTCATCGTGTCCGCCCCTGCTGCTTCCCCATGCTCAGGTCCCGGCGAACCCGCCCGGCTCGCGCTTGGTTGAACATCGGGTGCTTCGTCTGAGGAGTCATCTAGTGGTGCGGAACTCTGTGAGAATATGGGAGATGGCGAGCGGCCGTAGGCCCCGTACGCGTACGACATCGTCGACGAAAAGATGTGAGTGTTTGCTGGTCGGCATGATGATGAGCTGTTTACTTAGTTGGACTTGCCGAATTCGGTGCGTAGGGCAATTCCCGGGCGACCTTGATGGAGGGAAGACTTGCTTCCTTATGAATTTATTTATTAATGGTCTGACGCTTTCTCTCAATTAGCCTCAAGCACCGGTGTTATGAAGTTTTTTTCCTATGATTCAACCACAGGGACGACAGCTGCAGGACCGTGCGCCACCCGTCGGCCCTCCCATTTCCTCCCCTCAAAACGTGGACGTTCATGCTCTTTGTTGCCTGCCAGTTTCAATTTCTGCATCATCTTACATCAAGTTATATACTATGACTTTTAGCAATAGCCAATGCCTCACTGCGCACAACTGAGCTGCCAGTACTCAATCTCTCAAGCTATCGCAACTTTATGACTCATTCAATACAACTTGAGTTTTCACGTTCACCTGCCATGTGCGAGTTCCAATTTCCGCTGCATGCAGCCAACGCCTCGCACTCGAGCCATCTTTTGTTTCAATACAGCTCTTTGACTGATCTGCAACGTACGTAGACCCGGATGCTACTGTTGTAGGACAAGATAGACGACAAAATACTAATTGATACATAAAACAGATCAGATCTTCTCCAGAGTTTCCTTTTACACTTGTATAACTAAAATAAATACTACGACGGACCCTCGACCGAATATCTCCTCCGTGCAGAGTACTTGGTAAGCATGTTTTACACAGCACTGCTAGTTGTTACATGTACGCGCTTCTGGAAGACAATCGAATTCATGCGATTTTCATTTTCTGCGTCAGAATCGGCCGCGTGCTTGGCCTGACATTCTCGGACGCTAAGGATGAGGCGTGGTCCCAGCACAAACATCTGCACGACCGATAAAATTTGAAAAGTACCATAGAGTGTCTCAACTCCTAGAGAAATTGAATTAATCTACAGAAATGATGAGCAGTGATTACAAGTAGATGTCAGCGACAGGTCGGCGCACCAAGAAGCCCTCGAGAGAGATCACCAACTAACTCGAGGCAAGAGACACAAGCAAAGCTAGCACGTGCGGAATTTGAGCAGAAAAAGATAGCCCCATTCACATTGCAAGCTCACCTCGCAAAATAAAGCACGTGGGACTTCATTAGCACTCTGAAGTAGTCCCCAATGGTCGATCCAGTTGACGAGCGGAGTCGTCGCAGCTCATGGAAACGTGTCGTAGCAATGTTGACTGAAAGATACAATGCGAGGATCTCCCAAACAGTGTTGAGCATCCAAACCATTGAGTCCAGAAGCGGGAAATCCCATTCATATTCAAAAGTGCACATAGACATGCCAGAGAGTACTACCTCCTCTGGTGTTTGTCCAATGAGTTGTGTTCTTCAAGTCAACAAGTAAAGCTAACCTCCAACAATAAGCTTGAGTTCTATTGCCGTGATTACTCCACAGGCGATGTTAACAGCCAGGAAGATAATAACAAGCATGATAAGCATGATTCTAGATCTCTGATACATGGCATGCAACCGAGCAATCATGATGACTTGCATCGTGTTTCAGTCGAGTCAATATCACTGAGGTATTGCAACTCACCGTCCAACACGGCAATTACGACCACACTTGTTCCATTTGTTGCGTAGTTCATAATATTGCCTGAAACACCCAATTAATGATCACCCTCGTACTATGATCAAACACTCCGACTCACACCTATTGTGTCATTATGTCGAGCCAAGTTCAATGGTCAGGATCTCACTGACCCCTACATAAGAGTGTATTCATTAGACGGGAATGATATGGTTGTGGAATACTCACTGCATCTGTCAGCGAGACCATTGTCACATATGCTGTGTGCCGCCGGTCAGAAAAATCGAACACAGTACATATGAGACATACGTAGAACGCTGATACTGTTAAGAGAGATTGCTATTAGCACAGTACCAATTTTCTGACCTCGATACATACACAGAATATGGTATTCCAATATAGCGTATCTAGAACATTTTGGAGTCAGCACAACCGCTAACTACGCACAGCATAACACGAGGTACGAACAACCAGGTACAGCACAGTCATGACAGACCAGCGTTGTCTCTGTTGCGAATTCATTGTATTCTCCTGTTTTTCTTCTGATATGGGACTCTGTCACTCACCCAGATCAGTTCAACCTATGACACCATCCTTAGCAAGTCGGCTACTCCGGTAATAGCACCGACCTACCTCTTGTCCGAATGTTAGCACTGGAAATATCATGAATATATCAGCAGTTTTCGAACACTGTCCTGCTCACCCCAATCATATACCACTACGACGCCGGCAGCAACTGCAAAACCGCAAGTCAATGTTAGATCGAGACATATTGATGCGACGAACCCAACCAATAGCTGTAAAAAATACTTGAATTGATGATCGGTCACTGACTGGGATCATTTGAGACTACGGTCATATTCGAGGGATGGGTATGAACGAGTGGGGGACGTTGGAGGTGTATAGCATAGCATTCGTGCTAGATATATATCCACCGTTCAGAGCTTGATATCGTCAAAATCGGCATGGTTGTGATCATCACGAATATCTATGCTCAAAGTTTAATTACATAAGGCCTTTGATTGGTTGAAGCAAGTATTACAATACGAAATCAAGTGAAAGTGGAACAAGGGCGATTGTCAAGATGATATATCTGATAATATGAGTAACTTCCTGCACTGGCAGCGTTTAGAATTCCAGATATGCGTCCCAAACCTTGTGTGCCGAGGAGCCGCTGTCAAACGTAAGCAATTTCCAACTCCGTACATCAAACACACCCTTCCAGATCATAATTAGTCCTACACCCGTTGTGCCTTCGGCACAGGAAGCAAAAGGAGCGCTCCTTTTCAGCTTCCCGGCCTTGGCTGCATCCTAATACTCACTGTGCCTTCGGCACAGGAAGGCAAAGGAGCGCTTCGTGCTTCCCCATGCTCAGGCCTCAGGTCCCGGCGAACCTGTTCGGCTCGCGCTTGTTTGAACACTGGGTGTTTCGTCTGCTGAGGAGTCATCTAGTGGTACGGAACTCTGTGAGAATATGGGAGATGGCGAGCGGCCGTAGGCCTCGTACGCGTACGACATTGTCGACGAAAAGAGGTGAGTGTTTGCTGGTCGGCATGATGATGATCTATTTACTTAGTTAAATTCGGTGCGTAGGGCAATTCCCGGGCGACCTTGATGGAAGGAAGACTTCCTTCCTTATAAATCTATCAATGGTTTATTTTATTTGACATTTCTGCATCCAATTGTTCACGTTAATCCAACGCTTTGTTTTTGTATTTTACAGAAGCTCCATACCAATGTACACGGAACCGCTTTCACAGTTTGCACTTTGAACAAGTATCACAGATTTTTCCGAGTAACCTAGACCATGACTTTGTCACCGAGTCTGCTTCCGGTCGACCAGCCAAATCCCGCTTTCTGGACGCCGATCAGTGTTTTATCTGGCATGTCTGGTTTCGAAGACGAATAACTTGAAGTGCTTATTCTCTGACAGTGAGAGGCAGCAGTCTCTACACAGGGGAAAATCGAACATTTGTTGCATAAATGTATACGAAACGCATTCGAAAGTAGCAAAACCGCTGGCTATAAGCACAGTGTACACTGCATGGATTTAATGGTAAAGATCTTCAGACCAACTTTCAAATTTATTCACGTCCTCAGTCAGGCTCTTGATTTTATCCCTTGTTGAAACAACGACATTTCTGTGCAGTGGCAGGCGCATAGGAACATCATCAAGGTGGGTCAACTTCTCAATGGCCACCACTGCCTTGTCTGAATCTCCATCGATATTGCCCGACGCCACGATTTGCCGAGCCCGGGAACCGGGCAAGTCAGGATTGGCGTACGCAGGGTGCTGTGGAGTCAGGCGTTGATTCTCTTTGAATATCTTGGTACGGAATGGACCTGGCTCGATTATTGTGACCTTGGGGAAATGAAAGGTTGGCGAGTCTTTAAACGTCAAGCATCCTTGAATTACCTTTATGTTCCACGCAGGATCAAGTTCGTTTGCCAAGGACTCGCTCAGGCCCTCCAGAGCTAGATAATTTGATAAGTATCTCCACTCTCAAAAAATTGATTAGACCTGCCAAATTTTCTGTCGCGATGCTATGACTTAAAACAGTATGCCATATAATTTAGAACACTCACGATGCACTGTAGAAAGCGACTGCAGGGCCGCCTACCAATCCCAACCTTGACGAGACCTGCAACAGTCTCCCACCAATTGGCTTGTTCACTTCTCGGAAGAACTTCACCGCCTCCTTGCTCACATGCATAGCACCCCAGAAATTTACTTCGAACATCTGGCGGGCCTCTTCCTCGCTCACGGACTCTAACTCTCCTGTTACAGCTTGACCTGCATTATTAAACACGACATCAATCCTTCCAAAAGCTTCATTTGCTCTTGCAAACGCAGCTGATACTTCCGCGCTGTTCGTCACGTCAAGCTGAATGATTAAGAACTGGGAGGATGGGAATTGTGCTGATAAATCTGATAGAGCGTCAGGATGGCGAAGAGTCGCTATGACTTTATCGCCCTTGTTGAGCAATAGCTCAGTCATTGATCTCCCGAACCCTGACGATGCACCAGTAACTGGATGTGAGATATCAGTATTCATGGCGAGTCCAATAAATTCGCTTTCACCCACTAAACCAAACCTTTGGGTCTGCCATTTCTCCAGTAGGGCTCTCAAAGAATAGGAGGAAAGAAAGGGGCGTAAGATGTCTCCGCAGTTTGTGCGCTAAATAATGCAGTAAGCACAATGAGGCGCAATGGCGTATGTATGGCGTATGTGGTTCGTTAAGCTGTCCAGGCTCGATGTGGCTAGGCTGATTTCTAAGACCTATGCTTAGGTTGGCTTCTAATCATCCGAGTCGATCAGCTGAATTTGCCAACTTGGAGTCAGACGAACCCAGGAATATCATGATCATCAAAGGGCACAAGTTCAATGGTCACACATGGAACGAGTCAGCACTGCTAAGCTAGCATGTCTGAAGCAGTCGGGGTATATAGGATCGCCAAATTCTCGTGCTGTATGCTCACAATCAATACGATCATGACAGCAATTAATGAAACGAACGGGAGTGGTTCGCTGGGGCTGTTGTTGAAACAGATAAATGACACGACTCTAGCATGCTGATATTGCCTCAAAGGGTAGTAAGTATCTATGCGGATCGCCAGGTTTGTTGTTGAAACAGATAAATAGTATGACCCTACCGACATTGGGCTAACATACTCCTTTCTAATCTAATTTGAAGGTCTTGGTGCCGTTCAATTTTGTTGACCGAGCATGTTTGCAGGTGTCCTCCTGACTGGCGTCTGGCATCCCGTCGCCGGTTGTACAATCGCTTACAGCGATATCACTATGAATCTTACCGCCACTTTTATTTGTTTAGTGTGTACCCATTTTTTGGTCTTGCGCCTTTCGGCATATCAGTTCGCCTGGGCACCTACTAGACATGCCATGATGTTGTTCTCTGACGGGTTGATGTACTTTTTCATCGCGTATGTTTATTTATTTTCCTGCTATCGCGAATACCAACCTTCCTGTTTCAGATTTGTGTTCGACTTGCTGCTGCAATATTAATGATGGTGCTTGACTTAAACGCCATCACGAGTGTTATTTTAATGCCCAGGTCCAAGCCGCTGTTGCTTCAGCAGTGAGTTTCTTCCACACTCCTTTTCTAGCTACACTATGAATATAAGTCACGGCGCTTCGTGTTGTCAGGCGACTGACTAATTTCCAGACTTCAGCGCCAGAGATCATGTAATTGTATCTATTATACACAGACACGTTGACGCCGCTACAATTTTTACTCCTCGGCAGCTCCAGGTTGCCTCGAAATACCTCGAATATTGCACTCAAGAACACCGATGGGGGTCTTTACAATGCAGTCACCACGCCAAATGTCACTGGCGTTGAGGTGAGTAATGCTCGCACGTAGTCCCTTTCTACCCTCATTGGTAGTCACTGCAGATGAACATCTTTACACACGCGGCGAACAGTGACCTTGAGCAATATTCATGGTGCGTCGCACCACGTCCTACCAGCAGGGACCATAAAGGAATTCAGGTGATTTGACGCAAGACCGCATCGCCTGGACGTCTTCGATAGACCAGGCAGTCTCGTGAGATACTTTTGAATTGTATTTTTAACGGATCAATTTTTGGTTCTTCGACAAATTGTCTGTCTCAAGTGGTTGCAATGAGGTATTCTTGAAGCGAATTTGCAAGGAATCTTACTATGTATTTTTCAATATATTGCGCAACCACATTGCAACGTGCCGTACCATTACCGTACCATTATTGCAGCGGCATTTCTGTGGCGATTTCACTATTATTTAAACTCGTTTCAGAGGTCATTTTGCCTCTGAAACTTGAAATGCCTTGCAAGGCGTTGAAATCCAAGTTAGGATTTTCTAACACATAACTATCCTCCGGGCTCCCCGGTACAGGTGACTGAAGATATTCTCAAACACGCAGGCCTTACCTTTTTTTTGAAGAAACGACCGTAATGTTAACGTTGATAATTCATCGACATCACTGATGCCGTCATAATAGCCGAGGATCTGATGCGAACATGCATTAATGGGGTAGTGGTAACCTGGGTCGTTGCCATCGACCCGCCGGGGGTTCGATTCCCTCTTAATGCAGTGGCAGTTTGGCTTTGTTTTTGCCGCTCGGGATGGTTTGTTAACCTCTATTTTTCTTCAGTGATAGACTATAACAATTCGCTGCGTGCTGAATCCGAAGCTCTTCCATAGGTTGGTTGGAGGCTCTTGGAGATCGGTTCTTTCGAAGGTCGAATCCATGGGTGATGTCACATCTTACCATGATCTTCGAGAAGTTTGCCTGATTGAATGACATCTCGGGTATAGCTCGGGCGCGAACCAACTATACCATATTTCTACCTGTCATCCTGAAAATATGACCTGAAAATCTATTTCCCTCACTTTGTTGTACATCACGCCATGTTCACCCATCTACTGGTGTTGCTTTGCGCATCTGCCTTTGTAATTGCGACACCCAAGTTGTGGTCGTTGGCGAGGACGTGGGAGGCTGCACGTTGGGGTTCCCAGTATGTTGTGTGTCTACCAGCGATGATTATGTACGTTTTGGATTCTAGCTTCAAAGGAGCACACGGACTAACTTGACCTGCGCTCGACGTTGCATAGAGCGAAGGTACGAGGTGCCAGAACGTTCCCAATGTGAACGCATGTAGTAAAACGGCTCAAACGACCACCACACTCTGCTGCGAGGACGTGCGTATTTCAATTTCCACCTGCGTTGCTGGCATTTGCTCATCATCGATGTAGGTTAGCAGCGTGAATCTGAACGGAACAGCAACGGATTGCACTGCCTACGAGTAGTTCTATAGTATATGCCTGCTTTGTTCGTAAAATTTCTGCACCGTGCAGTGGTTGCAAGCAAATAATTTGCAGATCACCAGTAAGAATGCAAATCACTAGTAGGCGTAGCTGATTGCTGCCAGTGCTAAGAGATCCTCCTGAGCAGTTTTTTCCCACCAATCTTCTTTGCTTTGTGCACCCAGTGTAGAAAACGAGGGGGTTGCGTCCTACACTTGGATTTGACGGTACCATACCAGTGAGATTTCAAAATTTCGGAACACGGTAACAAGAGTCATTGGTTACGCTAACCTTACCTAACCACACCCTCACAGTGCCTCACTCGAGCTGCTGTGTAGATCTTACTAACAATGTGTTTACAGTTCCATTCGTGAAGGTGTGAGAGCAGAATTATCATCGTGTCCGTTCGATGCCCGTTCTCTGGTACTCTTGAAACACCAACGCGTGTTCAGACAACTTACCATCGACAAATCACTCCGTCGCTTGCAGGACTCATTGGCATTGTAATGCCCACCACTGAAGGACTTGTCAACTTGGGTCCCAGTCCTCAATACCTTGTTGCGGATCGACATGAGGGTCATTGTGTCTTTGAACATCGTAGGATAGTGGGCCTTGCAGAATAAACCACGATCTATGCCAGTACTACACTGGTTCCCCCTTCTCCTCGGTCTCCAAGTCACCCTCCACTTCAAAACTACTTTCCTCATGATACGACACCCCAATACCCACATTTCCCGGGGGTGAGACCCAACAAATCACCGAGAACGTGACGAATGATATCAAAAGACCTGCGGAGTCGCCGAATTTCATTGAATATTTAAGATACCGTTTCATAGCAGCAAACCTACCGACAAAGAACGCAATATGGAAAATGCGCACCCACACATTCCACGCAGTCGCGTCAAGGGTTGTCATGATTAGCCCTGGCATGGTTGGGAAGACCCCAAGCACCCAGGCGAGTGGGGCACGCCAGTGGACGCCATTGCGGTACCTTGGCAGAAGTGAGATGAAGAATATGCCCTGTGATGTTTGCGCACCAGTAAATAGAACGTTTGTCGCCGATGTAGCAGTCCTCGAGCTTGATCACGCATCTCCTTACTACGAAGTAGTCGGCGAGAAGAATCCCAGAAAAGGGAGCAACTAAATAGGAACAGTTTACGCGTGATGCATAAGACTTCCTTGACACGTACAGAATATTCCGAAGCCAGATATCACGGTCAGAAAGGTTGAAGCATTAGACAGGTATTGCCAAGGGTTCGAAGCCAGCCCCAGAAAGGCGAGCAAGTAAGCACCCCTCCTGATGTTGATATAGCGTCTACGGGAAAACGTCTGTCGACCTGTGCATTCGGAGTACAAGAAATGTAAAATACGAACGGCACGACACCCCTGCTCGTGTGTTAGGTAGATGCTAAGACATGGGAGCAAGGGACGTACGAAAGATCCATTCCAGCGCTCACAGAGTTGAGAACAATGCTAATGCCGAGCTGGGCACATACACAGCCGAGTCCGGCAAAGAAACTGAAGTGGGTCAGAGAAGGAGCTAGAGTACATTAACGTGTCACGTACATCGCAGCACGAACTGTCCGATAGAGAATTGAGTACCAACACTTACTGCAAGATCGTCCTTACCTCTTGGGGAGTCATTACTAAAAAAGCGAGTTAAGCTATGCCCCAGCAGGTGAACCACCCCCCACTTACTAGTAATCTTGCAGAGTTGCGAGAAGCAGGAAAGGCTCCCAAATCAGGCTCCCTACAATTTCTTGGGCGCATGACGTGACAATAATGCCGATCGTGGCACACACAATGATGCAAAATGGCCTGGGAGTAATCAGTCAGGTTAGACCAAGGTAAATATGGGTCGTGGACGTACGCGGCGATGAACTGAGATAGCGTAGGCGCATCTGAATGGACGTATCAGCCTGATAAACAAGAATGCGATAGCGTTGGACAGACATGGCCGGTTGGCATAGCGAGTCCAGTCGCTTTGACCGAGGGTCCCACCACCCCTTTTCACCATAGCCATAGCATATATTAGATGCGCGTGCAAGCGGTGAAAGGACAGTCTCGCACCATGCGCCGAGAATCGCGGTGATACCGAATAACATGGCCCTATTGCATTGTTTATCAAAATATCTAATTTTATCTTGAGTTATGAGCTCACCATCCTGTTCCACCGTGGACGGGACTGGCTTGCTCCCGAAACAATGGACCACCAGAATGCGTGTTCGAGACCGCCCAAGCAAGAAGTCCGATCAGGCTACATTGTAAATTAAGTGTAGCGCATGCGTGGAATTAGAATGGTGACGGTGCTTACGTGCCGCAAAACATGACAGACGAGACGATGAATGGTCCTCTGGAGTCGCTCAGGAGGGATGCGCATGGTTACGATGAAGAACACATAGTAGATGCTGCATACGACATGTCAGATTTAATGGATTCGTGAAGAGAGGATGTATCGGACATTACGCCTATGAGGTCCTTGGTAAACAAGGTTCCTCCCGCTAACGTCTGTTTCCTACGTTATTGTGCGTGGGTGGCGAAAAAAACTTTACAAGTTGAGTGTACTCACATGTGGGCAAATCCTTGAACAAGATAAAATAAGCATTGCTCAATCTGAAAGGAAGGTTGCGCACCAGGAATTATAGCGCCGATCGTTACCTATTCAAATGCGTGGAATGAAGTAAGATGCGCGAAGACTTGAGCACGTACCGCAACGGCTGCACGAAATAGCGCAGTTTATCAGCAACGGAACGAATAATACAAGTAAAAAGTAAGTTACCTTGTCCACCCCAGTAGGCCTGGAGGCCATCCCAGCTAAATATACATATCTGCTTTCGGCACTTGAAAAAGAAGCTCGAGACTTACAAGATGGTCCTTGAATTGTGAAATCAAGCAATGTACTACAATATGTTTAGCGCATCACTCACACAAAAGCACGAACAATAACAGGAAAATAGGCGCCTCTGCAAGAGGAATCAATACAATGTACCGCTGTCAGTTGCATACTCACCGCATGCCCCAGCTGAACCTGCACGCTACAGTAAAGCCTATGTGGTGTCTTTAAGCCGTCAGCATTTCGATGGAACTCGTCCCGTAACCACAGTATCCCCACCTCTCTCCCATCCACCCGCAGGCGACAGAAAGCACTCCAACGATGAGACCTCCGATGACGAGGGACACGATAGCCTGCCGCGCATCTAGGCCGTACGCGAGTAATGTGCTGCCCGCGGCATACCCTGAAATGCAGAGACCAGAGATGCACCAGTAGATGAAGTAGGACCATATCTTATACGTGCGGCGCTCTTTGGGCATGGGGATGAGGTCCCGGTTGACCCATGGTGTGTTGGGCACTCCAGGATCGGTGGGTACCTCAATGTACTGGAGGAACTTGCGCCATCGAGACTGATGTAGGCTTTCTTCCTTTGAGTTGGTCATTGCGGGTGGTGAGTCGATAATACTCAGTATCAATGTCTCAACGCTGAGCTCCTTGGAGACGAGTGATCCGAAGAAAGGCACGAATTCAGGTCCTCATTCCGCAGAGAATATGCCGGGGTGACGTTACAGTGACTCCATGCCGTTGGTCTCCCAAAAGCTCTCTGGGAATTGACGAATTTCGTATTGGCTCCATACTACTTACAGTCGCGGACCAGCAATCTCGACAACTTTATTTTTGGCTCGGGAAATTCTTTTGGTATCAAACTGAGTGCGGGGATGAATTCAGAGAGTCAAATAACCTCTAAAACCGGTGTCGTTTGAATTTTCCCACGCGTTTTTGGGCTGACCAAATTTCAGCAACTTATGCATGCGCTGTCTATGGTATCGCTTCTATTGACATCATGGCACGCTGCGAGACTTGACGGTGCCATTTTTGCTTCTGAACTGCTCATTTCCCGTGAGATACACATCACCAGACTGTCCCCGTAATTGCGACACCCGACGTTGTAGTCGTTGGCGAGGACGTGTGAGGTTGCACGTCGGGGTTCCCGGTTACCCGGTATGTTGTGCTGCTACCAGCTGTGGTTATGTGCGTTTTGGATTCTGGCTTCGAGAGGAAGGGGGCACATGAACTAACTTGACCTGCGCTCGACGTTGCATAGAGCGAAGGTACGAGGTCCCCAATGTGAATGCATATAGTAACTCGAGCCAATTGAGTCAATCGACGACCACACTCTGCTGTGAGGACGTGCGTATCTCAATTCCCACTTAGTATGTTGCTGGTATCTGCTGGATCCTGATCATCCATGTAGGTCATCACTGTGAATTTGAACGGAACAGCAACGGATTGCACTGCCTACTAGTTCTAGACTATATCCCTGCTTTGTTCGTAAAAGTTCTGCATCGTGAAGTGGTTGCAAGCAAATGATTTGCAGGAATGCAGATCACTAGGCGTAGCTGATTTCTGCTAAGAGATCTGTTATTTCCTACCAATTTCCTTCCTTCGCTTTGTACACCCAATGCATAAAACGAGGGGGTTGCGTCCCACACTTGCATTTGACGGTGAGATTTCAAAATTTCGGAACACGGTAACAAATCACTGGCTACCCTAACCTTACCTAGCCACACCCCCACTTGAGCTACTATGTAGATCTTACTAGCAATGTGTGTTTACAGTTCCATTCGTGAAGGTGAGAGCAGAATGGTGAAGTGATGTCGGATCGATGCTCGTTTTTCGTGGTAGTAATGCCCATCACTAAAGGACTTGTCAACTTGGGTCGCAGTCCTCAGCCTACAACACCTTGTTGTGGATCGACATGAGGGCCATTGTGTCTTTGAACATCGTAGCATAGTGGGCCTTACAGAATCTATACCAGTCCTAAACTAGTTCCTTCTTCTCCTCGGTCTCCGGGTCGCCTTCCTCTTCAAAACTACTTTCTTCATGATACGACACTCCAACACCCACATTTCCCGGGGGTGAGACCCAACAAATCACCGAGAACGTGACGAATGATATCAAAAGACCTGCGGAGATGCCAAATTTTATTAAATATTTAAGATACCATTTCAGAGCGGCAAACCTACCGACGAAGAACGCAATATGGAAAATGCGCACCCACACATTCCACGCAGTCGCGTCAAGGGTTGTCATGATTAGCCCAGGCACGGTTGGGAAGACCCCAAGCACCCAGGCGAGTGGGGCACGCCAGTGGACGCCATTGCGGTACCTGGGCAGAAGTGAGATGAAGAATATGCTTTGTGATGTTTGCGCACCAGTAGATGGAGCGTTTGTCGCCGATGTAGCAGTCCTCGAGCTTGATCACGCATCTCCTTACTACGAAGTAGTCGGCGAGAAGAATCCCAGAAAAGGGAGCAACTAAATAGGAACAGTTTACGCGTGATGCATAAGACTTCCTTGACACGTACAGAATATTCCGAAGCCAGATATCACGGTCAGGAAAGTTGAAGCCTTAGACAGGTATTGCCAAGGGTTCGAAGCCAACCCCAGAAAGGTAAGCAGGTAAGCGCCCCTCCTGATGTTGATATAGCGTCTACGGAAGAATGTCTGTTAATCTGTGCACTCGGGGTACAAGGAACGAAAAATACGAACGGTACGACACCGCTGTCTGTGTGTTAGGTAGATGTTAAGGTATGGGAGTAAGGGCGTACGAAAGATCCATTCCGGCGCTCACAGAGTTGAAAACGATGTTAATGCCGACCTGGGCACATGCACAGCCGAGTCCGGCAAAGAAACTGAAGTGCGGTCAGAGAAGGAGCTAGAACACATTAACGTGTCACGTACATCGCAACACGAACTGTCCGTATCGATAGAGAATTGAGCACCCACACTTACTGCGAGATCGTCCTTACCTCTTGGGGAGTCATTACTGAAGAAATGAGTTAAGCTATGCCCCAGCGGATGAACCCCCACTTACTAGTAATCTTGCAGAGTTGCGAGAAGCAGGAAAGGCTCCCAAATCAGGCTCCCTACAATTTCTTGGGCGCATGACGTGACAATAATGCCGATCGTGGCACACACAATGATGCAAAATGGCCTGGGAGTAATCAGTCAGGTCAAACTAAGATGAATATGGGTTGTGGACGTACGCGGCGATGAGCTGAGATAGCGTGGGCGCATCTGAATGGACGTGTTAGTCCGATAAACAAGAATGTTATAGCGTTGGACAGACAAGGCCGGTTGGCATAGCGCGTCCAGTCGCTTTGACCAACGGTCGCACCACTCCTTTTTATCATAGCCATTGCATATATTAGATGCGCGTGCAAGCGGTGAAAGGACAGTCTCGCACCATGCGCCGAGAATCGCGGTGATACCGAATAACATGGCCCTATCGCATTGTTTATCAAAATATCTAATTTTATCTCAAGTCATGTTCTCACCATCCTGTTCCACCGTGAACGGGACTGGCTTGCTCCCGAAACAATGGACCACCAGAATGCGTGTTCGAGACCGCCCAAGCAAGAAGTCCGATCAGGCTACATTGTAAATTAAGTGCAGCGCATGCGTGGAATTAGAATGGTAACAGTGCTTACGTGCCGCAAAACATGACAGACGAGACGATGAATGGCCTCTGGAGCCGCTCAGGGGGGATGCGCATGATTGCGATGAAGATCACGTAGTAAATGCTGTATACGGGATGTTAGATTTAATGAATTCGTGAAGAGAGGATGTATCGGACATCATGCCTATGAAGTCCTTGGTAAACAAGGTTCCTCCCGCTAACGTCTGTTTCCTAAGTCATTGTGCGTGAGTGGCGAAAAAGACTTGACAAGTTGAGTGTACTCACATGTGGGCAAATCCTAAAACAAGATAAAATAAGCATTGCTCAATCTGAAAGAAGGTTGCGCACCAGGAATTATAGCGCCGATCGTTACCTATTCAGATGCATGGGATGAAGTAAGATGCGCGAAGACTTGAGCACGTACCGCAACAGCTGCACGAAATAGCGCAGTTTATCAGCAACGGAACAAAGAACACAAGTAGAAAGTAGGTTACCTTGTCCACCCCAGTAGGCCTGGAGGCCGTCCCAGCTAAATGCGCATATCTGATTTCGGTACTTGAAAAAGAAACTCGAGACTTACAAGATGATCCTTGAATTACGAGATCAAGTAATGTAACACAATATGTTTAGCGCACCACTCACACAAAAGCACGAAAGATAACAGGAAAATAGGCGCCTCTGCAAGAGGAATCAACACAATGTACCGCTGTCAGGTGTTGCATACTCACCGCACGCCCCAGCTGAACCTGCACGCTACAGTAAAGCCTATGTGGTGTCTTTGAGCAGTCAGCATTTCGATGGAACCCGTACTGTAACCACAGCATCCTCACCTCTCTCCCATCCACCCGCAGGCGACACAAAGCACTCCAAGAAGCAGACCTCCGATGACGAGGGACACGATAGCCTGCCGCGCATCTAGGCCGTACGCGAGTAATGTGCTGCCCGTGGTATACCCTGCAGTGCAGAAACCAGAGATGCACCAGTAGATGAAGTAGGACCATATCTTATACGTGCGGCGCTCTTTGGGCATGGGGATGAGGTCTCGGTTGACCCATGGTGTGTTGGGCACTCCAGGATCGGTGGGTACCTCAATGTACTGGAGGAACTTGCGCCATCGAGACTGATGCAAACCTGCATCCTCTGAGTTGGTCATCGCGGGTGGTAAGTCGGTAATACTCAGTATCAACGTCTCAACGCTGGTGATCAAGTGTTACTACTTGAGCTCCTTGGAGACGAGTGATCCGAAGAAAGGCACGAAATCAGCCCCCCATTCTGCACAGAATATGCCGGGGTAACGTTCAACAGTGACTCCATGTGGGTGGTCTCCAAAGAGTTCGTCCGGACCTCCCGGAAATTGGAATTAATGAATTTCGTATTGGCTCCATACTTAGGACTGATTATGAATTAATATCACAATCGATGATTGGGCCATATCTCACAAGCAGAGTCGAAGATGTGCGTAAGAAACTTGAACCAGTCAAAGTGATGTCGTTGGACAGCAGTCCGGTGGATTAACGAAACCCGCCCAAATGGTTTTTGTTGTTTATCTTTGTATTTCCTCCTAGCGCCGCTCGGTTATAAGATATTCGATCAAGCCAACTTGCAAACATTCGTAGGCATGCTAGCAATTGATAAGGATGGTTTTTCTTCTCACACCTCCGAGGCATATGTAGTCCTACGCCGTACGATCAGTAATCTTGCTCAGGAAGGCCCGGAACACGTCCCGCCTCAGCCTATCACCCCTCAACTCATCCTGCACATCAGGCTCTGGTACCAACTCGATCATCCCATTAATCTCTGCCACTGTGTTCTTCGAATACTCCTCGTAGCGCTTTGGAATGTTCAACCCCTCATCGTCGTTGTACATGTCCTTCACAGCTTGCTCCCTCATAGCCTGTTCGGGACCCTTCTTGCCGTAGTTCTCGAACAGGAATTGTTTTTGCATGTCGGTACCGTGGGTGAGTGCTGTGCACACACACCAGGAGCACTTGCCATCAATGATGTCCGTACCAATTTTCCCGATCTGTGCCTCGGTGCCATGGTAGTCGAGGTAGTCGTCTTGCACCTGGAAGAACTCGCCCATGGGAATGAGAATGCGGTTGGCTTCTTTGTATGGTTCGACGGTCTTTCCGTTTAGCTCGTATACGTCTGGGACACCACACATACGCATGGCGAGCGCGACACTGAGGTAGAAAGAGTAGTAGGCTGTTTTGTACCGCACAATAAAGGCATGTTTGGGGAGGGTGTATTTGCCTATGTTGATGTTATCCTCGGGGGCAGTGATTTGGTCAACGAGCTGACCCATCTCGGTCTTGTAAGTTACCTGGGTGACTAGGGTAAGAGAGGCTATGTGAGGTGCAATGAAAGGGTGTCGTGTGTACCTCCTGGAACAATTCAACAAATCAACATAATAACTCTCACGTCTGAAGTGGTTCTTGAGGATGTGGTAGATGGCGCCCTCGAGCATGCATGAGTCGTTTACAGCAATGTTGTGTACCTTTCCGAGCCCCTTGACATTAGAGACACGATACCAGCACGGTTGGCCACGGCGCGAAATGGAGCCGTCCATGATGTCATCGGAAACAAGGAAGAATGCTTGAAGCTATCAGGGAGTGACTATGGATATTTCAGAATGGACAACGGAGAACATACAAGCTCGAATACACCATCCGAGGAGGGCAGCTTTGAAGTATTCGTCGTCAGTTGGAGGGCGGTTTAGGAGAATCGTGACGGTGTCAACGACGGATACGCCACGGTTGAGTTTACCTCCAGGGACATTGTAGATTAGGTTCTAATACGATGATAGTCGAAACAGATAAATTGCCGCAGGTGGTGTAGCCAAGTGAGAAGATCCGGTATGTGATAGCATTGATGACAATCCCAACGAAGACATGAACATCGATATTCAATGGAACGCATTATAACGATCACCTCGTTGAACCACGCAATGGCATCTTCAAGGCATCTTCTCGGACTTCATATGCGCAACCAGCTTCTTCCCGGATGCCCTCAAAGATGGCGAGAAACTTGTTTCGTGTGTTTGCATGCGACATCGTGTACGAATAAGTAGCAATGGGATCGAACGTGACGTTGATGTATAGGGTGAAAAAGTAGGGATCGATAAACGCTTGGATATCTCCACTATTAGTACCTGATTGAGATGAGACCATTCTCAATTTTGACAACTTGCTGTGCGGAACGCTATGAACTACGTTCTATGCTCATGATGACACTGCCCCGCGCTAGATGCACGAATGACAAATCACCCAGCAATCAGGAGATTTGCATGCTTGTGGTGTGTCGGCCGACCACCCGAACCTAGGAAGGGTCAAACGTGTCAGCTCATATATACACTTGAATCACGAGTCTTAACTGAGACGAATGATATCACGGGACCGGTGAAATCGGGTCTTCCTTCGCCCAAACCAAACTAGATGTGTGGCATTTTACTGCACCTTTGAGTCAGTGTTGACTGGCTGCGAGGTCACATTCGAACAATGCGAAATGGACATGCAGGGTGTCACAGACATTGATTGCTGCTGCCTCATTGCATCCTAGGCAAGAAGAGTGAGATGAAATAGTGAGACCGCACTGACAGGAAATTAAGTGAGCACCTACGGAAGGCCAAACAGTATTAGATACCGATAAGCAGGAAATTCTTCTTCAAGATTCAAGAACACGTGGTGAACGTTAACAGTAATATGTATCACGATGCAAGTAGAACTAAGCCTAAAATCGACAGCGTCAAGTTGGGCCAGACGCGGTTGTGACGCGCCTGTGACGCGGCGCTGTCACAAATCCTAGACTCAGGTTCGTACTAGTACTGGTCATGTTCAAACACTTGAACTTATTTATGCATTCCAAACACTTTGTATCCTCGTTAATGATCAAACTGTTTCGAACATACGAACATATGTCCATGTGCGTACAGGCCCTGGAGTGTTGCATTCACTTTTCACCATAAGTATTTACAATGCCTGTCCTCCGCGTTCGTACTAAGTACTCGGGATTCGGAATGTAGTGTGCATCTTGTGTTTGTCTTGTATTACCTCTAATTATTGATACAATGTTGGTTTTCAGGCGCATATTTGTCTCGACACCATCCTTGTCAATTCCGATGCAGCTTCTCTACTTCATACTACCGTACCATGTCAAGCCATGACAAGCCTCATTCAGGCACTCATACCACGAGAAGTTCTGCCCAACATCTTCGCAGTCTCTCTACTAATGTCAACCTCCACACTTACCCATGCTGCGTCAAGGCCCACTTGCATGCCGCGTCAAACCTCATACATGCCGCCTCATTGCCTCGTTGGTTCCGCGTCACAGATACCACATGCCGCGTCAAACCCCACCCTGCGCGTCAGCACTTGAACTGTCCTGTAACTCAGGTATATTAGAGCAACGAGATCTCGTGGACGAACTCTGGCAGGACCAAACTAAGAGGCGTGAGATTCGCGTGAGTGACATTGACTGGTTATGTTTGTAGTCCTCTTAACATGAAGTGATCTGTAGCTCGGAGAACAGGTCCACTCTTGGGATATTTATCGTGAAGAAGACTTGAATCAAAACTTTATGTTAGCACAAGCATCAAAAGAATTGGACGTCATTCAATGGCTGCATATTGCCGCTTCGGAAGTTCCTCAACAGTCCTGACTTGAACCAGTGTGGTGTGGAGGTATGTCCCGTGATAAACTACATATTGCACTCGAAGAAGAACCTAGATGGTGTGGGTGCATACAGCATACCATTTCGTTGCGATATCTCATCTCGCGAGTGCGTAAAAATCGCATGTTGGTTCTCTGAGAACAGTCCTGGTGCTTCCAGTCAAGTCGAAAATGGCTCGGTGGCATGCCTTTGGTGCACGCTTTCACTTGCTCATTGAAAGGCCTGTGATTTCAAAAAACGCGTCCAAGCTCAGAAATGGGAATGGAACAATAACGGGCTGTTGAAGATGGCTTGGGCTGATCTCATGATAAGCTATCCTGCCGACAGCTTCATGGCCGACCTCGAGTGTCTGACCACACTAGAAACAAGGATGTTCGAGAATTCTGAAGCAAGACCTGCAGGCAACCAGCAGTGGGGTCCGCAGAAGCGGTAAATTAGGTAGCAAAATGAAGTCCAGTCTATCGATATAAAGTAGCTGTAAAAATGCGTGTAAGTATGATGGGATATATAATCTACGCAGCTGACTACGAATGTATCCTTCGATAGCCAGTTGCATCTAAGAAAGTTACTAAAGTACTGATTATCGCAGAAGATACTACCAACAGGAGCTAAATATGCCTCGTCAACAAATACCAGATAGTAAACAAGGACTGCGAATGAGAGCTAAACAAGAACGAATTTTTCGGTGAATTTTTGCCAAGAATCCACACCAGAACTGCGGCAAATAGACAGCTTCCCATAATGTATGGGTTTTCGATGAAGGCCAACATAACCAGCATATGACAAGTTGTCAATATGATCTTCGTTTTGAGTATGGAACCGAGAAGGACGGGTATAGTGGGGACGCCGGTCTTCATATCATCTTCGAAATCACGGACATCAGTCATGATCTATTAGACATGGTCAGGATTCAAATCACGTGATAGTATATTGTCTACTTACTGCATGGCATGAGCGGTTGACGGTCGACCAGACTATTAGTTGAACAACACTCCATGGAGACGGTAGCGTGTTAGTTAGATTTCCTGATCCCGACAACACGGAGAGGACCACAGTGTAGATGCCACATCTGAAGAACATTAGTTTACGCGTGCATCATTCAAGGCAAACACGCAGACGTACCCTCGAATGATGCCATTAAATATGGCTTTCATGCCAGGGATGCGTTTGATGACCAGGACAGGCGCAGACGTAGAAGGCTGGTGCTTGTCTCCGCCAAACCTCCCAATAAGACGCCTCGAGATCAGCGTAAACTTCTTGAAGCTGATCGGAGTGGTCCAGAGCAAGGCGGGGGCGACGAACGCTGCTGTGGTGAGGAGCGTCGAAATTGGACACTGAGATAGTGCCAATGCAAGGAGCGCAGCGCTGGCGGCGAGGAAGGTTCGTGCATATATAAACCAAGAGGCGAGGCGTGGTTTGTTGGCGTTATTGCGGTCCGACGATAATTCCTCCTCTTTGTCCTTAAGGTGGTCAGCACCCATGGCAAGGATATCCGACGTGACACAGATAGTTATCTGCAAAGGCAATTACATCGGCAATATTATCTAGTATCAAATTGATGAGCGTACCGGTCTCCAGTCGATGCTTCCGTTGGCGGACATAACAAAGGACATCAGGGTTGACAGGACCAAGCTGTTCATCGATATTACGATGGGTCGCAAGAAGAGCTCATCTGCAAGCTTCGTGATTGTGAGGATTGACATGTGGATTGAGACTGGAGAGCAGGCAAATGCTACTCACCCCCGCTTTTTATACTGATGCAACCGCGTTCCGTCACTCGAAATACTTGGCACGGATGAATTCATATCATCTTATCTGTACGAGATTAGAATCAACGTTCAAACCTGTGTTCTTTTTCAGCAATCGCGCCGCTCGGCTTTTGCAGCTTTTGCCTTGCTTAAGTTTTTGGGCCGGGCCACTGAAAGCGGTGCGAGAAGTTGCACAAAAAGTTCTATAGTAGTCCGGCTTGGGTGGTTCGAATTCACAGACGGTGCCCTACAACAGCCTGAGTTGGTCAATGGGACTACTTGAAGGCAGTATCGACACACACCCAAGTACTCGTATGCTGTGCAGCACTCACAATCGAAAATTTCGCTTGTTTTCGGATTCCTCAGGCGGCCGTCATGCAAAGTGGCGTTGAACGTTCTGGTTGCCTGTCGACCATCTTCGCTTCATGAGTGAGAAGAACAAAACTAGATCTACCTGGCTAACACTCCGTCGATGTCGTAGATTTGTTCTTGGGAGATGGTTTTGACGCTCAGTAACACCGAGGTTCACCGCGAGTCCGAGTTATAAGTATATATTTGTGTCACGTCAGGCAGTACATGATGAGGGAGTCATTTAAAATTTTAGCAGATATCTTCCATTGCTCGACATTGGACAATCACTGCCATTTCCAAGCCACCTGTGATGACGTTCGTACCTATTATTAGAGTCTATACTTGGCGAGGAGAGTTCGGTAATCGTAACTGTCTGATTGTGGTGAAACGATAGCATTGCAGTGAGTTTCATTGTCATTCCGGTTTGTCCATGTGGTACAACGCTTCCGAACGCGCATTTTCTAGCCGAGCGAGATAAGGCGGTATATATGCACTGCGACTCACTGGCGCCTTGATAAGGAGGCGGTGATGGGCCGGTATATGAAAGTTGCAGGTGGTACTGAACCTTGAATCCTTCCGAATTGGGCGCTAGCCACAATGACGCCCAAGAATGCCCAAGAAACGCTTGGGTAGGCGTCTAATAATGAGCCCAGAAGCGCACAAGGTTTTACTGATATTTCGTTACCGATACAACCCTACACGTAGTGTTGTCGGCGATACTATGCCATTGCGCCGCGCCAGTTTTACCACCCTCAGAAAACTTCGTAATACTAACAACTACTCCTATCATGACTACCGGCGTGCAATCGCTACTGGCCAGCTGAAGATGATGTACAACAGGTGGGATCTGACTTGGAGGATGGTTTGTCTTGGGATGTGCAGTCCAGTGCGCCAAACGCCAGTTGTGCCAGCACTTGGCTAAAACTCAGCCCAGAGTAGTTTTGCCCTACAGACTACACGGTCAGGGCACAGTCTGCATTCACTGACGCAGGAGTAACTAAGCACGCGATCGGGGCAACGAGATGCTGATGGATGTTTGCGTCGTGCGAGAGCATCATGGCTGTCTATTCGTGCTATGCCTATGGCTGTGAGTGTTGCCTTTATTTTTATTAGGGGTACTACTACTAGTTCACGCTCTTCATTCCATTCGCTTAGAGGCGCTGCAGCACGATCTCTTGAGGAACCCATCGTAGTTGCAGGCCATACGTGGTGTCACCTCGGATCTGTTCTATTTCACAGTTGGGTCCGGGGGGACGAACCAATCAACGCCGATGTTGACGATGAATTGCTGGGACGTGGTGTAAGTATCTACAAACACTCAGATCTGGGTCGCTTTATTGATGCATTCACTGCAGACCTTGTTTCCGAATCAAGATATGGGTGCAGTCGACACCATGATCGAGAGGGGCATGGTGATGATGCGGGACCATCTTGCAGCTGTCTGCCACAAGGTAGCTCCGGGCAGTGACATTTCTGCTCTGCGAGACTCCAGTATTACTTTCCGTCCCGGGTGGAATCATCTGTTGCGTAATCTAATACATGCAGTCGACTACACCACCTATGACCGGTACCGCTCGTGGTGTCATTCGTCCCCCTGAAGCACCTCTGCTTTCGATCACCAGGCGCGCTCGCAACCAGGCAAGTCTTGAAACCGGGGAGTCTCATGTGTGAATCGTGACAGTACTGGCCGGTCATGTGGTGTCAAGGGCTCCTAATCTTACACAACACCATGCTCAATTCGTACTCCATAGACATCCTCGTCCTGCTCTACTGTCGACATCACAATCTAACCGTGAGAACGTGTTACATTGATAAAAGGGGCCTTTAGACAAAACATCGTAAAGAAGTGATAAATGATATACAAATGGGTGGGAGGGTGTCTAGAATCCAGACATAAACGAACGAAAAAAACAAAACGAGAAAACAACACCAAGCACGAAAAAAGTACACATATAATTCTCAAGTCTTGAGATCATGCAAGATTAAAAACCTCCATATTCAGACCACAGGATCTCTGAAGGGCGCCTCTGCATCAATTCAGGACACATGCATCCCTCAGTCCACCCATTGGAATCCCTCGCGGGTCCGGTATACATGGTATAGTCGTCCGCGGTATCTGCTGAGTCGTAGAAGACTCCCAACGATGGGTTGTAGACAGGTGGGGGAGGCTGATATGGAGTGGGTTGGGGTTTGTATGGGGTGGGGTAGAATTGCATGTGTCGGGGCGGGATCGGTTGCGATTGCGGTTGCAGCTGTAGTTGCATGGGCTGCGATTGCACGGCTCGGTGTGGTATGGGTTGTGGTTGCGGTTGCATGGTTTGGTGTGGGACGGGTTGTGGTTGCATGGGTTGGTGTGGTACGGGCTGCGGTTGCATGGGTTGGTGTGGTATGGGTTGTGGTTGCATGGGTTGCCATTGCACGGGCTGCGGTTGCATGGGTTGGTGTGGTATGAGTTGTGGTTGCATGGGTTGGGGTGGTATGGGTGGTTGTTGCATGGGTTGTGGTTGCACGACCTGCGGTTGCATGGGTTGGAGTGGTACGGGTGGTTGTTGCATGAGTTGTGGTTGCACGCCCTGCGGTTGCATGGGTTGGAGGTTGTATTGGTAGAATGTATCAGGGGGAGGGGGCTGTACCGGGGGCTGGGACGATGACTTGGTCTCGCCTGACCCTTTGACGGATGCAGAACCACGACCGCGCGCCAGAGGAACATACCCATGTTGTTTCTTGCGGTGGCGCGTGAAAAGAGCAGGGTCGTGAGTCTTGTAGTCACAACCATCGTTAGGACAGACGTAGCGTTTCTCGCCCGTACTAAAATAAAATCATTCATCAGTGGAATCGATAACGGCGATGAATGGGCACGTACTGTTTAGCAGAATGGATGTCGTAGCTATTTCTCACCATTGTCGCAAAGTCGCACCCGGGCCAGGTGCAGGTGTACCCCCTGCGTGAGCAAATGTGAGTGACATGAGCTGTATACTAGAGGAGAAATACGTACCTTGCTGAGTGTGCGGCTTTATGTCTCTTGAAGTCCACGAACTTGGTAAAAGTTTCGTTGCAGCCAGGTTCAACAGAGCAGGTGTAGAGCTAAATATTTCAAGCGTCAGTCTTCAAGTTAGTGCATGAAGCATGCGCGTAATTAGGGCTTACCTTAGACATGATTGGTTATAGAAGAATATGAGTGGGGAATAGTACTTTATTCTGTGTGAGGTGAATGCGTGATTCAACTTGGGGTCTGGGTAGGTATTGTGGGAGGTATATAAACGATTCCCGGTGGTGGTCGTGCCATTGTGTTTTGTGGTGGATAGAAGCACGCGGAGTTGTGCTCGCAGTGGACAGACGCTTGTGGAATTCGTATAGGGACGCTTTGTGGAGGTTATTAGTGGGCGTGGACCATGTAACACGTAAGTGCATTGTCCTTCAATCAACCACATCCGTTTGAAGGCGAATCCATTATCTGTTACAGCATCGAGTGAACACCAGGATCGAGGTATTTTCTAGAGATAAGTTATATCGATGGAGGTCAACTCGATGTGGAGAGTTGAGTAAAGACTGACATTGATGTCGAAATTCAGTCGAATTACTTGATATCGAAGTCCGACAGGGTTTTGGAGGTCTTTGTAGTGGTGACCAGCCTGGGCCCTGCATCGGGCATTCACTCGACCAATCCCTTAAGTCGCTGGGTGCTTTGCATATCCAAGCGTAGTGCTTTGAGGGTTCCGTCATTGCAAGTATGACCGGGTGAGAATTGTCAATTTCAGCGGTGAGATGGTGGAAAAAATGAGATCGGACGCGTGATTATAGTCCATAGGTCAGTAGATTTGTGTCTGTTACTATTAATGCTAGACAGTACCGTGTTGACAGAGCAAAGAGGGGACTTGCCGAGTCTGTGGTTGTCATCCTTGTATGAATGTAAGTACGGATGAATATCTGGAACGTACCGTACTGACTCCAAGTATGCCCCTTGAAGCTTGAAGTTGCACATTTCACACGAAACCCAACGAAATATGCCTAAGTTGGGCATTAACTCGCAGAGACAGTGGTGTTTGAGGGACACCAGCGACTCATTGTGAGGTACAAACATTGAAAAAGTCAAATTTCAGCACTCACCGTTAGAACAAATTGATCACTCACAACCGTACTAGTGATGAGATGAAGATCCGCGGTGTCGGATTCGTAACAAAACCAATGATAAAGTTACAAAGAAAAGAACCTACCCAGCGCATTATTATTATTCAGTACTCAGCCGGAAACATTTCTGTCCTTGCTTTACCGAGGACAGGATCTCCATTGCCCAATAACAGCGCTAACTCCTTCGCATCGCATCCTCTTTGTCTCGCCGTCTCTTCGACCCTACGCACAATCTCTCTGCTAGAAAGTGCATTATCCTTTTCTGATTTATAGTCCTCGACTTCCACAACATCGACTCCCATCCCTCCTAACAGCTCACCCAAAGGATATGCACCTGCAAGCTCCCAATCGAGGACAGCTTGTACCTGCGTACCATGCATGATGACATTCCGACCGTGAAAGCCTCCATGCACGAGCACAAATAGTTCGTCTTCAGCGACGAAGCTTGTCTCTAGCTGACGCTTCTCAGCTCGTAGCTGTTGCACAAAATCTTCGAGAGAGGTGATTTCGAAAAGATCGGAATCGATATCGGACGGGGGGGCATGGGTATAGTAGTATATCTCTTTGTCGTAGCAAGCGAGAATGTATTCCTTTGCGGTTTTGTATGGACCGATGGGGTAGCATCTATTGGAATGAAATTTGCTCTATCCGAATGTAATAAATCAAATCAGAGAGATTAATGCAAGAGGCTCACACGTCCCTTGAAGAACTTGCTTCCCTCTATGGTGGGTCCAAGGGTGTAGCTTATAGGACTGGCAAACCCGCCTATAGCACTGAAACGCGTCTCCGCCATATCAACAATTATCTCAGCGATCTTCAGGGCAACTGAATGCTTCTTCGTCTCGGTATAGCGATTCCATATAGTACTCAAAGGTTCGCCATCGATATGTTCTTGAGCGATGAATGGGTTCAGCCCGTTAGCGCTAAATGCGTATATCTTGGGGACTGGAATATCGGGACAACGTGCAGATATCAAGGAAATGGAAGCGACCTCATTTAATATCTGATGAGGCAGGAGAGTATCTGGTTTCGGAATACGTAAAGCGAAAGACCTGGATCTTGTGGAGTCGCCCAAGCCTGATAGCTATTCATAATGGGAAGAATTTAGCTCGACAACAACTGGCAATGTGGCTCAAGGACTTGCCCAAGATATAAAAAACTTCATTATAGCCCCCTTCACCAAGCTTCCTGTCCACTACAACATCTGATGTAGGTATGTCACCTCCAAGACCAATGATGGCACTGCTCGCATCTTTGAGGGTGTGCTGCTGCCTGCAGTACTAGGTTTTCTGGGATGGACATTACAGCAATCTTGCTGCTTCGTAAAAAAACAGGCGTAGTCACAGACTTTGCACTGGTGGTGGGTTGAAAGACGCTTTTAAAATTAAGTATCGCTGTGACACTCACCAATTCTTCGACTCCAACTTGAATTTACGCACGATTTTCAGATCAAGCATGTACACCATCCGCTTTTTTGTGCACTTCGACTTGTATTTCCTGCATTGTGAAACACACTTGACGATTTAAATGCCTTGTACGAATAGTCTTGTGGATATAAGCCGAGAACAACCTGTGCAAGAGTGTCAGCATCACAATTTAAAGATTTGTCGCCTTAGCACTAAGTTTGTCACGTGCCACAGTGATCGACAGCACATTCGAAATTCGAATTGTATCTCCAGCATAGCATGGACTAAACATTTTGAATAGATGCAATCAGCCAGAATCACTGCCTCCTGAGTACTGTCCCCCGGCATGACCAAGTTGCGCTCGAATTTGGGGTGCGATTTATGCGCGGGAGTACCAAATTTATTGCTTACTGTCAGCTGGATTGGATTGGAATGCGGCTGGCAGCCGTCATCACAAGCATCGTCATGCACGTCAGCCTCTTGTGTGCGAGTGTAGAGCGTATAAGAATCCTGCCTTCTCTGTTTTCCCGCCATCTCGCTCTCTTCCCTGTTCCACCACATTCTTAGTAGTCATTACCGTTTCCCTTTTCACCATATGATCATTTCCCCTTCGCATCACTGCAGCGAGGCTGCCATTGGGTATGTATCAGTCCGCCTCAGTCGTTGGACCTATCGATGCATCTACTAGCTTCTCTATTGAGTGCCCGCCCGCTAAAGTATTAGCTCTCCGCACTATCATCCACTCTCAAGGAGCCTGACTATGTGGTACGCCTTGAAGGTGGATATTGCCCGCTGACATTCCCTTATATTCCAGCTGGTGAATAACGATGAATTATCTCGCTTTTATTGTAGTTTGACCACTATTTCGCTATGGTTGGTGAGTTCTTTTTTGGTTGAAGGGTTAACATGTGCGGTGGCCGCAGGAGCATGCCTGATGCATGGTACAGCGTGCGTCTGCCGTGGGTGTTATGCAGCAGGTGTGAGCCTGAGGCTGGCGTTTGTGATGGGGTAGTTAGTTGCTCGGGTTGCAAGGTGAGTGAGTTTTGCCTGCTTGTCTATCTGCTGCCTTCGTCTCGCTCGCGTGCCGCTTCATTCTTTTGGCCAAAAGTTTTCTTCGCTTCTTACCTCGATCAAGTACTCTTCTGCGGTTCCATGCTCGAAGGATTGTGCATCAGTCGCTTCCGCTTACGTGAAGTTCCGTCTTTCGCTGCTCGCCGCCCACTGCGCCCGTCGCTACTGTAGTGTGCACGCTCGCTTTTTCTGGTCGTTCACTCCATTCTCGCCATTCGATGTTATCGTCGTTCCAACCCGCCGCATTTCAGTCTTTCGCATCTTCTTCTTTGTATTTTATCTTCTTGCTTTTGCGCTGACATTACAGTTTTTTGAGCTCACCTAGCGGATTCAAGGTGCGTCTATGGTATGTGTTGTAGTAGCCTGCAACACATGTCTATAGATGTACCTTGACTCGGAAGTCTGGGCGTAATCTTTTGTCAGTGGTTAGTGGACTGCGTGGATTGCCACCTATTACCATGGAACTAGAGAACAGAGTGGTCATTTCACATTGGCCTTTTTCTTGCTCGCCATCGTTTCATCTCGTGACATGCTGCGTCACTGTTAGTAGATCCGAGCTATACTAGTAATCTTGTATATACGCGTGTAGACATACCTTGGATTTTGTTCTTCCTCCTTTTGACATTGATGATTGGCACGGTTTGACTGAATTCAACCTTACGATCAATCATAAATTATAATTGCACACCGAACCCTGAATTGATTGTACGAAAAGCAGAGGTAGCGCAGTCGCTAATATACAATCGTAATAAACCGCTACACACACTAATGATGACCTCCGTGACACGCCTGAATTTGAAGTAATTGGAAATATCAAGGCAAGTGTAGCAGCTCTGGTAAGGAAAGCATCCTCAAGGTCTCGCGACCGTACCACGTACGAAGGTGCACTCCAGCTGAGCCGCTTGACAGTCTGGGACTTGCGGTAGACTCCTGCAACCAGAACCTTTACTAAGGTCGAATCGCAGGGGGACAATAGTGCGAGTCCGGAATGAGTTGAAAAAGTCGAAGATTGCGGGTGCCAAATTTACTTATAGGTTGGTTTAGGGCCGGTTGTGATGACTTCCGAATTGGACCAAGGTATAACATTAAGTATGGGTATATGACAGAATCGGCGTAGTAAATCAGTGTGAGTAATAAGTAGTGCTCGTAAGAAACATTCAGACACTATGCTACGCAAAGCGGTTCCAGTTGGGTGGTTGGATTGGCTTCAAGTTCAAATCGAAGGTACACATGTCCGGCTTAGGTAAGGGTCATTGAGAATGACATCTACACAGTCGAGGGCCAGACCTGGCACGTCCAACTTCTTGCTGCAAAGGGGGTAGACGCTAACGAGCAACATTAACCGACGGTAAAAGAAGAAAAAATGAGAAACTTACTAGTCAGCTGTCTTTGCACCCGAGCAGGACAGGCCTACGGGGCCAGTAACAGAGGTGTCCACATTTACGGTCTGGAGCAGCTTCGGGATGGAACTGTCACCCGACTGCAAAACCTTCTTGCAGTAGGTCAAGGTGTAGTCAGAGTCACACGACTCAGCGCGACGCGCCAGAGATGGTGGCTTGACATTGGGAGGCGAGGCACGTTCCAGGCCCTTTGCAGCATTGGTTGCAAGCGAATTCAAGTCTTTGTGAGCTTTAGTTACGGCTATCTTGCCGGCATCCCCAACTGCAGACTGTATGCGAGATACGTCGGGGTCCTTGGGCGTTGCGTTGTTAGGTTGAGTGCGAGCGTACGAGGAAATGGATGCTGGACTACTGGGGGGCTTGGGTGTGGAGGCATCGGGTGTCTCCAACTTATCCTTCTCCAACTTGTCTACGCTCTTATGCGGCGGCGAGGGAATGATGCTGCGAAGAATCTTGGGCAATTCGTCAGCGGGATTCTTGAGCACTGAGGCGGTGGAGGCATCAACCTCGGGGAGCTCGTCTGTGACAAGAGACCCATCCTGAGGGACGGCAGGGACGCTGAGAGTACCCTTGGGAACTGTGGGTTCCTTCTCCTTCTCTACTTGGGGAAGCTGGAAGGAAGGATGGGCTACTTCGCGAACCTCATGTACATCAGCGATGCCGGCGTGGTTTGTGGATGGTGTTTTGACGTCAAGAACGCCGGAGATACTGGCGCCGAGGTCGTGGATGCGATGTAGGGTACTAGGACCCTTGGTAATGGAGCCGGTGGGAAGGGCAACTGCGAAAGCAGCAGAGATGACGATCAAGAGAACGGACTTGTTGAACATATTAAACGAGTGTGGGTGGGTCGCGATATGAGGTAGTAACGAAGACGAAGGAAGTTCGACTAGGTGTGCACCAGGCCAAGGTAAGGTTTTTATATGCACGCATAATGTTCGGTACGGTGGTTGTGTATGACACAAACCTTCAGAAAACAAGAATGGGATCAGCGCGGGTTCCATTTAAATGACGTATGTACATAACTTCCTTGACCAATCGGTTAATATTGTGGAGGTGGTGATTAAGCGCCAGATGCGGCTTGATTTGAGCATCAACTTTCGTGCGAAGCACCCATCGAGGCGCTGTGAGGCGATGGGCGGGGCCAGGTTTTGCACTATATGGACGATTTGAAGGTATCACTTGAAGGATTCAAGTTCGCACCGGTGGATTAGTACGTGATGTCTCAGAGCTGATACGTAAAAGACGGCATTCTTGCAATTCGTAGGTTATTGACATATCGAACAAAAAGTACTAGCGTAACATGACGCACCTTGACCACACTGTCGTACGACCGCCGAGAACGACGGGGGCTTCAGGACAGCGGTGCGAAAGTCGTCCTACACCTAATACATGTGTACTTGAGCGATATGAATTAACGATTTAATCTTTGAGCTCGGTGCCGTGCTAGTAGCAGAGAAGCCTATTCATTGATAACAATAAGTGATCGGGATCACAACCGCTGGCGCCAGCGAATACTAAGACATCCTACGCATATAATCCAACGTGTGCAACATATCGCGAGCAGTATGGAATATGAGTTCGAAGTTCATCAGCTGGCCAGATACATCCACATCCGTCGCATTTCTCCGTATCTTCATCCTGAAGGGAAAATTCATCATCGAGTCTCATGCCTCCTATACCTTGCAGCAACTTGTCACAGGAATTTGGTTGGGTCAAAGTGATGAGTTTTTGCCGTAAGGGTATAAGAGTCTGTAATCTGTCAGTCAGGGAAGTAGCAGTGAGGCCTCGGTAACAGATACGCGCCTGACTGAGCTCTGGCAAAGAGGCCATCATAAACATGCATTGGTACTGGTTGGAGTCTTGCGACAGTCGATTTACCACGAGCCCGCCAATGATCATGTAAACGATGTTTGACAACGCCGTGATGTGTGTTCCACTTAACTTACCACGGGCGAATGTTGAATATATCCCTGCCTGCATGCTGGTTACTATCAGATAAGTGAGTGGGTCACGGTAGTATGCAAGACGTGTTGCGGGTCTACATGGTAGGCAACCATTAGACCTCAGGACAAGCGTGGGCGCATGTGTCATTATAGCCATCGACCCATATCCCGGCTTAATAAGGTCGAGGTACCGAGCCTGAAACTCCAGCATAAATATCAGGCCAGTTTGCAGGTAAGCTGGCTCCAAGGGAACTTGTCACGTTTGTTGTAGGTTTTTGAATGCAGGTTGACTACCTCGGTATTAGCCTCTAATGGGCCTCGCACGATTCACGGAGGCGTACGCACGCCAGTATAGCCAAAATCGATCCCTCAATTCACAGAGGGATCAGCTGCAAATTACAGACTAGTAGTAAAATGCGACAAAAGGTAGCAAGGCCTCCAAACAAAATTAAAACTGAAGGGATGAACGCTCTACAGTATACCAAGTAGGAGGGTGTGGTGGGTGATCAAAAACTAGCTAGCGAGGCGACGAGAAAGGTCAGAAAGAGCTTTCAACGAAATATAAAAGACTAGCTTACCCAGCGAGGCGACGGGAAAGGTTAGAAAGAGGGCAAGCTCAAACTAACTCGGAGTCGCCCGCTAGGTAAGCCTAGCTCCACCATAGGAGGACGGAGCCTGAAAAAAGGATATGGCTAATCCTTGAAGACAACGTGAAAGGCGCACTGACCATGGCAAACAGGATCAAACGCCAAACACGCCCACTAAGAGTGGTATTTGAGTCAGACTCAAACAAAAAATACGTCGCCCGTAACGACGCTAGTTATCACGCGACCCATTAGCTTAGTGTAAATAAAATTAAACCCTAATTAATAATAGCGCTCGCCGCTGGAGCCTGGGACGCATGCCTTTCTAGACCTGCTGACATAATGATGTCGCGTCTGGCTTGCGCGTCGATTAACCTGTTCTACCAACTCCACCATGGACCACTTTCCAACTAACTGGGGTCGTCCAGTAAGTACCGTGGATTGGAGCTAGAGTACACCACTGAATCCTGATATTGCAGAGAAACGACGCATTTGATGCATATGCTACCTACCCCATTCACCAGCGACCATATAATGGTCCAAAGGATACTTTCGCTGATGGCGTACAGCGAACACAGTAAGTCTGTTCAATTACTGCTCTTCCTTTCTATCAACAAGATCCGACTCGATATGTAGACAACCTATTGTAACCGGAACGAGCGTGCTTGCAATCAAGTACAAGGATGGTGTCATGATGGCCGCTGACAACCTCGGTACTTTCACTTCCAACTCATTCCGTCCATCGGCTCACGTGTTATCTAACAGCATCATACGGGTCCCTCGCTCGATTCAAGGATGTGCAGCGTCTGCACCAAGTCGGCAACTATACTGTCATCGGTGCGGGAGGCGACATGTCAGACTTCCAGTACATTCAGTATATCCTTGAGGAACTATCCATCGATGAGATATCAGCACAGGATGGACACGAACTTGGTCCTGTTGAGATCCATGAATACATGTCACAGCTCATGTACGCGCGTCGGTCCAAGATGAACCCGCTCTGGAATTCTCTGCTTATTGGTGGATTCAAGGACGGCAAGAGGTAAGGATGTGCTACGTTGTTCTTGATCAGGAGTCAATTATTATTCAAAGGTTTTTGTCGTACGTTGATCTGTTGGGTACGACGTATTCTGCTTCGACACTTGCTACCGGGTACGGCGCTTTCATTGCCCAACCATTGTTGCGTAAGGCCGTCGAAGGAAGGGAAGATGTCATTACTGAAGAGGAAGCACGAAAGATCCTAGAGGATAGTATGCGCGTGCTATTTTACAGAGATGCCCGAAGTTTGAATAAGGTACATTTTCAAAGTCACTATCGTTCTCACCTGATTAACCGACTTCTCCTTCAGTTCCAAATTGCTACGATCTCTAGCGCAGGCGTGTCCATCAGTGACTCGAAGCAACTTGAGACTGCATGGTCTTTCGCAGAAAACATCAGGGGTTATGGTGCCCAGACACAGTAGCTTGTATACGTGTATTCTTAAGTCTAATTCATCATTCTTCTAAATCTACGAGACATGCAAAGTCCAGTAATGTCCTGCAGCGCCAACCTGAGGTTACGCTGTTGCCTCTCCTTCATTGCAGAAACTGAAGGTTTGAAGGTTTTTCAACGGTCCTGTCACGTTTGAATTCATCCACTTTCCAGATTGGGTCGCTGACATCTCATTTAAATACATGGATGAGTTGCCAGAGGACGGTACCTACCATAGGGTACCCCCGAGCAGTCCAGAACAAATGCACTTCCCCGACTACGCTGCTTGCCTGTGTCACTATCGAGTTCAGGTTGCCAGCCAACCCTAAAGGAACTGAAGTGCACGCGCATGACATAGCATTTCCCTGCTCCATCTCCAATGACCAACCATTACAATTCGTTTCTGTGGATAAAAAAATGCGAAAGGACGAGCTCGTGTTTGAATATGAGCACGCCGCGAATACCGAAGAAATGGACGCAAGGACGGCAGAAGTGTGAACTTCGTGATATTCTATAGGAGCATCTTTAGTGAATCATTGGACACCTCTATATTCTTACTGCCGCTGGGTGTTGATACGGGTGGTTGATCTGGGACTTTCTCAACGTGACGGGCTAAAATAAGGGCGGCTCGGGCAATGTCCTTTAATGCCCCTCGGCATCAACCTTCTTGATTACCCATTAGGCTGGAGCGGAAGATGCTTCAAGTTGCATCATGCTTCAGCGAGATGAAGTATCCTATGTGTGACTGTCGGCTGTGCATGTGAGTACTTGAGTCTTCAGCTCAACACTTACATGTTTTCCACATATCGCACACCGTCATGTTCTAGGAGGAAAGTCCCAAAAATCGTACATTTAGTACAACACAGACACCGAAAGTGTTGCTGTTGAAAGGCGCAGGCCGACTCCCAGCAAAGCGAGCCGTTCACGCGACACATCCTTTGCATGTGCAAGTTACGGCCGGTCTTGATGCAGGTCTTCACAGACCTTTAGGTCCTGGATTGCCCGGAGGGTTGTGTCGAATGATTGACATTCTCTGTCAATGCAATTGCAAATATAAAAACTACCTGGAGTGAGATCGAATTTGTATCGATCCGCAAATTCAATCTCTATCAGCAAAATCAATAAAAAGTCTTCACGATACACGTTGATTCACATTGAACTACCAATTTCTATCAACAGTTATCGATATACGACCGACCCCTATTTTGCTTGTTCTCACTGGGAATCATCCATTACCTTCGTGTGAATGGCAGACGAAGCTCTTTGCCCATTACCAATAATGAAATCAAAGTGTTTCTATTGTTATCCTCATACACTACTTGTCAAGTGGTCCGAGCTTATGGTATGGCGGCGGCGGATCCCCTCTATCACGGTGCTGGTAAACTGGATCAAGCACTCCACGATCTGTACGCGCGACATTCGACGCAGAGTAGTAATGTCGCAGGTGGTTCGTGTGGCGCATATCTGATGTCGAGCGGGGTACAGTTGCGTGGTGTTGGCGGGAAGGTGGTGCTATATCGTCACGAGGAATGTCCCCTGTCGAACGTGAAGGATGGAGTATGCGTTCATGCCTCTCGGTGCGAGAGCGGGGAGTGAATCGTTTGGCCTCTTGTGCAAGTGCAGAGCGCTGCGGAGACAGAGGTGAATTTACAGGACGGTGGCTGTTATTAGCAGAGCGTATGGAGGAAATTGACTGCTGCTGGCGGGGGTTTCGCGAGGGGCCAGCTTGTGGAGATTGAGTAACGTACGAACTAGATGGGTTGCGTGGTGGTCGTGGAGGGGGATCTTCAGGACGCAAAGACGTATTGGATGGCTGGCGGGAAGCAGTTGGGACCGGCAACGGGCGTGTATGGGTGCGTAAAGGAGAGGGCTTTGGACCGACGGGTGAGTGTGTGGAGGATGCCTCCGTTGGAGACGCCATCCAATTATTCCGCCAGGAGATGTCAATGACGGACAAAGGAACCGAAACATTCACCCGCGGCACAGATGCATTAGTGCTTGACGCAGGGTTGGCGGTCTCAAATGGCCGCGGCCGCGCATCTTGCCCGGCAATCAACCCTCGCTTCCTACGTCGGAACTTTACCACAGCAAAGCACAGGGCAGCAAGGATCATAGTGCCACCAATTGATGCGCACACAGCAACGATGATCGTGTCTTGATGGCTTAACCTTACACTGCCATTCGATCGTGTGGCAAGGATCACTCTGTCGGCCCGCCTCCCCCGATTCCCAATCTCACAAGATACTCCACTAGCATCGACGACTTCTACAAATTCGGTCGCATGCCCAAATACGCCAGACCTGTGAAAGAGACAATATTAGCATAGGTTTGCTGGTGGGACCTAACGAAGGCGGAGGAGACCACTCACGAATCACGCACGGCAGCTTTGACGGGAACAAAACGCACAGGCTTACCCTCAGTCAACAATCTCAGGTTGCCGAGGACTCCGACGCACCTATAGTAGGTCCTCTTAGTGCGGTGCCGCTATTTATAAATGAAATCAGGCCAGACTCTTGGGGCGCAGCGAAGTCCTGCAAAAAGGGGGCTCCGGGAGATGCGAGCATGATGGTGTATGGTGGGACTCCGCCTGAGATGGACATCTGCCAGGAGTCGCAAGGCTCGACATGGGAGCTATTCGTTATAATTATTGGAGCAACTGCAGATGTGGGAAGTGCGGGAAGACAGTCTGAGGATCCTGCTGCGAATATATCTCAGTGTGTTCCTGTGGATATTTGCAGGAGAAAGGGCCCACATGCAACCGTGAAGACTGTGGGGAGCACCCCACCTGAATTTCCCAAGGAGTCGACGAGGGCGAGGAGTAGCTGGGACCCTGTATAATGCTGCTCTGTAATTTATTCCAACTTAGGGCCGGTTGTACGAACCTGCTGGGTGTTTCACCCGCCACAGACCATCTTCGTGGATTTGCGTAGCAGTCACCGCCCCACTAGCTTCAAAGGCAAAAAGGGTGTATGGAGAATGTCCAATATCGTTGTAGTTTCCCGACGACGAAGAAAGCGAGATGTGCAGGCCATCACAGACGGTCAGACTGTGTACTCGCTCAAATTCCTGATTGAAGTGATTAAAAAATAACATATGAGAAAGAACAACCACGACTTACGTGATTCATTAAATCCCAGGAAAAACTTCGGCTACCCTCCGCAAGGCCTAGGAGTGCATGAAAGAAAACACATATCGCTAGGCCTTGAAGAAGCAGCAAGACCATGACTTTTAGGAGATAACAAGCTCCAAGGACCAGCCTGAAAGGGCCTCCAGCTCCGCTCAAGGGTACCAATCAAGAGACGCCCGCGTCTTCCAATTAGAAGTTTGGTAAGGAAAGGAAAGGAAACTTGAACAGGAACTGAGAAGTTTCATAAGTATCTCGGACCTCGGTAATTGCCACGCGATAAATACCAAGATATTTCTGATCACCGAGACGTTCCGAGACTGCGTGCATGTGCCGGCCAATTGTGGCTGGAGCGATGCTGTTGTAGTGTTCAGCACAGGTGTCTTGAAGAGGCCTTGTACAAAATTCACCGCCCCTCTGATCGGCTGGGGCTATTGTGGGCAATAATCGAGCGATTCTCATTGGCGTAGACTGCGTAAGTAGATCATTAAGGCAGTATAACGGATCAAATGGGCTCACGAGTTGTTTAGAACCCTGGCAGTTCCTGGTAAGATGCGAGCAATTCTGACAAGGATTTCTTTCGGCACAACTCGGTTCGAATGGAGCAGTACTAGGTTGCAAGTACTGAGCACTATGCGCATTGCACAGCCCGGTGGGCGGTACACAAACCCGTGCCAGTCACAGGTAGTGGCAGTGCAGACAATAGTATTTCACGGATATCACCAGCACGTGACTGACGCATACTTCTACTTAGTACGCACCAAAGTGCATCATATTGACTGCCAACCTGAAGAGTATTGTGATCTCTCGCTGTTCATACGTTTACAATTTTATCCTATGACCGTTATTTCGCCCTTGCGGTTCAAACTTCAAGCTTCAATCAGGCCTTGAAATGTATGTAACCTAGATGGCTAAATATATCTCGTTTCATTCGGAAATCTAAGCTGTACACAGAAACGCATCGAATCGTCTCGTGAGTAACACTAACTACCATGACACTGACTGGCGCAGTTGAAGCCTGCATGGTTCGGAAGCATTGTCTGTAGAGAATTAAGTGGGCACATTCGCCTATGATTGAATATTTAGAACAACGTGCCGGAAGATCACGAATGGATTCTCATCCGTGTCCACTCTGTACACGTAACGGTTGGCATGAGAGTATCAGATCTATCAGTGAAACTTTCTTGAGGTACGGTATGAGCGGGTTTGCTTGTCTTCAACATATCAAGCTTTTAAGTGGTGAATGTATCCCACTCCGAAATTGCAAGATATCATACATGTAGTAGTATACTTCTCTGCATCTCCATGGTACAGTTTAGAGCTGAGCGATCACAACGTTCGCAGCGGTGGAAGTGATATTCGCAGGCTGCTCTTCCACTGCGATGAAGTCGACCTTCCCGTCTTGAGTTACAATGACGTAGCGCTAAAAGAGATTTAGTACGTCACGAAATCTTGAGGAAAGAACGATATAACCTTGGATCTAGGTGAACCTAAAAGGCCAGAAGCATCGAAGAGGAGTCCCACGCTAGAGGTAAACTCCCCTTTATCATCCGCAATGAAACGGACGCCTGAATCACATCACAGTGCGATGAAGAAATGATCCTGTGATAGAAATGCATAAAAACTCCTACCTGTGCCCTGTGGAGCAAGTTTTTCTTTCCAAGCCCTGCGAATAGGGTGATTGAGTATATGCGCTCGGATATGCACATATGCGCTCACTTTACCACGAATGCATCATTCACAGCAACAACAGTAGATGTTTTTCACGTCCCTTAGCTTTGAACTTGTCGTAGTCTGCAATGTACTGCGGGACCTGGGAGCTACACGGCGGTGTGAACGCCCCGGGAACGCCAAGCTGTTATTGCAATAACATGAGCGTCTGGCGCAAAGTTGACATGGGGCCACGTACAATGATATTCTTTCCAGAGAGATCAAGCGTAATAGAGCGCTCAGGATCTTCTTCTTTTACGGGCTTCTGGGGGATTGGCTCGCCTGCTTCGATCTGCGCAGCGCTGAGCATCGCGGCAGCGGCAGAGTGCGCAGCTTGTGCGACATTTGTAAGAATGGAAGCCATGGCGATCGATTCAGATGAGATATGTAGGTGATTGAGGAAAGCTGAGGAGATGTTGGGATAGACCTAGGGGTTGACGCGATAATATCTCCATAGTCCCCTTATATGGGCAATCGAAGCTCCAAATAACATTACGTAAGCAAGATATAAGTCATTCCCACTGCACCTCCTGATAGTTGTGGTGAGCGGAACGTGCACAATATTGCTAGTAAAGAGGTTCCCCTGAGTCATATGTGCTTCACACGATGAGCTTGACCGCTATTTTCCTAAGTAGAGGGTCTTCCGTCTATAAAAGTTCCACGAGCATGGAGTTAGGGATTCCGCTTGCCCTGAACATGAGAGGCGTAAATTGATTCAACAGGTTATAATCAAGTTGGATCGTGGCATCCACGAGTACAGGTGAGGTGCGACCGTGTCCTAGTGCTCAGGTCTAGAGCTGATACGCATGCGTCGCTGCGTGTATCCACCAATACAGATCGTAAGAGCGTGATTACTTACACCCTTTGCATCAGAGCTCAGTGGAATTTGATCAGATGTTAACACTGGCACTGGTCAGAGCAATCGTATTAACCAGGTCGGGCCAACCAAAACGTGATACTGCTTGAGGCCCAATGTGGAATCGCGGCGGAAAGTAATGGTGGTATATAAACACAGATGCCGGCACACGAAACTATACTTTGTACCGACGACCTGTTTTCGTAAAGAAGGTTTGAAGGATATACACCTGAAGGCTAAATATCATTCAGTTGTGGTCGGATTACGCCTAGGTTGCACTTACACGGCCATGCCCACAATGCCCAAACCCTCCAGAACCATATACCAGAACAGGCGACTATACTGCTTGTGAGTGACCCGGTCACATAAAAGTGAGAATATCCACCGACTTTTGTGTCGACCTGACCAAGGAGAACCCTCTGTTCTCCCGTGTATGGAAACTTGGGAAGAAAGGTCGGTACGCATGATGATAACTCGAGACAATAGTTAAACATACTATTTTTGAGTACGCTTGATGTTCAAAAGCAGCGAGTTCAACCGGAATGTGCTCTCCTCCAGTGCACTGGTGTGATCTGCCATCTGTCCTGGCTTGGCAGGTGCTTCCCTGCGAGGTTCACTCTCCACCATGATGTCGAAGTCAACTAACTTCACCGTGAGAGTCGACATGTCATTCTCGAAGCAGAACGAGTACTCTCCAACGGTATTGGCAGTCAAAACGTAGTCGCCTTGCCTCTCGCTTTTACCGTCAAGTATGACCTTCTCATTGGGATCCTTAACGTCGAAGTCTATGTCGAACGATCCTCCAGATTGAACCTAGTTTCAATGAGTATATGAGCTGACACAATGCCGCGTGACGTACTGCAAAGTAAAACTTCAAGCGGAACGTTCAGTATATCTCAACAAACATGAGCATTCGTGCTCACCCCAATCTTTTCCCCTGCTTTGTCTGCATCAACATAGAAACATAAACGCTCATTTGCAGCAATGGCAGTGGTCAACGCTGAGCTTCTTGCTGAAGGAAGAAGTGATAGGAAGAGAAAGCAGTTATACAGAAGAAGTAAGAGAATCATTGTTGGAAAGCATGTATTAGTTTGCGTTTGGCTTGCGTGCTTGTGATGGTGACCTTGCCGGTGTGCCGGTATCGAATTACGGACTCCGCGAACTCCGAGTCGTCAGAAGTCAAATTGGTCTTGCAGAACGGTTTTGACTTGGTTCTGACCTTCGTTAAGATACATATATCGCTTTGTCTTCCCCATCTATAAGTATTACTGACAGTGACCAAGCTGCTGTGACCTGTCCGCCTGGTGTGTACCATTATCATTGCGATAGTTTGACCTATTCAGTGGTGTCAAAACGAATTCACTGACGAATATTCATATACTTGGGATCTTATTTCAGAAATGTTTTGCGAAGTCGATGGGTTTCATTACTCCGATTGCCTCGAGTTGCCCTCGAGTAATCCTCCTACAAGTCCAGCGCGACTCCAATTCCAGCGTGACAAATATGCATACGCTATGACTATATGCTCCGATGCTCCCCCTGTATCCACGGCGATGCGACACTTCATCACAGGGTTCTATCCCTCCCAGTTCAGGACAAGACATCCTGTTTCAATTTCCTCGAGTTGAAAGTTTTTTTCGATCTATATCAATGCCATCTACTCCTTTACGCCGGCATGGCATGTCGGCTTCTTCGCCAGGCTTTCAGCAATTGTCTCGTGTGTATTCTGCACCTCACACTGAATCCTGGGTAGAACAACAGTTGTCCTCTTCGCCAAGTCCCCTTCCAAAGATCCCTCCTCTACTTGGCTGCGGCCTATCACCTTCAATTCTTAATGCTGAAGGAACGCCATTCGATCGACATTTCAACTTGTCACAATCGTGGCATAGCTCCGATCCAGATATGTCTCCCATAGCTAGAAGGATGTCTGATGACAATACCACTGCGTTCTCCACGTGAAAGCGCACGCCAATCTAATCAGTCTTCTGGAGGATCCTGTGTTCCAAGTCCGTGGTCGCTGATGGAGAAAATTCCTTCGTTACATTCCTTCGGTCATCCTACCTTCTCTCCGGACTTCACTTCGAGTCCTGTCATGCATGCTAGCGAACGGTCTTGGTCTCCTGTGTCCTCTCTCTCTGCGCTCACTCCCCTTTCGTCTCCCGAGCGTCCCCTAAGCAATAATGTTTCTGGTGGTTTATCTTGCGCTTCTTCATTATGCTCACCCATTTTTGGACAAAACTCAACTACTGCGCGACATTCAAAAGACAACCGCGAGCTAGATTCTACTTCTCGACGCTCGCTTCGTACTGCTAGTCGTGCGGTTCTTGCGCGGAGTCCCAAGCACCCCCTTCCGGACGATCATGACGAGAAACAGCCGTCATTCCGGACAAAACGCACACGCACCTCTGGCGGCCCCACTGCTGTCGACCTTTACCTCTCAGACTCAGGAGCCCAAATCTCTCGGCATACCGTCTCAGCGTCGCCTTCCCTCAGAGGTTTCTCGTCACCCCGATTTTCCTTTATTCTATCGGCGTTATCCTATAAGCTCATTTCTACAACTTGATTCTGAGGAGTAAGTTATTTCTTGACTGCTACCTGGCGCTCATCGTGCGCAGAGCTTCCCTTTTCAATTGCTCCAAACACCCTGGCGGTATCTGTAACCCTCCACGCGATCCACGAGATCTGTATACTCCCCGCTTTGTCAAAGGTAAAGGTAGGTCCAAGATAGGGCTGTGTCCGATCTGCATCGAAAGCCCTTTGCGTGGTGGACGGGGACAAAAATTATGGTTATCAACAAAATTCTCTGCGTTCAAGTGGTCGCTTACTTTTCCCTCGCAACCTATACGATTATGCTAACGTTTTTGTCCAGAGAATTTTAGTCTCTTTCATGATTTCACTTAACTTTTTTTAGCTATCATATGCAGTTCGCGCACGGTAAGGGAAATTTGAATGACTCTTCACCCACTGATTTTTTCTCGCATTCTAAGGAGTGTCAGCGACAACCGGACGTCCATTCTCACCACCGCTGTCATACAGGACAAGTAGTCGCCGCCACCCCCTCAAACTTGAGCGATCGGAGATTCTCGAAGGAAGGTGTCATAAATGCAAGAAGTGGGTCCCCGTCGAAAGTATCAAAGATTGCGAGGTGAAGGTATGAAATCAGAATGATGTCTCGTGACATTTCTCATGGTCGCCATTAGGTCAAGGAACTGTTCTGGTAGGGCACATGCGAGGCATGGCTAGCAATAGACTCACTTCTACTTCTAGGTGGAAACATGCTGCAACCTGCCACCAAGGATCCCAGGTTCCAGGGGACGACGACTTCTACGAACAAGACGATGTATTCCGTCGCTTAGAAGAACTCGGACTCTGAAAGTATCGCCATTCTCTTCTTGTTCTGGAATATGGACTGCGCTGGACTTTCAACTGTATGTATATCACGATCGCTATGTGGACATCATTGTACACACGTGCTGTATTTTGTTATGGCTTGTAGCTACAGTGCCGACAAGCTAATCTGAATGTATTTTTTGACACTACCACTGCGCGATGTGTGATATCATCTTTTGGTTTGGCGGAGCCATGGACAATATTTTCATTTCGTCGTTCCTTGGTCTTGGTCTTGGACGCCTACCCTGATCAGATACTCTTCGGTAACAGTTTTAAGTTTAAGTGTTCATCTCTCTAGTCGTCTGTCGTTCGCCTGAGCTATGGATTTATGTATCTGGACTCATACCAGTGTAGAAGAACTCCGAGATTCTACTATCAATCATCTTTCTTATCCTACGCACTCGTCCAATCTTATGGCTGTTAGAAAGCCTAGACAGCGTCCAGCGACGCGTCTCGACAGGACAATGTACAACGGTGCGCCTATTGTTTCCTTGTTCTCCGACTCTTGACATTGTCTGCTCTCATGACATGTTTATTGATTGTCCCCACTGAATCATTTGTTTGCTACATGGCCAGCGTTGATTTTCTTACTTATAGCTGCAAGTCATTGCTAAATTGCTGGGTGAGACATGCCTCAAAGAACTTTTGGCTCCTCTTGAATTCACCTTGCCTTACCTATTATTGAGTCACTAAAGGCTAGATTCCTTTCAGTGCATCTACCACTGGAGATGCCATGGACTCTGTCATCTCCTAAGTCTTGCTATCCTCCAGGTACCGCCATCAAAGCACCCCTTGAAGCCCACTGCTCACACAATGCATGTTTTTGGACACAATGACAGAGTGAAACATATTCATAGTAACACACTGCCTTCCGGCCTAGGTTTGCTTCGCCAAGCCTTTCTTGGCAATCAACAGTGCCAGACTTCGAAGCTCTCTAGGCCCATTATGCTTGCCAGCATCTGCACGCCGAGGCATGCACGAATATAAGTGTGGAGAATCCAGTCCAAACCGCAAACGAGCTGTTATTGGCTTCCGCAGGGCGAATAAAGCGACCTGGGAAATGCCACCGTACGTATAAGGCGTCGACATTCATCCGAATGAAACTTTGATGAGCGACAGTCGCAATGATTACCAGGTGTCGAGGGCCTGATGGATTTCCATACAAGGGTGAATCTTGCATTCAATCCAATATGACTCCAGAATCTTCCAACAATTCTACGAAGCGCGTCGTGATGGTGACGTACCGGAACAAGATCTTGGTAAACCTCGCATGTTTGAGATGGCATCCATGCCATCGAAGAAAACGTCCGATCCTGTCGACGTTGTGACTGCACATCAAGATCTTCCCTCCGCTAATCATCACCTCACATGTCGAGATGTGTGCAAGGCTGCAATTACAGATGAGGTCAACGTGCCTTCAGAAGTCACCCGAACTCTTGAATCCACGCAGGTCACTGGGACCTGATGCGCGAGCTTTTTGGTGATGGAGAAGCCGACAGGAACAGTATTCTTGATGTCCTTGTGTATCCGAGTCGAGTGAGCGAGCAATGTTTTTGTACCTCGTAGTGTTCTCTATCCAATGTAAACAGTTTCGGCGAAGTGCTGGCCACAGCTCGCTCAAGTCATTGGACTCTATCCAGATCTATCCCATGAAGTCTGAGGAATGCTATTTTGCGGCCCATCGGAAAGATTCCAGAAGGACGTAAATTTTCATTGTATTGATATCTCACATAGTGAGAAACCATTATCCTGAGCAATGATTACATGGACGAAAAGTGTGCTCGAAGCTTTTCCAGTAAGACGCCGCCAATACGTCGCGACTTTTACTACGCGTTCGCACACGTGACTTTGATTGTTTCGCGTAAGCTTGCGAAGTTCTTCTGGGTCTTCTCGCCTCTAGGCTCTAGACAGCTCTAGACCTCCTCGAAATCCGCACGTACGCACGACACACTTGACTTGTTTTGTTGGATTGAGTGTTGCATTGCTCCGGTCGTAACCAAGGACTTCGCATCCTGTAGTAGTCCAAAATCTTCAGGCGGGTCACGCGATCTCCAGTGACGGTTAAACCCCTTCACTTGGGTTTGGTGCTCATGGTGGATTACTGTACTCTATTGAAACATCAGGCTTTGAGGAACTGTCATGTCCAAATCAACCTCTGAGGTTGAAATGCTTTATGTAGAAGTTCACCGTCGAATGATCGAGAATGGAGAGTGGGATCGGTGAGTGTTTGTCCGGTATCTCTCATAGCTACTGAAAACACATTTCACAACCTAGAATATTGCATCTCCTGTCCTCTAAGCTGTCGGAAAGCGGATGGACAGACGACCTTCTGCACCGCGCCAAAGGTATGCATGCCTGTCCTGTTGTTGCTTGATACCTAATCCTAAAGCTCATATGCAACCGATTAGAAAACAGTAGAACTATGGATCCGCTTTCCCTTCAGACAATCTTGCAGGAATTGTTATCGCATGCGCAAAGTGCTAATCTCCACTCGATCATTTGCCAGCGTCACTGACCCCTTCCATCATCCCCTAGCAAGCGTACCTCTCTCCGTGAAACGGGAGATCACAACTCTTATCAAGCAGTTCGTGAAGGAGCAATTCGAGAAGTAGCAAATACACCTTGCATGACCACCTCCATTTATTCCATACAAAACCGCTCATGTAACTCTGTTCGCAATCGTAAGTTAAATGAAATGACTTTTGGACGGTTGGTCCAGGGTATTCGAAAGCTACATGCCCCAACATTTTCCTGCGGTAACCGTAATTGAATTTCTTCTCCGAGAAGTACCGCCCATTATTAATTTGATATAAGTGCCATGATGCTATGCCTTCTAGCGTCTTGGCATTGCATCTGAGTACTGAGTGCTTACCCGTGTATGCTAACAGATAGCTCCGCACTAACAACTTTTGGAAACGCTCGGGAAGAACGCATACGACCAGTTTACCAGTTATATAACAAGTACTCCTAGGACTCCATCATGTATTATGTGCCAGCGAATGTTCTCATTCTTCGTTGTTTTGATGCTCCCAGCTCCCCTGCAGGTTTTTTTATGAACCTCGTGTTCATATTCATGGGCACTTTGGGTCGATAAACATGTTTTCGAGTTGTTATCACCAGACTTGTAACGAGTTGAGTTACAAAACCCAGCAGAACTCCCATAAATTCCTGTTTCTGCATCCCAACAGTTCGACGTTATGCAAGGACCTTCTCCCTCTCGATGATTACGGTGCCAAATCACATCTGGGCGCGTAGTGCCCACCAGTCCGTCCCATATTCAAGGACACGCATGTAGAATTTGTTGAGTACGCTTACAGGGAAGCGGTATCGCATGTCGAAAGAATGATCCGAAGTTCACGCATTACCGCGAGATTAATGCTCGCTCCTGCCAAACGGACAACGGGTGAGTTGCCATTCTTTGCGATCTTTCGCTGGACTGTCAAGAATAAGGATGTCTTATATTTGGACGTGAGTATATATCCTGCGCCCTTATGGCTGCTTGTTGAGAAGGATGCCCGCTTTTATCAAGACCATCTCGAAATTGGGCGCCTATGTGATCAGATCGGGTACCACAAGCTTTGGGACGATAGCTTGGCTTGCCGTCGTTCAACCAAGTGGCACTACACATGTTTGAGTGGAGCAAAGGACCGACTTTTTGGAGCACTGGAGTCCCACTACTCAGATGTACGTCATGCTGTTCAGAGATACGGCTGGCCGATCAAGGGTATCGGACGAAGAGCGTTCTAGGAGAGGCGTCAGGCCTAGGTGTCGCTCTTTATTATTAACCACCTTCTTGTTTCTGATGGTTAAAAATTAAAATGGTGTCACCGTAATATGATGTGCACGCAAGGCGGTGATTAAAAGCTATGGAGATTCATCATAGGCTGTCTCATAGCGTCTCACTCACCGGATGTGCAACATTAATTGAGAGAGCTGAGCTACACAAAAGTATGCTAGTGCTCACGTAGGTCCTCTCTGCGGATTTAGAGTGTTGGACACGGAGACGCGTCGCGACGCGGTCTCGTGATTTCCAATTCAGGAAGGACTGTGGAGGTCATGGCCGAAATGCCGAATGACATAATCATCTACAAACTGAACTTTCAATTGAATACGCCACTTCCAGGTCTCTCTGCCCCACATTCATTGCGCGTATTTATAGGGCAGCTTGAGGACAGCTATCATCTTGAGGTGCTAATTACCTTACTCCCCGTTCTTGACGCCGTCGAGCTCAGTATCTTTCTTCCAGGAAGTTTTCATGGATTTCATGCTCGGTGGAAAGTACAGACTTGAAGAGGAAATCGCCATTGGAGGATGTGGTAACTCTCACTCTCTCTGCTCATCTCCTGCTGGTCCCCCTGATTCCATATCATGTCCAAATAGGCACAGTGTTCCTTGGAGTTCATACAGTCGCAGGAAAGGAAGTTGCAATTAAATTAGAACCAGCCATAGCACGCAACAGTCCCCTCAAGCAGGAGTCCAAGGTCTACAAGACTCTCATGGGTGGCCCTGGGGTGCCATGGATCATGTGGTCGGGAAAGCACGGCGATTACAATGTCATGGTGATCGATTTGTTGGGTCCATCCCTTGAAGACCTCTTCAAGATGTGCAATCGTCACTTCACAATGAAGACCGTACTCCAGCTTGCGGATCAATTAGTGAGTCTTCTTTCTTATCTGTGACATCCCCTCAGGCGAGGTGTATGTCTTATCCACTGTTCCGCGTCCTGCATCTACACGTTGTGGTCCAGAGCATCTTTTATGATGCCAAGCTGTGTTGGACTTTCCTTTTCTCGCCTTTTTCTCTCAGCATTGCTGATGCCTTCCCAACAACCTAGCTATCGCGCCTAGAGTTCATCCACTCACGTGATTTCGTCCACCGCGACGTCAAACCTGCCAACTTCGTAATGGGGACAGACCGCGCAGAACATCTGGTCAATGTGATCGATTTTGGGCTCGCCAAAAAATTTCGAGACCCAAAGACAAGCGCCCATATCCCGTATCGACAAGACGACCATCATGGTGTGGGTACATCCCTCTTTGCATCTATCAACGCGCATCGCGGCATCGGTGAGTTTTAGTTGGCTATCAGAGTGGCCATAATTGACCTATGGCTTGGTAAAGAGTGCTCTCGGCGTGATGATTTAGAATCCCTTGCTTACATGTTGGTTTACTTTCTGCGAGGCACGTTACCATGGCGGAAAATCAAAGGCACTACAGTCGCTGAGACGTGGGATGCTATACGAGACAAGAAGCTCGAGGCTTTATCAGTTCTCAGCGTGGGTCTTCCTGTGGAGTTCGAAATTTTCTTCAACTATGCAAGAGGTCTCGAGTTTGAAGACCTTCCAGACTACGTAGGACTCCGAGATTTGTTCAAAGGGCTGGCGAAAAAAATGAAGATAGAGTATGATGAGGTTTACGATTGGACACTACCCTCGAGGCGGACGACGAAGAGATTCTGTGAAGCGTGTAATGCGCGACGGTAACGAGACACGAAGACGGGGATGGTTCTATCCTAGCCGTAAGTACATACTCATTTTATGAAACCCGAGCGGTCAATCAACACGTTCATTTGTTTGTTGATCAGACCTTCGAGCAGAACACGTGCGGCACTCATGAGTTCGCATGACGAAACTCTTCGATCACATGCAGCCGCTGTTACGTCCTCGTTTGTGAGGCACTTATTATGACGCCGGCCTGATACTGGCCAGGCTTTCTCTAAGTGGCCGACAGCGATTGTTCGGCAAGCTTAGGTTCGTCTCAGTATGGCCCGGCCGTTATCAGGACGTCTTGTGCTGAACAGTTTCCTCACAGAATTTTCCATGCTAATGTTGCGCGCGTTCATCTCTGCTTCGAATCGGAAGCACAGCTCGAGGCTACAATACTTCTGCAGTGCGGAGTTGCATGGGTGATTCAGAGATGGGGTTTTGTTCTTGAAGGTCCTCTTTATGTCTTACGTTGTTTGGTTTCTATGGGTATCTCATACTTTACTGCTTGCTGTCGTCCCCGCTATGCCATACTTTTAGATCACCTGAGTACCTTACCGCTCGCTGCTTAGTGATTACTTGTGTCGAAAAATGTGCAAATTCTAAGGATAGGCACCTCTGGGACATCTTACATAAACACCTGACCTTTCAAACCACCAAACACGAACGTCCTGTAGGCTGTGCGGCGAATGTCTTTATCGTTCACAGTCGGCGAGCGCATCTTATGCTATCATGGACCCCTCGTCTACGAGGCTAAGATACTAAAAGCAGAGACGTGGGACGAAACCAACACTAAGCTCTCCACGGTTGGCCCCCATTTCTTCGTGCACTATAAGGGGTGGAAGCAGACGTGCGTTGTCCTTTGTATTTGTGTTTGACTCATTTTTTTCTCACCGCTGGCTAGGTGGGATGAATGGGTACCTATCACACGGCTGCTCAAGTTTAATGACACGAATGTGCAGCTGCAGAAAGCACTAATGGCACAGGCCAGCGCGGCTGCGTCTACTTCGGGGTTGTCCTCAAAAGGGAAGGCTCATGGCGGGGGTACGATGAAAGACAGTAGCTCTTCGCGCGGTGGCGGGCTTGGGCGTAAGGATGGTAGAGGAACAAAGAGAGGGAGAGAGGAGGTGCGTTTTTTATATACAAATCTGTCTCAAGATGTATTCTGTGTGGCGGCGCTGATGTCATTTTTATATAAGGATGATAGCAGCAAGAAGCCGGAGATGAAACTCAATGTCCCAGAGGTGCTGAAAGTACTGCTCGTGGATGACTGGGAGGCGATCACAAAGAACAGTCAGGTAGGATCGTATTGCTTTTTCGCCTGAGTTGGATATTGACGACCCGAAAGCTGGTATCTGTACCACGACGCCCAACAGTTGTTGAGATCCTCCAGGAGTTCAAAGATTATGTGATAGGGCTCGGGAAAAGCACAACGTTAGCTCCTTTATCGGGAATACTCAATATTCTGCTGACTCGAGCGCCAACCTGTCTTCTAGCCTTCGTGAGCCTGAACTCGTCCTCCCAACAATAATTTCAGGGTTGCAAGTCTACTTTGATCGCTCGCTCGGCGCAAACCTTCTCTATCGTTTTGAGCGTCCACAATACGCTGAGATCCGCAAGCAGTATGTCACGGGCCCCAAGGTGCAGGTTGGCCAGGAGAAAGATATGAGCGCCATATACGGGGCAGAACACTTGCTTAGGATGCTTGGTGCGATCTTATCCACATGAAGTGCTGAGCGTCAACTGATGAGTTCCTCGGCTTAGTGAGTCTACCACAGATGGTCGCCAGTTCTACGATGGACGCGGAGAGCGTCGGACTAGTGAGGGATTATGTCAACGAGCTGCTAACGTGCGTCGTTTCGCCCTTCTGTTGTATCTATTTGCTGATGTCTGGCGAAGGTTTATGATGAATGACCGCAGTCGGCTGTTTTTGACAGAGTACGAAAGCTCAAGTTTGCAATATCAAAACATCTCTCGATCATAATTCATCAACGTTGTTACTGTGTACATATCATTACTCACGATCTTAATCGCCTACGTTAGCCTTCGATCGGAATTTACGCCAATTGTGAGGTGTCTGCTGGTCCACAGCTATATCAGCTCGATAAGCAGAATATGATGACTCGATGACATTGGCTAGCTAATCGCTTAAAGAACATGGCTCTGCTACCTTTTCCTCTTGATTAGACTGCATCTCCGAGACCAGTCGACCATGTACGTAGCCGCCACTTCTCATTTACTTCGTTCAGACACTGCTACCAAGTCCCACACAGCGCTCAGCCTGAGATTTCTCCATGTTAACTCATGTACCATCTTTACCACGTTTGTCGTTTCGTCGCCTTCTCTCCAGCCAATCGCTCACCATGCATGTCATGCTTGGCGCGCCCCTATATCCTGCTCGACGATGTCACTCCTTTGCCTGACCCTCGTGATGGACACCAAGTCCAAAGTCTTCGGTGATAGCACGTCCGTTACTGACTCGCTTCCTTTGTACCACGCAATTTCTACGTTGCCTTAGCAGCAAATTCCGTCCGATACACGCAATCAGTATCTTCCTTTCTACAATCCAAGCAGAAACTTCGAGCCACGGTTCTATTTCGCATCTGTGACGTCACTGACGTGTCTCCCCTTGCAATCACGCCCCTTCTTCTGCCACGCCAATTGCCGAGTTCTCCAACCTCCTGCCAGGACCCGATATCGAAGAACACACGGCGCTGTGTTGGGCAGTGCATGCATGACGGTAAACGACTACACATTGTTTTGCAGCTGAATTTGGGAACAGAAGGATGTCGTAAGTGAATGGTACATAACGTCCCGAGAGAGCATTGATCAATTCATCATGCATCAGCCGAAGATATGTCTTTGAGACACCTAGACTGTACGCGAGATGAGCTTCAAGTACATGAAGGGGGTGGATTGAACAACGATCACTTCGCTGCTTGTTTCGGCATCAAAATGCTCCGGAGACGCCTGCGCACTTACACACAGAATTTGTTGTCAGGGGTATGCAATCCATGACTTTTAGCCTGTTCCTCATGCTGATACAAACTTGCTCATTCTTGTAGGGTGTTTGGGTTTTATACGAGGGCGGAGCGGATTTGGCGCGCTGTTTATAGTCTTACTGAGAACAGCCTTCCGGTGCATACAAACACGGTCCTCTACACATTCTTCATCGTGCAAGCTAGTACCTGATAGGTGGTTTATTTTTTCAACTCGTTCGAATCCTACACGTATGTAGGTTTCCATCATCTCTGAGCGACTATCCTTTGTTTACTGGCTAATATGTAGATCTTACAGTTAGTCGGACACCAAACTCAGCAAGATCTCCAAAGTAGTTTGGAAATGGTTGTATGATGGACGAGTAAGTTTTCTAACTCCAACGTTCTCAGTTCGATCAGTTTAGCAGGATGTGTTCCCCTGTGCTCGCAAAGTTGTTTTTATCCATCGACGTGTATTTTGACATCACCTCAAACTAACTGTCTTGCTGTAGCAACACCATATATGTGGATTCTGATGGTAGCATATATAGAAAGCTCGAGATGACGGTAGAAATACCACCATGCCAGCTCAGGCCAGTCAATCTATCCCTTCGATTCAGACATCTGCTCAGGGTGTTCCATTCAATATAGCTGATCATGGTACATTGGTACTTATGCTGTGATGACGAAAGCAAGCAATGGTCCAACATCGATGAGCTAGCGACACGGTACAAGAATATGTATTTGACAGCTCTCTGACAAGTAGGAAAGAGGAGGAAAGTCACAAGCAAGGAAAATATTCAAACTAATTCCGCGTCATGCTTGCCGTGTAGTTTCGTTTCGTCGTGATCATAGCTGTTGTTTCTCTAGTGAGTAGATCAGTAATTCATTTGGGTCCATACGAACTTGATATCAGATTCGCTCTTTGTCATGGAGAAAGACCAAGGATTCTACAGCGCTACCGACAAACACCTCGTGAATCGTGAGATTTCATGACTTCAACGTGGCCAAACATGATCTAGGCTAGTAGTGCAGCAACAATGAGCCTAAAATATGATTACAGGTACATGAAAGTAAACATTCCCGGACTAAACGGAGCCTCTCAATACTATCATCACATAATTCAGTCCCTTGGATATTTCCGTCTATCGCGAGTCGCAGGGTCCCGTGGTAGTGCTGAAAGACTTTTGGGCCGGCGAATCTGGCAATCTGAGTCGAAATGATGATTTAGTGGCAGACATGATCGCGAGATGCTACTGACAAACTTTAAATGATCCCATCGTGCAACACACGTCGAGAAGACAGCTAAAAGCATTTCGGGAAATCATACATGTTTTCAGTGCGTGTCCATTCCTTCAGCACTCGATATTCACTTTGCACAGCGACTAGTCGCGCAGATTTGTGATCTGAGTTCCTCGCGTCGTTTTTTCTGGGGATAAGGTTAAACCCGGACGATCGGCTTGGCCAATGCGATCATGGGTGCAACCTGATCAATAGCCCAAGCAAGTTACAGGAGCAACGCCCGGAGGTCAACGTTCAACAGGGGCGACATATAAGACGGTCGTCAATTGCGGAAGCCAGCGTACCGCTGTTTCCACACTCATATCATCACACTGAGTCTTGTCTTTCCTAAATATGGCCCTCACACAATTTCTGTACGACCCATTCACTGAATTTGATCGTCTTTTTGACGACGCGTTTACTTCACGTTTCCGGCCCGACTCCGACGAGGCTCGTCCTACAACAATCCGCCCTAAGTGCGTGCTGCCTGTACGGGAACGATGATTTGTTCTAACATCTTTGAATACGCAGGATGAATCTCGTTGAGACAAAAGACAACCAGGTCGTGGCGAGGTTCGAACTCCCCGGCGTAGAACGGGGGAAGGTTGACATTGAAGTGCATAATAACCGCCTGACCATCTCGGGCGAGAAGAAAACCGAGACTCAAACTGACGAGGCCCGGGGTCGTTTTGTGGTGCGCGAGCGCTCTTTCGGACGCTTTGCTCGGACTCTGCAGCTCCCTGAGGGAACTAAGGTACGATCACACTTCACGATGAACGAGCTCGTTGCTGATATAACATACTAAGCCTGAACAAGTCCAGGCGCATATGGAGCACGGAATCCTTCAGGTCACCTTCCCGAAGGCGCCTCCGGAACAGGAGACTAAAGTTATCCCTATCGAAGGACCGCACAAGGAGAAAGGTAGCAAGAAATAAATTAAGATTGGAGCAATCGAGTCTGGAGATCCAGTCATGTACTTTTAGCTTTCTCTACTGGAATGTTTATGCGTCGCTTTCCAACTCTGCATCAGTAGTAGCTCTAGGGATCGGAAATGTGTGTGGCCGTAGCCTGAGCAATGAACCTATCAGTATTGGCTCAGCATTTTTTCTCACGGGGAGACCAATACTTGAAATCGTGGATTGATGAAGGCTGGTTTGAAGACACTTGAACGTGGAGATGGAGCTAGGAACGAACTTTGCTGCAAAGCTCGAGCCATTCCTTCTCATCTCAAAGTCAGCCAAGGGTGCAGCAGCAGCGAAACTTATTCAGGACGCCACTTCAGCCCAAGGCGTGTTTGTCTTTGCCGAGCTCCTTGAGCTCCCTAATATTCAGGAGGTATGTCATGTCGTATGGCATTCCTGGTTACTGCTCCTTATCTACATTTCGCGAAACAGCTGGCAAACAACGAGCAGCATGCTCCTTTCTTCTCCCTGCTGCAGGTATTCTCATATCGAACGTACAAAGATTACCTTGGTGTGTAGATCATCGTCTCATACTATTATCCGTGCTGATTGTCATACAGCGAACAAGGACTCGCTACCTCAACTAAACCAAGCTCAAATTATCAAGCTCAAGCACCTGTCTATCGTATCACTTGCCACCAGCAGACGCGTACGTCCAGGCATACTTTAACAGTTAGTCCACCAACACTATAACATTACCATTTCAGATTCTCCCATACTCTCTCCTCCTACAAGAGCTGCAAATGCCCACGATACGCGACCTCGAAGACCTCATAATCGATGCGATATATCTCGACATCCTCCGCGGGAAGCTCGACCAGAAGGAGCAGCAACTTGAGATTGAGTACACGATGGGACGAGATCTCGAGCCTGGAAAGGCAGAGGCAGTAGCTTGCGGCTCTGAAGACATGGTGTTTTATTCCAGTTTTTATTCCACCTCCTCTTGTCCGGACTAATCATGGTCTTTTGTAGGGCTTCGACAACCGTTTCTGTCCTTTCCGCGTTAGACAACAAGCTCACGCAGATCGCTTCTTACAGTGCAGCTGTTGCAGTGGATAATGAAGAGCACGATAGGGCATATAATGCTATTCTCAAAGATGTGTCCAAGGACACGAAAAAGCGGGGACCATTGACAGCTAGTGGGAATATCATGCGAGGTGGCGTCGATTTGGCAGATGCGATGGATGTGGATGAAGAGCCGAGAATGAAAGGACGGAAGTAAGTTCTATTTCCTTCGTTTTCGTTTTCACTCTTGCCTGCTACAATCTTTCCAACGAATCCTCAAGCCGTCCAACTTACTGTGCGTTGTACTGAGTACTGACGGATCTCTCACAGGGGTATGGCGGTGGATGCAATGATAAAGCAGCAAAGAAAGCGCAACCGATTCTAATCCTAGGTCTAGATACGTGCACTGCAGTGTATATCACAAGCGTAGCATTCACAATTCACACTGTACTATTAACTCATACGTGCTGCACATTTATATTATCTAACTGAGTGCTAGGGCGGGCAAGACCAAACACATTGGGAATGAGCGTACATGAAGTTGGACGCAGATCTGATATGTACTTCAGAAGTTCTCCTAGGGGTTGACCGGGCCCTGCTACTCGCTTGCCATATCTCCAAAGAACCGAACTACCAGCACTATGATTGTGCCCCACATTCCAAAGCGGCATCTGGTTTTAGACCACACGGTTGTGTACCAGGACCCTGAGATGAAGCAAGGTGCTGGGAGACGCTAGAGGATTTCTTCCGCGGAGCCTTAGAAAGAAAACACCACTACGAGTCATACACGGGTTTCTCGAGTAGCAGATATCGCGAGCTATACGTATGGCTTGACGTGTGACTCTAAAGCACTGCGTTCTTTCCTAAAATTTAACTGAGCTTATATTCTAAGAGTCTGCTCCAGTGTGACCAGGTCGGGGTGTTGTCAGGCTGCCGTTCATGGCCGCAGGAGTGATAGCTTGGGGAGTGGAGGATTGGTGGGAAGGCCTTAGCTAGCATCGCGAGTTCGCATCTGTTCCTTGCACCACATTAAATTTTGTATGCAGCGCGAAGATCCCGCGTGCCACATGATAATATCCATGCGAATCAGGACGACCGAGCCTCAGGCTGAAGATCCCTTTGAATCTGGACCTGAGTGTCACCACAAGCTGGCAAGACATAGAAGGAATCACACGCCTCTTTCACATCCTCTGAGTTTAACAAGGACGATCATATCGGTCTCATGGATGACAGTATGAATGGCAGGCATATTGATGGCAATAAACTGGCGTGCGAATATCTTACGTCAGCAGCTGCAAAGTTCATAAAATTTGTTGTCGGTTGGTTGGTTGTTTCTCAACTTTCTTGTTCCAAACTTCTTGGTTGATGGGTTGAGCTCACAGGTGAGATTTTATACCTTCAACCGACTTTTTATTGTGATGATTGTATTGCTGTGCACCAGACCGAGTGTCCGCACGTTGGAGATAATTTCCCTGGCCCTCTATTTACGCTTGAGGGTCCTGATCCACTATTTTTTTGCATCTATCGTATGCGTTGATCATAACTGACAATACTTGCCCATAGGTATCCAGAATACACTGTTGATTCAGGAATTGGGATATTCATTACACTTCTTGTTGTACCGATACCTATCTCAATAGCACACGCCACAATGTTAATATCATGATCGTCCCACAATCTGATCATGTTGTATTTATCCGCATGTTGATGGATTTCGCCCTTGTGAGTTGGTCGTATCCTGTGGCTGTATTAGTGGCCTCAACGCGAGCTGTGACAATGGGAACGCACCGAATTTGCTGAGACTGACGCCACGTCCACTGTTCTTGATCCCCGTCCAGGCCAAGGCTGGGTCAAGTGAATCGCATCTTGAAGCATGGAAATTAGTGTGGTGTATTGCCAGTAATCCTGGATGACGAATCCTCACCTATTGAGAAAGATTGTTCCAGCTTGCACTTGGTCTGCGAGGGTGCTGAAGTCATCCAATGACTTGGTCCAGATGGAAGCAGTAAGACCGTATTCCGAGTCGTTCATGAGTTCAATTGCTTCTGCATCAGATGAGACCTGCTGAAGCTTATTGCCCATCCTTAAAGATAGCACTGATCAAATCACCTTCTGGATGCCGATGATGGGTCCGAACGTCTCTTCCTGCATCAAATCAGACACGACTTTGTATGATAGAGGAAGGATTGACCTTCATGACGTCCATCGCTGTTGTCAGAACCTCAGAACAGTATCAAAGGATGTGGATATAACAAGCTCACTGTGATTCACATCAACTAAGACTTGGGGCGCAACAAAGGCAGTGCCTCTGAAGATGCTGAATACCCATTTCTGTCATACAGACCTTGACTCACGGTACTGCCTTTAAATACAGGTTCTCGGGTATTAGTGCTTTCGCGCCCGTTTGCACTACGATATGATCAGCCAGTAGCAGTACGATTTGCAGAACGCTTGCCTGCACTAGAAACCTTCTGGCGAATTCTCTCTGCACTAGCAATACTAATCACCGGACCAATGGTCGTCTGCTTGTTCGTAGGATCTCCCAGTATGAGTTTCTAGACTTACGTTCAAGTTACATCAAGATATTCCACGGTCACGACTTGCCTTGGTTTCGTTGACATATTCATCCACGAAATTGTCATACACGGACTCGTGAACGTAGATTCGCTGTTCAACGTTCAACTGAGGTAAGTCATGCCTCGACGTTGAAAGTAATGTTTCTTACTTCGATTGCACAGCAACTTTGCCCAGCGTTGTACATTGCACCTACGTGCATCGGTGAGAAAGCGGCATAGTTGTACATTTTATCGACTTACCATCAACTAGTTGTATTACTGCATCTTTCAGGTCTGCATCTGCGCGAACATATGCCGGGTCCTTTCCTCCGAGCTAGACTTTGGCTTAGCGACTCAGTACTTGCGATGGTTAAATACGGCACCTCCAAACCAACGCCCTTGAATCCATCAGCAGTAACAGCTGCCGTTTCAATGGCTTTCCCTCCTGCCACGCTGCCTGTAAACACGACAAAATCGACTAGCTTATGCTGCACGACATATCGAGTAAGTGGCGGCGAGAGATGCACGACTTGTATGAGATCGGTTGGAAATCCAGCGTTATTCAAGGCTTCCTTGAATCGCACGGCTGTGAGAGGCGTTTGGGGAGAAGGTTTTAAAATAACAGCGTTTCCAGCAATGAGCGCCGGAAGTACAGAATTGATCATAACAAGATACGGGTAGCTGGAACAGATGAATCTCGAGTATCTTCAAGATTGAATATACTCACTTCCATGGAGCGATGACGAAAATGACACCGAGGGGAACACGTTTGATTGAGCGACTAAAGCCAGGTTGATTATCTGAAAAGGTTATGTCTGAGAGACACGATTCAGCAATGTCGACCATGTAGGTTGCGCGCTGTAGAAATCCTCTAAACTCCCCCCAACACTGATCGGTGGGCCTATGTGCACTCCGAATCAGTACGTTGGCAATATTTTACGCGTAATGACATGCACCTGCCCATCTGATGACACAGCTCTTCAGCAAGGTTATGGTGTCCAAGGGGACCATGATCATATGTTGCTGGTGCTTCTCGATTCGCAAGAGCAGAAAATTTCTCCTAGAAGGCATGTAATGCAGCTCTGCAAGTACCAATTTATCAAGAGCACACGAACAATGAATTTGAGACCTTTCGCGATACGCTCGCCCAGTGTAGTCTTGATCCACTCTTTTTGAGACTGTGCTGCACTTTCGAGAGTGCGGTCTAGATCACTAGAAGTAGGATATGTTTCTACATGGTATGCCTGACCATTGTGAGGTGAGATAGTTGTCTGAACATGGTGATCGAATGAGCTGGACATAGTAGCAGATGATCTAGTTAGTATGAATAGACGGCGCGTCTCTTGGTCAATATTTTTTTGCCAAGATCATATCTAAACCTATCTAAACCCGTTAAGTTAATCTGTCTACTGACTCCACTGGGAAGGTTGATAAGGGTCACGTGGGTATGAGGTCAGTCCTATAAGACGTAGCTCAAAATCATTTGCTCGGCTTTGGATATTTGAATCACCCAATAATATGGCCAGCTCCATCTCCACAGATGTCGTGCCTCCCAAATCGCTCACCATCGCCATGCCTGACGATCCCGTGAAGCGTGATGTCCAGAACCCAATCCTCTTCGAGTGTGCTTGGGAGGTTGCTAACAAGGTTGGAGGCATATACACAGTCATCAAGACCAAGGTCCCCGTGACCGTGCAGACGTACGGTGATCGTTACACCCTCATTGGTCCCCTCATTTACAAGACAGCTCCTATGGAGGTTGAAACGCAAGAGCCCACAGATCCAGCTTTAGTCGCAACACTCCAGTCCATGAGAGCACAGGGTGTGAAATGCCTTTATGGCCGATGGCTCATAGAGGGTGCTCCACGTGTCCTACTCTTCGATACGGGCAGCCAATATCACCGTCTTGATGAGTGGAAGGCCGATCTTTGGAATCTTGCAGGCATCCCATCACCCCCCAATGACCACGAGACAAACGAGACCATCGTCTTTGGTTATCTTGTAGCATGGTTTCTTGGCGAGGTATGTGGTTAATCTACTCCAACTGATTCAATCCCTACTTATCAACGCTCAGTATGTTGCACACAAAGCTTATACAGCTGTAGTCGCCCACTTCCACGAATGGCAGGCAGGACTTGCTATCCCCCTCGCCCGCAAACGCCACATCGATGTTACCACCGTTTTTACAACACACGCAACCCTGCTTGGTCGCTATCTCTGTGCTGGAAGCGTCGACTTCTACAATAACCTATCCTACTTTGACGTTGACCACGAAGCTGGCAAGCGTGGCATATATCACCGCTACTGCATCGAACGTGCTGCTGCACACTGCGCGGATGTTTTCACGACCGTCAGCGGAATTACTGCATGGGAGAGTGAGCATCTCTTGAAAAGGAAACCGGATGGTGTCCTTCCAAATGGCTTGAACGTGGTCAAATTCCAGGCAATGCATGAGTTCCAGAATCTGCATGCGACTTCCAAGGAGAAAATCAATGAGTTCGTTCGTGGGCATTTCTATGGTCACTACGATTTCGATCTCGAAAACACCATTTATGTACGTCGTGCCCCTCTTCTGTATTACTCTAACCGATCACATCCTCTAGATGTTCACAGCCGGTCGGTATGAGTACCGTAACAAGGGTGTCGATATGTTCATCGAGTCCCTTGCTCGTCTCAATCACCGCCTCCAGCAGAGTCAGAGCAAGACCACAGTCATCGCATTCATCATCATGCCCGCTACTACCAATAGTTATACTATTGAGGCCCTTAAGGGTCAAGCCGTTATGAAACAGCTGCGCGATACCGTTACCGAGGTACAAGCCCGTGTTGGCGCACGACTGTTTGAGCACGCCGCGCGGTTCCACGGCGAGGGTCGCACGGTGGTCGCGCCAGAGGACCTCCTAAGCGCAGAGGACCAAGTCCTATTGAAACGTCGCATCTTTGCACTCAAACGACACACTCTTCCCCCGATCGTTACACACAACATGGCGGACGACTCGAACGACCCGATTCTCAATCAGCTACGTCGCGTACGTCTCTTCAACACATCGGGAGACCGCGTTAAGGTCATCTTTCATCCCGAATTTTTGAACTCAAATAACCCGATCCTGGGTCTCGATTACGAGGAATTCGTGCGAGGTTGCCATCTGGGCGTATTTCCAAGTTACTACGAACCATGGGGATACACTCCCGCGGAATGCACCGTGGTACGTTGTGTATTCTTTGTATCGTGCGATTCGAGCTCATTCGAGTAGATGGGTATCCCTAGTGTTACAACAAACCTCTCCGGATTCGGGTGCTTTATGGAGGATTCGATCCATAATCCCTCTGACGAGGGTATCTACATCATCGACCGACGCACCACCTCCATTGATGATAGCGTCAACGCGCTCACGAACTCGATGTTCGACTTTGTCAAGAAAACGCGGCGTCAGCGGATCAACCAGCGAAACCGCGTCGAACGGCTCTCGCCACTTTTAGATTGGAAGAATTTGGGCCTTGAGTACGAGAAGGCCCGGATGCTTGCGCTTCGGAGGGCTTACCCTGATGCATTCATTGGCGCCGACGAGGACAACGGGGAAGATGTGGAGTGGGGCTTTGGAGAATTCCCAGTTTCTGTCCAAGCAAGTCCGAGGCTCAGAATTTCGGGACTCGCGACACCAGGTGATCTTGGGACACTTACAGAGGAGGTAGGCATCTTTTGTCATGAGGGTGAGTTGGGATGTATTGATTGTGGCATAGATGCAACGCTTGGAAACCAGCGATTACATGGGCCATTGGCCGCGTACAGGGGAAGATGATGAGGACGAATACCCCTTGTAAGTGCTTTCTAACCTACTGGTGTTTTACTCATGTGTTCTTGTACCCAGCCCTCTCGTCATGAAAGTGCGCTCGCGAGCGTCGTCCGTGATGTCCGGGGCAAGCACTCCTGGGGGTGGGACATTCAAGAGCCTCAGCGAGCACGATCTCCAAAAGGCGGACGCTGTACTCAGCCAGGTGAACGGAGTGTCTACCGCCTCTGCAATTGCATAGGTGACACATCTCTGGCTGAGTATACAACCCGAATCTAGGCTCTGTGATATCGAATGACTCAAGCTTGGTTGTTGGCTTGGTGCTAGGATTCAGAAGCCTTCATGTCACGAATGCACGCATGCTCTTATCTTCTCTAAATACCCCGGTTTTTGACTTCCAAGAAATCTGGTTACATGTTTTCTGGTCATCTTCATGTCATGATATATGTTCAGCTATCGAGATTGGTACTCATTTGCTTTTATGTCTTATGCTTCTAAATTGTACGTACGTCTTAACCAGATATGTTGCATATCCGGACTCCATACGCATTATGGACTCTTTATGTATCCAAAATACTTTCTTGATTGCAATCGAGCACAGATCTTACATTGGATCTATTCTTCATCATCACTGCCAGAAATGCGACGCCGAGATATCGGTAGCAACGTAAGGTCTTTATGTAATGGGAACATATGTATGATGCTCGCGAACTGCTCGGACGAGTCCTCGTTTGTTGACCATCATGGCACCCATCCCTTTGATACCGTTGACTATTGCCACTCTGCTCAGTGTACATGGACTGCGCTCGCGATCACTCTCCTTCTCCGGTGCGGTGACCGCCTTCGTAGTTGGCTTCAGCATTCTTGCAGTGCCTGTGCGGACCATTGGGATAACTCTCATTGTGTTCTACTTGATCGGGTCCAGAGCCACCAAATGTAAGTGTCAACCTAAATGAGTGATTCCACTGGCATGTCTTTTAACAATAATTAGACGGCAAGAAGCGGAAAGCTCAGCTTGAAGATGACTATCAAGACGCTGGCTACCGATCTGGCGCCCAAGTTCTCTGCAACTCGTTCACCGCGTTACTTGCGAGTGGAATATGGTGTCTTGCCTTTGCGCCTGACATGTTGCCGTGGAGTCTAGTCAAATCTTACACTCACTCTGCTTCAGCATTGCTGGAGAGTGTGCCATACCAAGATGGCCAATGGTGCCCACTGGACGCAACGGTATCAAGTGGATTGAGTCGCGCGCTGATCTTTATGGCGCTTGGGTAAGCTCCGCCCTTCTACTTGATGGATCTTGTTCATTAGCCTATAAATAGTCGTACCACCAGCCACTTTGCCTGCTGCCTGGGAGATACTCTCGCGTCAGAACTCGGTATCCTCTCTTCCCGCCCGCCAATCCTTATCACGACGCTAAAAACGGTTCCACCCGGTACAAACGGTGGTGTCTCACTCGGCGGGACACTCGCCAGCTTATTTGGCGGTTTGTCCATGGGCGTAACAATGTTCGTTTCACTCATTGTAGAGAATGAACACTGCAGGAGCAGTTGGATGACTATTCTTCCGTCACTCGTATTCTGGGGTGGTGTAGCGGGTGCTGGCGGGAGCTTGGTAGGATTTAACTTATCACAATTGTGCCGTATATTAATGCGATAACACTAGCTGGATTCGTTCCTCGGAGCGACCGTACAGCGCACACGCTACTCAGTTGACAAAAAGATCATTCTTACCGGCCATTCGGCGGAACCTGATCGCGGGAGGAAAGACACTGTCAAAGTTATTAGCGGACTCAATTTATTGACAAACAATCAGGCAAGCTAATTTTATCCTATTCTGTCTTGATGCTAATTGTCCCACAGGTCAACCTGCTGTCATCGATAGGGACTGCGCTTGTTGTCGCAAGATTTGCCTCAACGTCAGAGACATGATCATTTCTGTGCTTCAATTTCACCTGTAGAACTCTCTGATCGCAGCTGTATGCCTCCAACCATGCCACCATTCAATTTTTCTCTTGACAGGAATCATAGGAGATACTATAAAGTATTCGAGTCAGTCCGGGTTCTTTGTGCAGTGACATTGGCTCGAATATGAGACTGGTTGCAGTGTGCATTCTTAGACTTTTCTTTGCAGGTTCCTCATCTGGAGGACTACTCTGATGTACGGATGCTTAAGCTAGAAGATAATAGCTCCGGCCGCGGTAAATTGGGTGATGAGGCACACGCTGGCCATTGTGATGACCTAATAGATCTGCTGAGTATAGATTGCAGGAACAGCATAGATACTCAAGTAAGATTCGTAATTATGTGTGAGCTAAGACAATAGTTCATACCAAGTACTAACGGGCTTGCATAGATAAATCGGATTGCATCAGCAAAGTATAAGGACTAGGTGCCTGTTCTCTGCGCAAATACGATGCCAGGACTGACATGCAGATGAATATCAATACCATCGCTTAGACTGCACTGCAAGGTCAAACTGATACATCACACATGCATTAAGCTGGCCAAAAACGTGGAGAGAAGCAGCATTGTGATTGAAGCTTGAAGCCGTATCATTGTGGTTACGAAAGCCTCGATCCCACTGGTGGGCAAGTGCCAACGCGACGCACTTGTCTATTTAAAACCTCGACCTCTGGATGGCGAGCGACCCGCATGCGTGGATGGTTGACGCCCATTAATATTGACTGTTACTGCGACGCACGTGTCTGAAATAGCAAAACTTGAAACCCCTAGTGATCAACACGTGTGTCTACAACAAGAATTCAGACCCCATGGGCGAGTGACAAGCCGCATGTGTCTGTATTGTCCACAAGAAGACTTTGGTAAAGGGCGTACCAGTGTCAGCGACGTGCATGATGCACATATGACGTTGCGGGGTATCACACGTAGATGGGATTACCGCAAGGCACTAGTTCACTACTTGATGCGATCATATCGCTTTGCAGCCGTTCACGGTAGTACCGGCCAGGGCCAGTGGCAGCTGCCAAACCCGGCATTTTCCTTAAGATTTCTTGTGCGCTGAATATGATGTAGCTTTAGTATGCGTGGATATTGCTTTATGACAATAGATAAACGTGGCACTACCTGAGGGCCTGAGGTGCAATGAAAAGTCACCATCAAATGCACTTCTTTCACGAAGCTGAGAGGATATGGCCGTTCGGGCTAGTTCCGAGGGGTGAACTGCCGCGGTTAGAGCTAAGTATCACCATTCTAATGACTCAGTGCTAATTAACATGCTCCTGAGACTCGGATTCGGACGAATCTGCAACCGAGAATTTTAAACATGTGTGCACTTAGAGTATTAGCTGACAAGGTTTAACGTTCGGAAGACGCTGCTGCAGGAGATTGATAGTTGTCGGAATAGGTTCCGGAAACGGAATTATGTAACATATCTGATAGCGATTAGGACTCAGGACATGTGATAGCGTGTGATCCATAAATATATTGTTTGAGCACATGGCCAAGACACTGCCAGTGAACGAAGGCTTCCAGATTCACCCATTGAATCTTCGGAATGAACCCCAGCTGGCCGTAGCACCGCCGGCTAGCATTATGCTTAAAGATAAAAACATATCAAAGTTACAGACGCTTTGTTGAATCCTGCCTCCATCTTTGTATCACTAGCAAGTACTATAGATTGCCATTATGCGTCTGCTCACGTTCCTTCTAATTATGCTCGATGTGCTTACCTCTCTGCAGGTCTTATCATCCGCGACGACCCTGCCACTGTCGGCGACTATGTGGCCAACTACATTGCCAAACGGTAGTATCCTCGTCCATATTTCCTCGCCCATGACTCATTCCTTTCCCCTAGCATTAATGAATTTGCACCGACCGCTGGCAAACCTTTCGTGCTAGGACTCCCAACTGGCTCCTCTCCTATCCCAACTTACAAAGCTCTCATCAACAAAGTCAAGGAAGGTAGCCTATCGTGAGTGCTGAACAATACATTTGAAGTTGCGTTTATCCATTCATGACTCCAGGTTCAAGCACGTTGTCACTTTCAACATGGACGAGTATGTCGGCCTTCCTCGCGACCACTCAGAGTCCTATCACACATTCATGTTCCGCGAGTTTTTCTCCCATAGTCCGTCTAGCCCGCTCGCTCTCGCTGAAAGAATCCTGTACTAATTTCATAAACGCAGTCGATATTCCTCCTTCCCAAGTGAATTTACTAGATGGGAACGCTGAAGACTTGGTCGCGGAATGCAACGCATACGAGTCCCGCATCAAGCAGTATGGTGGTATCGAGCTCTTCCTGGGTGGTATCGGCGAGGATGGTCATATCGCATTTAACGAACCCGGTATGTCTCGTTCCTTTCGCCACTTCACTCCCTTTGACGTTGTATCACCTGTGACTTCCCTACCGTATCATTGTTCTATCTTCTTTTCACGTTCATCAACTGAATAAATGCTCTTTCCTATCAAAGGCTCGTCCCTCGCCTCCCGGACTCGCATCAAGACACTCGCTTACGACACCATCCTCGCCAACGCCCGATTCTTCAACAACAACATTGCTGCTGTCCCCCGTATGGCCCTTACAGTCGGTGTTGCCACAGTACTTGAAGCCAGGGAAGTCGTGGTTGTGGTCACGGGCCAGAGGAAGAGCTTGGCTCTTAGTAAGGCTATTGGTAAGTCATGGTTTCAGGCTATCTTCGGGTTCATTCATTGGTATTCTGGTTTCAACTTTTTCGTGGTGTGCACTCACTTGCAGAGGACGGCGTAAACCACCTTGTGAGTAGGCCGTTTTTTTAGTACCTTGCAAAAACTCACGTTGACGTGACTCTCAATGTAGTGGACTCTTTCTGCGCTGCAGCTCCACCCTTGGGCATTGATTGTAGTCGATGAGGATGCTACAGCTGGTGCGTGCTGTCGTTCTGATACATACAACTTTCGGTTGACATACAGACGCTGTCCTGTCACCCCTCACTTGAATCCCACTTTTCTTGTCCACCATTCTGAATGAAACAAAAACTACGGAACCACGATTCAGAGCTGCATGTCAAAACAGTCAAATATTTCAAGTCAATTGAACGCGTGCAAGACGAGGTGGAGCAACGGCAGGCAGAGCTGAAGGCCAGAGGTCGGACAGAGCATCAGGGGCAGGTTGGTAGTATGGAGTGATGTTGTCTGTCCATACTGTGAATTATCGTAACGACGCTCGGCCGCGCCAGTCCCCGATACATTTGTATTTGTATAGAATTTCGTGCAAATTTTGACCATGAAATATCAAACCAAACATGCATCGCGAACATTCAGGGCCGTTTTGGCTGCCAGCTATCTGGTCAATGTATACTATAGCCAACAGGGTCTCTGGTATAGTGTTTGAACCGCCAATGGTGCGCCGGGCATGTTGGCAGGTACACCTATGACTGCCACGTAACCCTTGTAATTAGAGGTGGATGTTGGTTGCCTGGGCGCCTCTAAGTACAGGTAGATACAGCAATATAGCGCTTGGATGGATAATTGCTGGGTATTTAGCGTGGGTACTTAGCAAAAATCAACAGTAGTCGGTACTAATTAGGCACTAGGTACCTCGGCAATGTCCCGGCATGCTATTAATATCATTCCCACTGGCAATGTGACGTTCCTGGCCTCGACGACGTTCGGCAAGTCCCGTAAACCTTTCGTCCTCACTGTCTACCACAGCGAGCTCGCATATCAGCCTTTCCCTTCACCGTTTCACATCGGATCTTTTTGCAGATGAACATGCGGCGTTATATAAACTAATCTATAGGCATAATACACCTATTTAAAGTGACATGAGCAACTGTAAGAAAACTACGACTCTTTGGGGTCACTGCTGGACCCCTCCTCATCACTGTCTTTGATGAATTCAGCACTTGTGGGTTGGATTCTCTTCTGCCTCTCAGGCTGCTTGCCCCCTGCGTGATTTCTGAGTCCTCTTAGAATCACCCTTGGCCATGGTGCCGTCTGTAGCACCTTCAGCAGCAGGTGCTTTGCACTTATGTGTCTTGCCTGTATCTGAGCACTTCTTGCGCACCATGCCGATCACCTCGCCTGCATCTGAGCGTCGTTGAATATCCATGTGGAGGTCCTCGAGTTCACGCTGGGTGAGCTTCTTCCAATGGCATGCACCAGTCACCAAAGCATCACGAAGAGTGCGTACTTCAAGGATGGTGTGCATATGGGATGGTGCGATGAAAGGGAGGCCCTCTGGCCAGCCATCTAACTTGACTCCGTAGACCAGTACAATAGCCTTCTCGTAGTTCTGATAATTCATCTGCAGGTCCATTTTGCCTGTTGCGCGTCCTAATGAGACGTCAGCTGAAATGAATGCGAACAAATACAAGAAAAACATATGAAGTTTGCTCATCATTATCAGCAGCAGCTTGCTTTTGCAGGGAGGGGAGATCTTCGCATTCGCATATATCTAGTTATGTATGCGATGAAACTAGTCAATAAGTGGAGAAGGAGCAAAGAACTCACTCTTCTTTTGATTGCACACCCACTCTTCAAACTGACACGCAACATCGTCAAGCGCTAAACTCATCTGATCCTCCCAGAATTCATGCACATTGTCCGTCACGATCCATGTCAACTGAACTTGATCGTTGACGTGTCCTCAAACCATCAGGACAGTCACGTACACACCGGCTCGATCACGGAGTGCATGAAGCTAGACAAAGTTGTTAGTCATGTGTACATACCACGCAAAACATACTTACCTCCTTTGAGATCCGATCCATCACTGCGACTGCGTCTCGAGCTGCCGAGACATTGTTCGCGCAAGCTCCACTCATCTTGAGGGCACGGTACTCGTTTAACTGGTTGATGTAGTATTGTTCCTCCTTGGCCGACAATTGCTTATACGCAGGGTCACTATCAATGATATTCTGAATATCTTCTAGGCTGTACTTGTCTCCACTAGGGCGACCTTAAGTCCATCGTTAGATTATGTACCCTTCGTATGTAACCTACGTACCTTCGTTGAGTTCCTTGGACTTGACATGCACAATGCATATGCATTGCACGCGATGTTCTCGATGGTAGTACATTTTGAGACCAAAAATATCCTTCACTTGCTTGTCGGAGACATCGTGAGTGACCGCAAGCTCGTGAAGTCTGTTAGATTGATCTTGAACAAACGACGTTGACACGCACGAAACCTGTTTCGTACATGATCATGGACACATAACATACTCTCGTACAACCTAATACTGCCAATAAAGGCAGTTCTAATTTCTTATGGCTTTATTACAATTTACTATAATTTTCTTGAAGGTTTTTCATAGCTACATGAATTAATCATTCATATTACGTACTTAGCACAGTCAATAAACTGTGTTAAAACCCTTATCCTTTCATTAGTAAGCACATTCCCGCACCTTTCGGGATTTTCTTGTACATTTTCCCACCTAATGAGCCATATTCATGTTAACATCTTAACATCTCAACATCTGCGCAGTCATCATCTGAGCAGTGTCAATCTTCTTATGTAATCTACATTTTGTTTAATGATTAGTCATAGTTTCTGGACAGTTCCAAAATAGCAGTAACCTCTAAGTGAACATTTGGACACTGAGTCATAGTGAGTCACACGGAGTCATTATGAGTCATTTCCGTTATGACTCATGCCAAGTCATTATGAGTCACTATTCCATATTTAGTAGTTGCATAGCCACCTGTAGAGTAGTATATAAAGGGACATAGTTTCCCTCTTTGAATAATAAGATCCCTTTTTAGAGAGTTTGCGTATCTCTCAGAAAGTTTCTCACCCCTTAATACATATCTGTGTGAATACTGAGTGAATATTAGTTTATTCCCTCCACTCTTTTGTCACTGTTTCCCACGACATGCTGACTACCTGAGGCCACCTCTAAGTCACATTAAATTACTCTAGCTAGTGCACGGTTACTAGTCGTCCAGTGTAGTTTCACTGCAATTCTCTTTACGACACAGGAAATCAATTCTGTGGGGAGAAATCCACGTACTTTAACGATTGAGGACAATAAACAGGACTTATACTTTAGTCAACAATATTAAGAGCTTGGCCACTTAAGATTACATCAAGAAGGTGTATTCTAGTCTGGACTGCGTCATTACTCATTGTGAGATCCTGAGCAGCAGAAAGGTTGGTTCCAAAGCCACGTATTTGATTGATTCAACTGTATCCGACTCCTAGTTTGATCTCCCCTGATTGTGAGAATAAGGAGTATCCCAGAGATATTGCTCTGACTCACCACGTATCACTGTAATTCACGTAACTTTCCGTAATCTGTGTACTGTCGCATCATTATCCCTGAAGAACCCTAAGTACTGCATCAAGCCAGTTAATGGGCATTGTTCCTGAGATTTCCAAATATCTCACCCCTTTTAGTCATTGGTAAATTTGCTCAAGGAGAACGCAATCTATATTTGCATCCCCACAAACGACCACATTATCAACCGTTGGTATTTGTCTGAACCATTGACCGTGGAGGATAAGTGAAATTTGGTGTTTTTATTGCCTTTCACATCCTAGTTAGACAATGTGATGGCATCTTGAAGCTTTTTCCTCTTCTCTACCTTTTGTGCCATTTTAATCACATGGGATTCTCGCTCGGCAATTGTGAGAGGTCGATGGGTGACGCGCATTCGTGCAGGTATCACAGGGCAAATGGGATTTCGAGCAGCCCATGAGGAGCTGTCTCCTTTTCTCCATGATACGGTCAGTCAATGATACTGACGCAGGAACAGGGAGAGGGCTGTGACAGGGAGATGAAGATGTTTCTCGGCCCAGGGAGCTGGTATCAACGGCAGTGGTGGAAGAAGTTTTGGGGACTTGGACTGGAGTCATGGCTGCGGCAGTAGGATCACCTCCTGCACCTGGGAGGCTGGGGAGAGTTGCAGTGCCCTCCCCTTTGTCCGTGAGCAATGACGAAATATTTTTGGGCAGGTCTGTCAGCATTGATGCCATTGCAGCCATGACCGCCGGGTCATTCCAGTTGATTCTGGAGCCGAACTCCTCAATGGGTGGAGGTGGAAAGAATGAGTATGGAAGTTGATGAGGAGTGAGGCTGAACTCCTCCTCGTTGGGTGCAGGCGGTAAGAACGAATATGAGAGTCGATGGGGAGGAATAGTGTTGTACTCATCATTAATAATACCGCCAGCGTTGTGTTCCAAGCCCTCGAAATTGAATGAGGGCAGTTGGTGGTGAAATTTTGACATGAGTCGTGCTATTGAGTCAGGGTGTGCCGAGCATTTTGCCCTCGTCCTGAACCCGCAAAAATTTAAATTATTTGCTCATCAAATTAATCAAACATCAAACATACCAATCTTGAAGGTCAGTGTTAAGACCGTACTCAAGTAGTATCGGATCCGAAGGGCTTCGGCCTCAGCTCGTGCGCTGTGCCCCTTTCCCGAGTCTTGCCCCTTATTTCAGAGAGCTAAAGTATCGCGTCTAGTGAAACGGATAAGTATTGCAATGGATCCGTTAAGACTTCCGGATATCGAACGTATAGAGTAACGGCCAATCCGGATCGGATCCGGACTAGAAACTAACGGGTGAGGACTGTCCGAAGACAGAGGCGGATATGTAGACTATAGGAATCTATCCTAAGTCTCGGAGTAGACAAAAGTAGCGTACTCAAGTCCGGATGGATAACGGAGGGACTCAGAGTCCAGACGGAATGAGTGCAATCTAAGATGATATTCGAACTGATCTACTACAGCGCATATACAAAGGTTTATATACTACGGATAGCTAACGGAATGATCAATAAGCAAAGGTGCGAGGCTATGTACGAAAGTATAAGCAAAGTCTAAGTGGAGCGTATTGGTAAGTTGGATGGATCACGAATCATGAACCGGGAATGAAGTACAAGTAAAAGCGGATTCGTAAGTGTAGCGGATCAGTAAGCATAGCGGATCAGTAAGCATAGCGGATCAGTAAGCAAAGCGGAAGTAAAGGATAACCGGTATACCGGTGTACAGGAATACCGAAAGGAGATGAACGATAGTTAGAGTTATATGAACAGGAAATGAAATAAGAATCAAAGCGGATCTGTGGACCGGACGATGTATATGTTCATCGGATCTGGATCGGATCTGAGATCCAGATCATCGGATCTGTAACCGGATATATGGTATATGACAGTCAGCGACTTGGAGTCTGTTGACAAGCGCATCACGTGAGACCTAAGGAAAACCCCCCTGTGTGAGTCGTGCCCAAAATTCATCACAGAAAGCACAACATACCTGTAATGGCGCATCTAGATAGTCAGATTCCGGCTCTTTGGTGCAAAAGATCTCCACAGGGAATGTGCAACCAGGAATGGTGAAGATTGGGCACCCAAAGAAGCACCCACGCAGGTGGATTCGCATGACTGGCGCATCTGGATGGTTGGATTCTGGCTCTTTGGTGTAAAGGATCTCTACGTGGTATGTGCGACAGGGCATGGTGAAGATTGGGCACCTGAAGAAGTACCCGTGCAGGTGGATTTGCATGACGGTGATTAATAGCGCGTCTGGGTTTGGGCACCCGAAGAAGTACCTGCGCAGGTGGATTTGCATGACGGTGATTAATGGCACATCTGGGTAGTGGTATACAAGGTACATGCGACCAGGAATGACGAAGACTGGGCACCTGAAGAAGTACTTCGAGAGTTTCTCAGCATCCAAAGTTGCTGAGGTGACGATTAGCTTTACAACTCTGCAAGACGTCGGACTAACCTGGTGGGAGCGTGGTTGGTTGAGGTTGGTTGAAGAAAGTAGTGACTTGGTCACTGTTGAAGAAGGTAGGTAGGAGGGTAGGAGGGTGTTGAGAACTTACCATTGATGGGGGCCAGGTGTGACACGCTGACTCAGAACAACGGTTGATTTAGGCAGCCACATGCCCAGCCATGCACACTGACCACTACAGAAATGACAGCCGATTTGGGCAAGCGACCACTACAAAAACAACAGCCAATTGGGGCAACCACGTGCCCAGCCGCAGCCATGCGCAAAGCCTGCAGGATACAAGCGAAATAAGTGTGAGTGCAAAGTACTGAACACAATTACATACCTGACTGCTGCTGACAAATTCAACATCTTCATGGAGTGTGTAAAGTGAGTAAAATAAGTGATGAAGAAAAGACTCATCATGCTGCGTGTACTAAGGTGAGAAGCCCCTTAGTTCGTCTAATTCAGAATTCCCCATACAGATTGATTCACGCTGATCTTCAAATTTCAAATCTCACCAGCACCAGTGACTAATGAACTAGTGACTTTTGACAAGTCACGCTCGATCATATCCTGCTCTGATGACACGCAGAGAAACGCAGCAGCAAGCATCCGCACATTGGCTTGCAAAGCCAGGGCAAGTCTTACGATGACCTATCCCATAAATCTTACTGAAAACTACATACTAGTGTACGAGCTGTACAAAATGAAAAGGCACACATACAGATGGCAAGGTGAGTATTTCTGTCGACATCAATTTCCAATTATCTAATCGGACATTGCAGGAAGCGCGCGAGGTAAGTCGTCTTGCAGCTTTGTAGACATTCCTGATGTTGAACTTCACAAAGCGTTGCTACAGAACTGTACCACAATTCAGACAATCAGCATGAGCCTGAGCACCTCGTTGGTAAGTACTCGTACTTAATCCTGCTTCAAAATACTGATTTTAATTATAATTTACAGGTAGTAATGAATCCTCCGACGACAACGTCCTCCAGCGGGTTGAACGGACCACTGTCGAAGATGTCCGCATTGCCATCAGCGATTGGCAGTTTAACTGGGGTCCAGAAAATATGTGGGAAAAGCAGTTTAATGACTGCTTGTGTGCGCAACAAGAGTGTAACTCAACCTTCCGTTTGGTGGACACATTCTTTAGCATTTGTGAAGACCATGTGCAGTCAGGGCGGGAGATACTCAGTGACCTAAGGAAAATTGCTGTTGGATATTGCAGGAATGGCAGGGTAATGAAGGATAAGTTTATTCAGATATATGACATGCTCACTGTCATCTTATCAGAGGTGAGGTTCTTTGAAGTCAAACTTGATGAATATGCTCCCTCCATACCTGCTTCGAGGCTCTCATCTGTACGTTACTATGAATGAGCTTAATAGACATACTACAATCCAATAAACATTATCCATCAAAATCCTGGGTGTGATTCATAATTGAAATGGCATAACCTGTAAGACTTATGCTGAAATGATGAGTAGCAAACATGGTGAACAGGATGGCGAACAAGTTTGCTATATTACACAAAACACTACTGGGAAGCAAGATATAGATGTAATTAATCACACCAACCTGTCTGACGGCATGGGGATAGCCTATTTGTTCATATATGAAAGGTCTGGTGCTTCAATTTGTGATGTGGAAGCACAGACATAGTACTCACTGGTTTGATGCTCACAAACTCGTTGAACTTGTTGCGTCACTTAAAGTGGCAACTGGATCACCGTGCTTCAAAAGTGTCAATGCTGTACTATTACTTCGACTACCTTTGACTACTGATCTAAAACACAAAAGAAACATTCAAGTAACAGTTACTCAAGCAGGCACACTCAGAATAATGAATTAATGCGAATCTTAATGCTCATTCAAGTGTAGTGTATGCGTATAGGGGACTTGATCTACTCAGAACTCAGATTGCAGATCAACAGATCAATACACATTTTTATTTTGCTTGTAATAGAGTCAATGGTTGGACGCAACAACTATGTATATAAAAACTACGTATATCCAGTCTAGTACCGCGTGACCTGGCTCATCTGTTCTGACAGGTCCTCAACATGTGTCCAGATACTATCCTCGCTGGAAGTTGCAGACAAGGCAGGTGATGCAGAGAGAATGGTATGAGGGACATGGGGTGGTCAGAAATGACCACCTACATGGGGACGCGCTTTCACCGCGCCTTCCTCATATTTCCTCATATACAGGCGCAAAGCATCTGCCCAAGTCTCTTGCTTGACCTGAATGGCTCCGCTGATGCCCAGAGTATGTTCACCGACATCAAGCCTAAAATAGTTAGACACATAGTTAGTAAATTGAGTGGAAATGAAATGAAAAGTGATGTACCAGTGAAAGAAAATTCCTACCTCCTGACCCACCGTAACGACCCAATAAGCATCAGGTTTTCGCCGGGATACAGCACACGCAGCTCGCTAGGATGAGGGATGGGTGGGACGTAAGGAGCAATGTGCTCCGTGACATCTGTGAGGGCATCTGTAAGAGGGCCACCAAGATCTGATCTTTGATCAGATCCTGGTGTGGAAGGTGGCAACAGGATGCTGGATTGGTGCGAAGAATTTAATAGTATAGGCGGGGGTGCACGAGGACGAGGGTTAGAAAAGGTGATGTGTTCCTCATCGGTGATAGTTGTACACTGCTTGCTGTATGTGATAGTCTCGAAGGGAAGATCTATATTAAAAGTCAGCTGGCTTGAGTTCAGGTATAAAAAATCACGCACCTGATACAGTCATTGCCTGTAAGAGTTCCTCTAACCCATGACATCTACCTGAGGTGGTCGAAGAACTTGTGGAAGAACTGTCGTCCGAGACATCTAAGATCAGCAGCTTAGACAGAATGCAAGGTCAGTGGTCATGTGAATCAATTGTCGCGCTTCAAGCTTTCAAGTTTGTTGATTAATAATATATGCGTCAGAACATGCTAACAAAATCCTGAAATCGAACGCGACTCACCACTCAAAAGGTAAGGCAAATCAAAGCTGATCGCAACCAGCACAGTTTCCAAGTGCATGCGAATGAGGTTTATGGGCCAAAGGCACTTGCGACTCGTGCCGTCAAGGCCTGTGAAGAGCAGCGTGCCCGACTGCAAGGTTAGTTTTATTTCTATTAGCCAATTTCAAAGACTTACAGTTTTACTTCTACAGCGATGTCCCCTGAGGAGCGCCATAGGCTCGAGGCACTTGCCCAGTAACAGGCAGGTAGCAACACTTTTGACATGGATGATGACGATGACAACGCGGACTTCGGCAATATATTGGATGGCACTCACACAATTGAGATCAGCCATGCGGGAGGTGAGTTTGAGGATCTTGCAAGAGAGGTATACGGGGACTTTTGGACATCGTAAGTCTCCTGTTTGAAGGCTAACATATTCACTAACCTTGCATTGATAGAAAATCTGCAAGCAAACAAAAATGCTGCGTGGATCACCAGACTTGCAGGGATCACATTAAGTGCTGTGTTGATGCCTTTGATCAACAAATGTTTGGACTTACTGATGCCTACCTTAAATGGAATAACGAGCATGCTCAGCACAGGCTTAGAAGCTTCTTAGAGGTTTATAGGACTCACTGGTTGCATGTGGATTCTAACTCAGGCTCTTGGGATGTTCAAGTTGTTGATATTTATTGTAAGTTTCATTTCCGGATTGCATCCATTGGCTAACATATAATTTAGACGCTGAGAAGGTCTCGGTAACTATCGCTTCAACCGACCACTTTGTCACATCTGCTCTTGTCCGCCATGGCATCATCCCTTGCTCCCCAATATCACCATCTGTCACTATTTCTATAGATGCTTTGGAACTGTACCGTGTGGCTTGGTTGTGGAACCCTCACTTTTCTATTCAAGCATTTGTGAAGTCCATTTGTGACTTGCATGGTGTAAGTCTGTTTTGCATGTTATATTGGCATCGCTCACTTTTCACTCAAGACTGTCTTTCATAGGTACTTGCCACGCCAAGTTTCGATATCATTTGACCTCTATCTGCAATTGCGGACTCGTGTGGACTCTCTCATCAATACCGTGATCCATCGCAATTCTCCTGACTGGCGTTTGAGGAACGCTTGCCCCTGCTGCACATATGAGTTGCAAAATGAGCCTACAATGACTTTCCGCCTGCTCTATGCCATGGATGGCAACAACTCACTCAAGAGGGTCTCGCGATGACTGATAGGCGCTGATGGGGATTATTTGGGGCCATCAATAGAACTTCCTACTACACAACGGGTGTGCAACAATCGTTATCTTTCTCGGGAGTATGTTAATATGTACACAAGTCCAGCCCAAAGTGAGGAGTATTCAGTAAGACCATGCTTTCATTTTCAGAAATTATGTACATTGACAACTATCTACAGGTAGAGCATTCTGACGAGGAGAACCTGTGCGCTGGGCGATGGAAGAATATGGTCGATGAGAAGATGAAGAGATCATGGGGGGTTTATGATGAAACAGGCATTTTCCTTGCTGTCTGTCGTCATGGTTTTTGTTTGCTGATCGCCGACATGGTCCAAAGTGGTGAACTGTAAGTCGGACTTCGTATCTTTCAAATTTGTACTGACATTTTCATTACAGTGCTAAGCATCCGCTTTCCATTGTCGCCAAGCTGCTTGATGCCTTCGGCACAGATCTGGGCAGCAGGTATGATATTGGATGTCAATTTAAAACCACCCTTGACAATAGCGTATTAGGTCCGCTCGCTCACTCTCTTAATCATACTTGTTTGGTTGGAGCCTTCCATGGACACGCACACAAATGCCTCTGCCAGTTGTATCATCTCGCAACATACATATCTGGTCTTGGACTTGAGGACCTCGAAACTTGTGAATGCACCTTCTCGAAATCCAACGCTCTAGCATCAACACTTTGTTATGCCAGTGTGTTTCACCGTCAGCAGCTCATCGCAGTGTATTTTGAGCATAATGATGAGTATGAAGTCTATCCCAGTCTTGGTAAGTTTTTTCGTGACTTAGTTCAAATGCAACAGTCTGATTCGACCTTAGGAAACTTTCTATATAATAACTACAAGCAGGCGCTGGACATTCTCTCAGACAGTGAGATCAACCTCAAGAAGCTCATGCAAGACATCCATATCCCGGACGAGTCTGTGTTTGAATGGTGGTTGCAAGAAGAAAGGGATTACCTGCATGGCCTGCGCAGTGAGCCAGAGCACTAGACGTTGCAGATGGAGTATTGGCAGAAGTTAGTGAACCTCGCTGCTAGCCAGTAAGTCTTTCTTTCACTGACTCTACGGGTACTAACATTTTCTTGGGGCCAGGAATAACCTTGACAGCGCAAGATCTATCTGGGCATCTGCAACACCATCAAGCACTTTGTTTGGCACGACAGACGCTGCCGCAACTCACAGAATGGAGACGGCCTGCAGACATACCCTTGAACTCTTCAAAAAGGATCTAGCAACTGTGCAAGAACTTGAGAACAAACTTGACATCGTGCAGCGGTGGGTCCCTGAAGATTTTGAGTGGCAAAATGCTGGACGGTTGGTTGCTAAAAGAAGATACCAACGTGCTCTCGATACTTTAGAAGGATTAGTTGTCGCTCGCATCTTTGAGTTGACAAAAATGAATCACTCTGGTACAGGTGACTGTTATTCTACTTAACTGTGGCTTCTTTACCTGACGGTCCCTTCATCCAGGCTACAAATTGCGAAAGCACATCGCAAATGCGTTGCAGACTCGCTCTGCAGCCATTCACACAGCTCTCGACTGGTGTGACAATCATACCAGCGCTAGGCGCATATGAGTGTCATAGGCATATTTTGCCTTGCCTAGAGGAAAAGAGTAAGGCGCTAGTCACCAGCACTATTCAACTCCCAAGCTATCTGCTTTGGAACCACTTTTCTCCCATAGCGCACTACCCAGTCCAACACCTAGGTATTCCGTCCTCCCATGTCCTGCCTATGTCCACCTACCTCCGCTGGTGCGTTATTTTTCCTTAAATGTCGCTACTCATCAGTTGCAGGTCTTATTACATGTATCCTCGTGTTCCGCAGCGCTGCATGTTTTATTACCTGTTGCTACATCGTGCCCTCGCCAGTGTTGCTACTATACTCGCCTACGCAATTCCGAACTCTTATGCAGTATGATAAAATGACCCGTCGCACATACAGTACAGTACTTCCCTTCCCTGGACCTTTGCTGGTGTTGGAGTCACTTTAGTCGCTATATCCTAGTCTTGGTGCAATCGATTCCGCTCTTGCCAATCTCTCTGATCACGTGTCACTTGACTTGTTTTAAGTGTGTGTCACTAAAGTTCCCTCTTAAGTTTGACTTTCACAACGTCAGGATCGCTATTGGTAGTTGAGCTATAATCTAGTCGCTATCAGGCATTTCACTTGCACTGTCTTACCTTATTCCTCACTTTTGCTTCCTTTGATCTCTTCTCGCTGTCGCTAGTCGGACGTCGCATAGCACTATCGCATAAAACAACTTGCATAGCGCTACTCACTTATAACACACGTTTCTCTGTCGGAACTCACTTGTCGCTAGTCACTGATTGCTACAGCGCTACTCATCAGTTTTTGGTCTTAGGTCGCTATAGGTTATTAGTCCTTCACACTATTGCTACCCTTGCATATTAGAAGGGAGTTGCTTCAATAGCAGTCCTCTTGGGTCGAATACTACACTCGCGCCTATTTGGATAAGTAGCACTAGTTTCTAACCAGCCTAGTCACTATTACTCTTTCACACCAGTATAATACAGCAGCACTTGCACTCACTCCACCTCGTCGAACTCTTAAATGGGACAAGGTAATTGAATACGCGTTCCTGGCCAACTTTGACCTACTGCAAGACGCTCGGGAAGATGTGTCAGAGCATCCATGGGTGACACCAGCTGCTCGACAAGCAATGGACCTGTACTTCAAGATGTGTCGTGCCAAGGAGGAGATACTTCGTGTCAACGTCAAGATTCGACATCTTGTAACGTACATTCGAGATGAGGACCACTACTTATGTGCTTGTGAAGCACAAATGCTGCTCTCAGAACCTGCACTTGCTTATCAGATTGGTGCTTGACGTCTGATACGCGGTAGGGCCAATGGCCACCTTTTGCAGCATCTGGCACAGATTGCTGAACTCCCCGGATTCAGCGGTTGTGTGGTCCCTGGAGAAAGCTCCAAATTGTCTCCTGGGGATAGCACCAGCACAGCGCAGATTGTCATTCCAGCTCACATCCACATGCACGATAACATCACTCAATCACTCACTATTCCATCTCATACAGATGTCCTAGAGGTTCAGGATGAACTGGAGGAGGAAGAGGAAGATTCTGAAGCGGTAGAAGCGGCTGCACAAGCCCTACATGATGTTTTGCAAGTGTCCCGCGGACTGATTCATTTGTACTTTGGCATGTTTGGGAGGGGGAGGGAGAGCATGTCCTTAGGAGGGGTTCCAAGGCATTTGTGACATATATTTCAATAGAATTGTATACATTATGCTTACCATGACATTGTGTAAAAAATCTGACGCGAAACGGTGAAGGGAAGGGCTGATATGTGAGCTCACTGTGGTAGACAGCGAGGCCGAAGGTTTACAGGACTTGCCGAACATCGTCAGGGCCAGGAACGTCACATTGCCAGTGGGAATGATATTAATAGCATGCCGGGACATTGCCGAGGTACCTAGTGCCTAATTAGTACCGACTACTGTTGATTTTTGCTAAGTACCCACGCTAAATACCCAGCAATTATCCATCCAAGCGCTATATTGCTGTATCTACCTGTACTTAGAGGCGCCCAGGCAACCAACATCCACCTCTAATTACAAGGGTTACGTGGCAGTCACAGGTGGGCAGGTATATCTGGTGGCTAGCCAGTGGCCTATGGCTAGTTGCCAAATGTATATCCAATTTTGCATCTACTACAATATCACACCTGAGGCTAGATGGAGGCAGTCAAACTATAGGTGTGGGTATTGACAGAATATTAATTAAAATTAATTAAATTAAATAAGGAGAGGGAGGAGAGGGAAAACATTCCTTAGACACACGAAACGTTAAACCATCGCTATGATAAAAAGATGCTGGTTCGCAATAGCTACAATGGTGAAAGCTAAATGAGAGCAGTGAAGCAATCTAACCAAGTCATTTATTGAATGCCCTAAGTCGAAAATGAATCAACATGAAACAATGTGTGAAGACTCATCACAAAACATACTGGTTCGAGAGGTAATGTGCATTTATTGACAGCCCATCTTCCTGCACACTGAGTACTTGACAGTTGCGGCACTTTCATGGCTTGTTTGTGCGCTTGCCAGGTCCATTAACACCTTCTGAACTTCCTGTTGTAGTAGGGTGGTTGTCTGCCTTCCGTTTGCGCTCGCGTGATGATCCTGCAACTGAGGGATGCACGTGCATAGTGTCAGCATAAAGATAGTGGACTGCTGACCACTGCAGGGCATGGTCAGCAAGTAGCTTGCCAATCTGCCATGAGTTGACCTCATTGATGTCAACACATGGGTGATAAAACTAACTAAAAGCGGTATGTACTGCACTCAGCCGCTATCCAAAGGAAGGATGAGAGAACGACTTTATTCACCTAAGTAAAAGCAGTGTATACTGCACTACTACATAGCCAGATATAAAGTAAACATTAATGACAGTAAGTGCATACCTCAGCCACTATCCAAAGGAAGGATGAGAGAATGACTGAGGGAAAAATACACGACAAGGGTCCATTATATGATAGGAACGAGCTCGCTAAGATACCATGAGGCTCGCTTAAGAAATCCCTAACCTCTCTGCTATTATGTGTACACCTGAGCGCCTCTGAAGCGCACTCAAGCACGTGCGTGCCAAGTGCGCACACAGCAAATGCGAAAGTGCGCTTAAGCATGATGGAGCACCTCAGGCAGCACTTCTCGGTGCCTATAAAGGGTCTAAGAGACCCAGTTTCTATGTTATGGGAAACTAGTCTCTAAGACCCACCCTCCCGCCATCTAATAATAGTACATGCTCTCGCATTCCCTCGCAGGCCTCCAGCACCTCCTTACGAGCCTCCAGGGCCACTCCCATGTAGGCCTTCAGGATACCTCCAATGCTGTCAATCCTTCCAGACGCTATTCCGATGCCACACCCACTGCTATCTACTGTACTATCACTACCGCCCATCGTGCCTCCACTACCACCCGAGTCATATCTCCACATGCACTGTCACACGTTGTGCCCCCACTGCTGTGCTCATTCAATTTGTTCGTATACTTCCTCCACCAACACGAGCACTATTCAACATATTGCTTTTCTTGGGTCAGCTTGGTAGTTTTGCAGGTATGTTTCAATAGCTTTGCTCTAAGTACGTGATTATATCATTCCCAAGTTCTTAGTACACTAATTGGTATCCTGCACATCATCTCGCACCACTCTTGTACATCCGTTGCATCCTCAGATGCATCCTCTTGTATCATGGCACATCCTCTCGCATCCTCTTGTACCTCCAATGCACCCTCCAGTGCACCCTCTCGTGTCCTCTCATACTCCCAATGCACCCTCCAGTGCACCCTCCCATGTCCTCTCATATCTCCAATCCACCCTTTCGTATGTCCAGTGCACCCTCACACCAACTATTGTATGTTTTCTTGTCTAACGCCTGGCCTTCCCCTCATACCATCTTGATGTAATCACTTGCCTTCTTGCCTATCGTGGTCCCTTCATCAGTGTTGCCTATGTCCTGCTCTTCATGCTCTGTTCTTGACCGAGACATAACAACATACAATAATCCATCACTCACTGTGTCTTTTTGGTGCTGCTAATAATACACACATTTTGTGACTTTATGAGTGATCTCTTTCAGCCAAATTTCAGTCAAATATAAATGGTGCTCAGCTAACTACATTAACAGCCATGTTGTTCAGTGGTCAGGTGCATCAAGTGGAGAAGAAACGGTTGGCATTATTACATACAGGATTAAACATAGTCTGAAAAAAACACCAATGTACATATCAGAGCTGGTGCTTAGAGGTGCGGAAGAGGGTGGAAGAGGCTATGCAGAGGTGTGTGGAGGTCATGCAGGAGCCTCTACTAGGAGGTATGAGTAGGAGCACCACAGAGGGCCAAGAGGAGCAGCAGGAGCTTCAAGACTGATAACAGAGCTCACAGGAGGGTAGACTACAGAGAGGCATGAGAGAGGTTCTATTATCCTCAGAGGTCTCGTGCTCACACAAGAGGGTAGGTCTCAGAGAGGTTTAGTACACCTACGAGAGGGTAGGTCTCAGAGACTAGTTACGCTCTACAAGGAAACTGGGTCTCTTAGACCATGGGAATGGGCAAAAGTGCTGCCAAGGGTGTGATGGAGTGTGTTGAGAAGCACGAAGTGTGATGAAGTGCCTATGTACATAATGAAGGCACAGAGTGCGCAGTCAAGGCTGAACTCATCTGGTTTTGTCAATGGGCTGGCTGCCAGCAAGTCGTGCAGGGTTGTGGGGAGTGCTGTGGGTGCTTTGATGGTGACATTGGTTGGGGCAGAGCAGATGAGAGCACGAATGCGCCAACTCGCTTCAGTGTTGAGCGAAATCGTGTTTTGCTCATTGCAAAAATCTGTCCATGTCTTGTAGTATGTCTTGAGGTGTTCTGGGAGCTTTTCAAATGTCAGCAAGTCATCATTGCAAATTGTGCAAACACAACACAAAAACCATACCTTATAGAAAATATTATGACCATCAGCATGTCCAGCCCAAACGACTGCGAGAGCTGTCCAGTTCGGTTGCTGGTTGGAATCTGAAAATAATGGGGACGACTGGATGAGGAGCTGGAAAAGGTCACGTTCCTTGTGTGTGTGGCCAGGCAAAATTGCCACGAGCGTGCCCTGGGACTCTGCAATGAACTTGTGCCAAATGTTCTGCTTGCATGCAAAGACTTCATTGAACTCCAACATTCCGAGTGGTTTGAAAAACACGGGCAAAAACTGGATCATGCTGAAAGTCTTGTGTGCGAGCTCGTAGTCATTGCTGTTCACCCAACCACACCGAAAGTTACTGCTTTCAGGAACTAGTGCATCCATTGTTAAGGTCAGCAGTCAAGAAATATGATTCTTTAGGGGGATATTAAAGTGTCCAACATATGCTTTGCCAGTGCAGTTCATGTTGCCAACCTGCAACTGTACATGTGAGTGTGCATTTTGAATTAAATGAATGAATGACAGACCATCATATTGTGACAAACAGCATAGTCAAGTAGCACATTAATAGCATGACGAGGCAATGTATTAAATGATGTGTAGCGCCATATGAGATTCTGGTGAACGCCACCTTTGACACTGTTGGTGCCACGGCAACAGCGATACAACATCAGGCCATGCTGATCTTTCCCGATCTCAAAGTAAAGGTCAACATCTGCAGGATCTGAGTAGTATTCAAGCTGTACATTTTCCATGACGTGTTTTGCAATTTCCCAAGCACAGTCATTGAAAAGTGGTTGTCCCGTCATTGCATCCTTGATTGGACCATAGGTTCTGATGACATCGGCAACACGGGGCAGGAGAATTTCAGGTGGAGGTACATGACACCGGACATGTGACAGCACCCACTCAGGTTTTGACAAAAGCTAGGCATTGTATGTTGTCCCGAAGTCCTTCAGTACTGCTTCCATGGCAGACTTGTCCTCCACGACTGGTATGAAAAATGCTGCACTGAGTGCTCGTGCAAACGGCCGTCTGAGCCCATGGTGGTGAGCGATCGGGAATTGATTGTAGCAATGAAAATTATCGTATAGAATACATGAATGAATGATAGAGTCGTTCCTTACTGCAACATTCACGTAGGGCTCCATGACCCCCACAAGTGCAACTTCTGCAGCTGGATCTCGCAAGGAGCCCTTGATAGTCTGTTCAGGTGTCATATCCCATATTCCGGACCTTTGTCCGATGATGTTCCCACGCCTTCCGGATGCACATCCGGACCTCCATACCCTTATCCATGACTCCATACCCTTATCCATGCCTTCAGTCCTCCAGTCCACTATCAGTTTGGATCTGTACACCTTCGTACATCCATATATCAATACCTTCGGACCTCCGCAGCTAAGCCTGCTTCATCCACCCTTGGTCCTATCGGATCCGAGCTCATTCCATCTCGGACTCTACCTTCCCTAGACTACCGGTCTATATCCATGATCCATATCCTAGTCTCGTATTCACCTAGATCTCCGGATCCGCTCATCTGATATCCAGACACTTCATCCGATATCTCTAGACCTCCGGATCCGACCTATACTCATATCCGAAGCCCAAACCTTAATTCAGTGTCTATCTCCTTATGGTAATCCCCTTGACTCCAGACTTCGGTTATCTCAGTTTCCGTCTTGCTTATTGATCCTTGTACTCTGTTCATATCCGAGTTCATTTACTTATGTTCCGTTCATACTTACTAATATGTTTCCACATGCTCGTACATAGCATTTGTGTTCGGTTTACCGATCCTCTCGGATCCCTTCCAGTATATAAAGGTCTGTACAACTCCTGTAAAGTTTCCTTAGTTTGAATATCATCTTAGACTTTGCTCTTCCACATTAGACTTCACTCATTCTTGTCTCGGACTTTGGTCCATCTGAGTTCTGCCTTTCCATCAAGGCCTAGGGATGGATTCCCTAGGCCGGAAATCCAGACCTTCGGATTTGCCCCCTATGTCTCTGTTCTGAAGTCTAGGGATTGATTCCCTAGACCGAAGTTATGCCTTTCCGGCACTTCCTGTCTTTCCGAGACTTCTGTCTAAACCCCATCTATCCGACTCTACCATAGTGTAGTCTACCTCTGTTTGTTTCTACTCCGGACCTTGTCCATAGTAGCCTTTCCCCTCCTTTCCTAATCCTGTTCACTCATCCGGTCCTCATAAACCTTCGGACCTTCGGACATTGTAACCTTCAGACGTCGTAACCTTTGGACGACATAACCTTCGGACGACGTACCCTTCGGATGTCTTAACCTTCGGACCTCCGGACGTCCTGTCCTTTGGACCACTCCTCCTATCCTATCCTGCTTTGGACTCTGTCCCTTGCAGCCTATCCTTTATGTATTTCTATCTAGGGAACTTACCTTGGGAAGTCTTACCTTCGGATCTAATACAGTGGATGAAACTCCTCCGGAAGTTTCTCGCACTCATCTGGAAGTCCTCTAGCACTCTACTAGAGTAGCCAGCCTCTGGAAGTCCTTCGGACTTCGTCGGATTCCATCTGGACTTCATTCTGAAATTAAGGGCACGTACTTGGGTAAGGGGCACAGCGCACGAGCTGAGGCCAAGCCCTTCGGATCCGTTAACCCTTGAGCTACGGTCTTAACATCAGGGCTGGTCTCCGAATCACCAATCACACTCATCCTCATTCAGGACAAGAGTGCTCATCAGAGGGCTGCTGCTAACAATATATCCTGCATCCAAGACTCCAGACTCGGGATCCTGGTGGTCACCAAGGGTTTCTGTGCATGAACCAGATGATGGACCATCAGAGCCTTCGTCGTGAGTTGAGGGGCAGATGTGAAGGTTTTGGATATCAGCAACAATAGAAAATGGAGTACTGCTGAATGATGCGAGTGATTTTGCCTGCTTTGCTTTCTGTAGGTGAGCAGGAAGCAGGAAAGATGGCACAAGCACTTTAGAAACTGTCATCACGACTCGTTTCGGTGACACGTCAACACCATTGAGGGCAGGAGGACGTTTGAGGGCCACAATTCCTGTGAGCCACCTCCTGTCCATCAGGTGCCAGGAGTGCAATTGCAGTCCCACTAGGGGTGGTGGCCACAACAGGCTGAGCAATGTCCATTCCCACAAGCTGTAAATGCACCTGGGAAGACAGCATAGACATTGAGCACAGCATAGATTGATGTACTCCTGGGGGAGCACTGCATCAGCCCACCAAGGGCTAACACAGACTTGGGGGTCCTTTGGTAGGTGCCTGCCAAGAAGTATTCTAACAAGTTTAGCAAGCTCCACAGTCCTCTTCACAGTAGCACCACGCTCCTTAGCCATTGCTCCCAGTTCCACGTGTCCTGCAAACGGTTCATCTGATGCTGTGCCATGATACATCCCGCAGTCATTCTGCAGCCGCTTGAAGTCAGCTCTGACTGAAACACCAACTTTCTTGAATAGTGATGAATACAAAAACACGAGGAGGGAGTGTGTGAGCTTGATGACACCATTTTCAAGAAACAGAGCAGTCTGGATGTGTGTGCAAACATGTAAGGAACCAGACATCACAGGAAAATTTGCCACTGACCTTAATTAGATAGACAGTATTTTGATATGCCACTTGAATCAAGTCAACTGGACCGTGGATTCTGGTCTCCAAATTGACCAGCCATTCCATGTCGAATGCAACCATAATGTTTGGGTTTGTCATCGTTCGGTGGTTCATGATGACATCAAAGCGGTGATTGACTTGATGGGTGTTGCTCAGCTCGACAATGGTCCATGATCCATGAGAAAATTCAAGCAGGGGAAGGGAACTATGTGGGAGGATGGGGACAACATCTTTCAAGAGGGACAGGAACACTTGCTCGAGTTCATTTTGTCTGTGCGGACATTATCGGTGAAAACAGCCTGGACCTCTGGATGTCCAAACTTCACCAGTGACTCGCTGATTTCATGCAGATTGGGCATGTATTGATCATGTCCCTTCGTCATCATGAAGAGCATGGACCAAATCTCAGAGTACTCGTTCACCACAGTATGTATGAAGTGCAGTGAATAAGGGAGCACTGCCCACCCTACCGAGCCGTTTGATAATCTGCTCGCTCAATACATGTCAGAGACAGGGCAGATACTGTATGATAAAACTAGGCACCTTCAAGCTATGGTCAATTGCGAGCACTCTCGCTGGGAGCATGGCAATACACTGTTTCATCTCCATCAATCGCTGTTCGATAATCATGTCATAAAAGTGACAGAGGTATCCTGCACTTGGTACAAATCCAGCATAGCCATTTCAGTCACTGAACGAGCCAAATGCTTGCTTGCAAACCCAAAACTGTTTTGGACAACTTTTGTAGCTGGTCGTGCACGAGCTCCAGGTATTGAAGGTGAAGATTGTCGAAGTTTTTGTAGTGGAATGACTGCAACACCTGCATGAATGGCACTGGTCCTATCCCTGCCCTGATCAAGGAGTGCAAAAGCAAAACAAGGCTATTTGAGAGGCCACTGCAGTAAGTCAATTGGAAGGGGAATTGCATGGCCACTGGTGCAGGAAGAACATTGAGAATTGCGAAGCTCCAGCTTCGATATGTCTTGCAGCATCCAGGGTGGACACAGTTATAGCAGTACCCAATGATAAAGACATTCTGAAATACATCAACCACACATCGAGGCTTGCCAATCCATCCGAGCCGCTGAAGAAAAACTGGCTTTCCTTGGTTTGTCAGCTCGTTGTTTGCTTTGCATTGAGGGCAGGGAATGCGGTCACCCAGCAAACAGTATGGGAGCCAAACAAAGAAGGCTGGTTGATGGAATATTGAGGGCTCGTCGGCAATGTTGGGTTGTGTCAGCAAATCAGAAAGGGTGAAGCATCCCCAACCCAGAGTCGCTGCTGCTCATAGCACTTGGGCATGGCTGGTGTTCAGGTACTCTGCTTGATTTCTTTTTTCAACATCGTCTCTACAACTTTATAGGACTTGCTAAGCCAAAGTGGTATTGTTGACCTCAATGAAGATCTGCCTACAGACCCAGATGTCGAAGTCCCCCTTCCATGCTCCGTGTCTTCATCCTCCCCTCCATCATCAGGAATGGGGCAAAACTTGTCTTCCAGGGATGCTTCCTCATCCTGATCACTTTCAGTGTCGTCACGAGGGGCAGGCACTTCGAGATCAGAGCTATACGGGTTCTCAGGAACTGAAGTTCAAATAATGTGTGAGCACGGACACCACAGAAGCAGCTACAGCAAAGACGTACCATCAATAAGACCCATTGCACTCTACAGCTCAACTGTTGGTGATGGTGGCAGTGCAGGTGCATTTGCATTGTGCCTCCACGGCTGCTGCTGAGGCATCCTGCTACTCATAGCTACCGACTCTGCAGGTGGATCAGCCTCGTGTATAGTAGTGGCTGGTCCAGACTCAGAGAAGTCCTGTGGCTGGTGGGTTAAAGTTTGAGGCGAAATGCTAGCAGCAGGCTCGGATTGCTGTTCTTGGGCATCAGTACTGATGGGCAAAATGTGCGGTGTTCGCACAATGGTTGAGGCAGTAGGTGCCTCCAACACTTTGGGAGGCAAATATTAGCATGATAGTAGAGCACCAGAGATAACGGTTAGTAGACATTAGATACTCACCTAGGTTGGCACCCTGCATGGCCTGTTCAAAATGCAAGGGTTGTCTGCTTCAAAGGTACCTCGCTGCAGGCTGCAGAACAAGGCACAATTGGAAGTGTGGGAGGGATGGTGTGAACCCTCACAGGAGGATCAAGGTTTTCGAACACCTCCGAGTCCAAATCCACATCAATTGCAAGGGCTCTGCATGATGTCGGAGTGGATTCTGAGAAGCAGGGTGGCATGAATGAGAGGTCATCATTAGTTGATAGATTTTATGACTCACCTTTGCCACAATGTTGAACCTTGTCATTGCACGGTGTTTGCATGGCGCTATGTGAGGTGTTTGGTACTGATTTTCTTCATTAGTCAAGATGCTTGAGGAACAATACAAAACAATTCTCACCTGGAGTAGTACTCTCTGCATCATTGTGTCCATTATGCTGTTTTCGAGGGGGCTGTCCATCATTGCGTGGCCTGCCAACATGTCCTGCACCTGGTTGATTATTGCTTCCTCTTGGTCTTCCACACCCTCGCTTGATGGGTGGTGCTGTCGGCTTCATGCGAATATGATCTGCATGACGTCCTGGGAAAGAAGTATGATGAGATGCTCATAAGAGGAACTGGATGTTGAAGGCCAGATGCTTTGCACTGAGTGGTCCGTCCCGGCCCGCGTTAGGTTAGGTTTCAAACTCCAGTTAGGACCTAATGGCCCACACCTATAGTTTGACTGCCAAGACGGAATCTGTCTGTGGGACAGATTGGTATCATATCAGCAGAAATATTTTGCATTGGTAATAGAATCTGTACCACAGTAGTATTGATATCAAATTTTACATATGTTTGTGATATGACATTTAGGCAAATTGGGGGACAATATCCTAAATCTGATGGCATCTCATATCCAAACTTTGAAATAAAATCTGTTTTGCTCTAAAATACATGTCATATATAGAATTTGAGCATGAATATGGTGGCTGATCAATTTTAATTACAAATTTTAAATATGAACCCTATACATATTTGGTGTGGAGCTTTCTTATTGGTCAGTCACCGAACAAATTCAGAATAACACAAACTGGATCTGCACATACAAAATATCATTGTCATAATTTCAATATGAGCATGGATCTGGTGTGAAAACAAAGGCTTCCTTTCAAATTCTAAATACTGTTGTCTATATATTCTGCATTTGGAGATAAATCTGGTAGGCAATCAATTTTGACCACAAATTTTACATTTATGTGTTATTTGTTCAGGTTCAACATTGAACAATAGATGTAAAATACTTTACAAATATGTTCTGCATATTACCCTCCAGCCAATCCAGCAATGTCTCTGGTGTCACTCACCTCAACCCCACATAATTTGGACCTTATTAGATCATAGCAGCGGCTCGCTGCCAATCCCCGACTCCCTGTACTGGTGTCTTATTACTTAAGGGTCTTATATACGATGCATATATAGTGACAACACAACTATACAGGATAAGACTTCTTGCCAGTCCTTAATGTTCTGTCTGGACACGAATTTCACTTGAGAAATTCAAATCAAAATTCACCTTCAGCGTCATGTGACTCTGCTCCCACGACCTTCGGAAGTCACCTGGGCATATGCTCTGCTATCATGATAACCAGGGGATATATGATATCCATCCAGCGCACTGACTCAGTACAACACCCATAATGGACATCTCACTACAGCAATGGCATGCAGATGTCCGTTGACGCCGACTTACTTTCATCTTCATGTGCATTGCTACATAAGTTGTGTATCTGTACCAATTATTATTCCTATCTACAAATGCATGTATTCCATACCACACATCAGCCTTGACTGGTGAAGCATGGATTTATGAGCTTATGACAGGTCACCCTGATAGAATCCACCACAATCTTGGGGTTAACCTTGAAGTCTTTGAAGTGCTGGTGAAGATTTTGCAACAAAATGGTATCCAAGTGTCTCGCAACGGCATATCAGTAGAGGAACAACTGGCAATTTTTTTGTATGCCTGTGTAACTGGGCTTTCAACTCGCCATCTCGGTGAGCGATTTCAGCATTCCCCTGATACCATTGCCAGGTGGGTACTCAGCCTTTGTCTGAGTCATATCAATATCCTACTGAATTATGTTGTGCTAGGTACTTTAAGCACTTGCTTAACTTTTTCTCGGACGACCTATTCTATTCCTCGCAAGTCCGCTTACCCGACGATTGAGACTCCCCTATCCTCCAAAATTCTGGACGACCCTTGATTTTGCTTTTTGATGAATGTATCAGTGCCGTAGATGGCACACACATCCAGATCTTCGCCTCAGCCAACCAGCATGCCACCATGTGCAACCGCAAAGGATTTTTATCCCAAAACTGTCTCTTTGCAGTGCGACCACGATTTTTTATTTATATACTCACTTTGCAGCTGGGATGGCTCTGTTGCCGATGGTGCACTCTGGAATGATGTGCGCGCCCATGATTTTGCCTTGCCCCCAGGCAGATATCTACTTGCGGATGCTGGCTTTGGGACATGTGATGCACTGTTAGTGCCATACCGTGGTGTCTGTTACCACCTGAATGAGTGGCATCAGGCCAATCAGCAGTAATGTTTTTTTTTTTCATTTCAATACTTTATTTTCTAACACATGTCTAGGCTGCGGACCCCAGAGGAGTTATTCAACCACTGACACGCATCTCTTTGCAACATCATTGAACGCATCTTTAGAGTGATGAAGCACCAATGGCGCATTCTTCAGGTGCCGCCGGAGTATCATATGGACATCCAAGCACGTGTCCCCGATGCACTCTGTGCTTTGCACAACTTTGTTTGCAGATACGACCCTGCCATTTTTGATGAAGAAGCTGATGATCTGTTGGAATATGACTCTGAGGGAGGAGGGGGTGAGCTGAATGAACTTGGTGATGGCCCAGCAGATACTTTGGAGAGGCGGAGAGCTGATGATCATTGTGATCAGATTGCTAGGGAGATGTGGGAAGATTATCTTGCAGTGCGTGCGGCACGAGGTGACCCAGTTAATTGAAGTTATACTACTAGTGTGTGCGCTCTGTATCTCGACAATTAATTCAATTGTTTGCATGTATCATAGCATTTGACAAGTATGTGAAAGAAGTATATGAAGCAAGTTAATCAACAGTATCGATGTGCATGGCACGAGTTTCACCAAGCCTCCTCTTCACCCAATTGGCCCTCAGATTGTCGCCCTTCAAGTATAAAAACACCATGGCCTGATCTTTGTCCCTCACAAACAACTGTGTCATGTCCAACTTGTCGTCATCAGACATGTATGTGGCATCACTGATGACTTGAATGGCACGCGCAAAGTCAGAAGCAGGTGCAACAGGGGCCACAAGAACTGGGGGTACACTAAGATGCTTGCTCACGGCCTCCATTGCAGTAACAAGCAATGTCATTGCTGCACTACCCTCCAGCTGGGCTCTGGCAGTTGCAGATGGTGGGCGAGAGCGCTTTCCCGATGGAGCATCGCCATCAGAACCCAGTGCAGCTGGCCTTGCGCTTGTTAATGCTGAGTGTGGGCTTGTCGATGGGCGAGAGCGCTTTCCTGATGGAGCATCGACATCAGAACCCAGTGTGCTGGCCTTGCACTTGCCCTGGCTGGCACTTGTCAATGCTGAGGGTGGGCTTGTTGAAGGAATGCGTGATGACGTGGCAGGGGATATGTGGAAGTAGATGATGCAGGAAAATGGCCCATGTCTGCAGAAATCTCGTCAGGTGGCTATAGATAGCTCACGGAGGTGGAGTTCTGCAGGAGGGTGAGTGCTAGTGGAAGGTATCATGGAAGGTGGGGGCATGCTGGTAGTAGATGCGGTAGAGCTGGTGTGATTTTTTTCTGATGGCGACAGATGTGAATTCCTTTGTCTTTTATGCCGACTGTCAGCAAGTCAAAGATCTCAAAATGTTCGAATCCTTTGTTCTTGAATTGTCTGGCATTCAGATTTGACTTGAAAAAAAAGATTAGGATCCAGAGCAGTGATGGGGAGCACAGTACTCACTTTGACATATCCAGCCCAAGCGCTAGTGGTGTCCTTATCTATGGTTGCCCCCCCCCCCCCACTCCTGTCCATGTGAATCTTGATGACAATCCACCAACTTTAAGTGCTTGAGCGGCGAGATAAGCCTTCTTGAGAGCTGAAAACTTTGACTTGCAGGCTGAAATTGTTTTGTCCCCACCCTTCTGGTTTTTGAAGTGCTTTGCAAGGTATGCAGAAGCTTCTGTATAGGTTCTCTTGGGGAAGGTGGCACCATCTGTGCCAGACCTGTTATCATAGAGGTATCTAAGGAAGGCAGTCTCCTCTTCCAGTCTCCAATAAGTGGCCTCTTTACGGCCAGATACAGATTGCAGTTGAGGCTCTGTGGCACCACCGGTGGAGTCTCCAGAGTGATGAGAGTGAAGAGAGCGACGAGAGTGGTCAGAATCCGACATATAGTCCATGCATATGATGATAGTATGATAATGAGTGCCAATCTCATTCTGAAGGTCGTGGGAGTAGAGTCACATGATGCCAAAGGTGAATTTCAATTTGAATTTCTCAAGTGAAATTCGTTTCCAGACAGAACCTAAGTACATGGTCTACGACTTTTCTAGTTTTCGTGGTAGATAACATGCTGAGTTCTTGGGAGGAATGTCTTTCAATATTCTCCTTCTTGTTCCTTGGTTAGTTTAAACCTCATGGTCTCGAAATACTGAGTGTGAAGTTTGTATGTGTTTTGGCAAGTGTGTGCCCATGGATTCATGAAGTCTGTCTCGTGATTCGTGTCTCCCTTTCTGAAAAAGAGAGAGGAAAATAGTGCTGATGGACTTTAGCTAGGTAGCTGTACTTTGTTATATAGTCAACTTCTGTAAGGTAGTATATAACCTGAATATATGTTTCTTATTCTAAACTTCAAGGCTGCTGAATGGCCTGCACTTAGATCTTACTGGTTCTCACACGGTTTGAGAAAAGAGTTAAAGTGGGAAGCTTGAATTGCATGAGTGAAAATGGGCTCCTTATATACCTTTTGGGAGGCCATCTTACTAAGCATGATTCATCACATAGATTGGTAAGAATCTGCTTACAAACTTGTGTTGAGTCAGCTTGTTTATTAATGTACATACAAAACGAAGTATAGTATTACAAAGAATGAAAAATGAAAAGCATGAGTTATCACATGGATTGGTAAGAATGTGCTTACAAACCAAGTCCTTAGGTGTGCTGAATCAGCCTTATGACAAAGTGGATTACAAATACAGTTGCAAGTTTTACAAAGCATGACGAATCATGACCAAATATGATGAGTCAAGTTGAATCCTTACAAATCAGAGTATTTCCCAGTCACATGACATGATTACTAACATGTTTGGTGGCTTGAGGAAAAGTCTGGTGGCTATGTAAATGTGCCTAGAAAAATAGAAAGAGATAGAATCTCATGGAACAAAATAGAAATACATAGAAAAAATAGGAGTGAAGTTTGAAAGTGAAAATACTAGCTAAGAAATGAATGAAAAATGATAAGGTAACTTGGTGATAGGAATCAGTCAGGTGTCTTCTACCTTCCCTGTCACTGCTGTTGTGTATATGTCATGGTATGAATCACATACTATGCATGACACCGGTTGATTACTTTTTTTGAATACATTCTCACAATGTGTGCAATACATTCATTTCTTTGTTTGCTTCAGACTGCAGCACAACTGGGTCCTTCCTAAATTTATGTTCAAATATCAGTCTCACCATTACCCATTGTTCATCTGGTGAAGAGGTGCACCTGGTGTCTGACCTCTCTTGATTATCTGATGTATCTCTCCGCTTGGCTCCAACAACAATTCATTAGATAGCAAAGATAACTCAGCACATATCAATGAGAAGCAAGTAGGGAACTGCATGGGTATTAGAGGCCATACCTGCACCTGTACCCGGTGAAAACCTGTACCCACTCTGATAGGAACAGGTTTTTGGCAGGTACAATGAGCACTGACCCATACCTGCACTCACACAGGGTTTACCCATGGGTACCATACACAAATAATAAATTTATTAGACACTGAAACCATGAATAAGCAAGAACAGGAGAGAACAAGCACAAACAAGTGAGCATAAATGAGTGCAAACAAGCGCGAATGAGCGCAAACAAATGAGCCTGAATGAGTGTTGATGGCAAAGCAAAAGTGAGGAGAGGAGTGCTGAGGAGTGTTGAGGAGTGTTGAGGAGTGTCATGGTGTCTAAGGAAATGAGGCCAGTTGATGCAGTGAAGCAGCATAAAATGAACAATACATGCACCTTTGCAGCTTAGAGCAAGACACCCACAATCCCTTCAAAGTCCACCTCGATTGCACCCAATACCATCGACCTCCAGTAGACCACATCTTGAGATGGTGGCTGCGACTGCGTGGTTACTCATTTAGAAGAAAGAAAAATAACATTGTTAGAAATGGGAGGGGGGGTGCAAAAGTAGGTACTTACTCCTCCTCCTTCCTTAGAGAAAGACCTCCACAATCACTCCAAGTTCACACCAGCTCAAACAATCAGACACTTTGTCTGTAGGGACTTGAAGATAGGCATTGTGTTGAAGAAGATGGAGGGACATTGTTGCAGTGTTCCCCAATAAATGATGGATGACTATGGGCTCGAACAACAAGACATTTTGTCTGTGGGACTTGAAGATAGTTGTTGTGTTGAGGAGGTGTTGTGTTGAAGACGATTAAGGGACATTTCCAGGGTAGTATGTTCAAGGAATTCAGCTTCTTCTTTGGAGATACATTCCTATTTCTAAATACATGAAAGATGGGAGTAGAGAAGAGATGGGAATATTGTTTAGACCAAGGTAACACTTTGACTAAGAAGTCCTTCTTTTTGAGGTGGTTGGCCACAAATTGAGTGACAGTTCCTGTAGAGTATTGAGTTAAATGCTATACAATCCCAAAAAAACAAACTTACTTTGAACATAAAACAAGTATATCTTTGCTTCAATGTGAATCTTTGAAGAGGTAGGCATATTACCAGTTGTCACATATGCAGATGACCCTCATGCAAGTGGAAGTAATAATGAGCATTACAATACTGAGGGCATGCAGAGATGGCAGGGCATTGATAGAGACAAGCCCGAGGTGTGCATTGTATCACTGCACTAAGTTAATGGTTAGACTAGCCTCCTTACCTTTTCTACAGATTCATGCAGTCATAAATAAGGTCAATAACAGGACAATTGGCCCTGACATCAGCATATGACTTGATGTGTTCATCACTGAAAACCAAGGTCAAGGCTGCCATGGCTATGGCACAGCCAACTAAGGAGATAGCATATTGTAGATGTGAGCTAAAGCTAGAAAAGCTAACTTTTGAGCAGGATCACTGTTCTTATGTTGTTAATGAAGTTAGAGCATCTTGGGATGCAGATAGAGTACAGTGGAATGCTCAATGCAAGCAGTGAGACAATTCTTATCCTGAGGTTAAAATGGATCTTAAGAATCTCAAATCTGGTGAAATTATGGTTAACATAGAGGAAGGAGAAGTATGCTAGTGGTCTAGTCCTGTACATTGCTCATATATGATACTGTTTCTAATAATAAGGTAAGAAACTGCTTCTACAAACTTGTACTGAAGGACTGGCAACTGCATAACACTTTTGATGTGTGATGATGAGCTAACCATAAGCTACCAATCTTCAACCATCAGGTCTTCGTCCTCATCCTCTCCTGCTTTGAGATCAAGGAAAATACTCCTATGCTAGAGTATGTAAGCATATAGATATGGATATGTGCTGAGAACTTCCTAGATAGCTAGGATTATAAATTGATTTCCTAGAGGATTTGGCAAGTACTTCATTTTCTAAAGTCTGAAGTTCATGAGGTGCAAGTTCATTATCTGCATCTCCTGAAAATCTTCCATGGCCTCCAACCAATTATCCACAATATATTAGTCACCCAAGTAATTGTTTATCACATTTAGTGTCTTGCTATAGCTGGTGGTATTAGATGTTAAGAAGGACTTGAAGATGTCCCATGCGTAAGGATCTGCCAATGGTGACCCGAGTCCCAAATCAGTTGTGTCGAGATCAGTCAGGGCATTATGGAATATGTAAGACACTAGTGTACAGGTCCACAGGGCTTTGTTAGCTGAATAATAGTAGTAGTAATGTAGTATAGTCTGAATCATTTAATAGCATATCTTAATTATAGAATGAAGATGTGGGATAAGGATTACTAATATTGCAGGAAAAAAAATCTATTGAGACTTATAAGCTCTATTGTGATTGGCTGGTCATAATAATCTTGTGTACAGTGCCTTTTCAATTAGCATATATATAGAAGGGACCATAGGTAGCTCAGATGTTATAGGTGCTTGACTCATGGATGAAGATGTTAAGGAAGAGGTAAATGATAATGGTGAAAATGATGATGACATCTCTTCCTCCAGAACTCTAATAATGACAAATTGACTTTGTATTTCTTGCTCAATTTTTAGAAGCTGTCCTGAGGTCTGTTACTAGCATTAGTACTTGAGCTAAGGACATCAACTCTTATCATGAGTGCTACCTGCTATCCAGCATAGGATCCAGCATAGGTAAAAAATGGACATTGAAATGACTTTTATATATACTCCAGCAGAGCCTCAATATAAGCTTGCTGTAACACATACTTCTTACCATTGCAGAACATCATTAGATCTCTAAGATTCTGTCATAAAGAACTAATGATGTCCTACAAGCCCAGCTTGGTCATAGTCAAGAGACCAGTAATCACATGTATGCCTGAGCACATCAAAATTACTCTTAACTGACTAACTTAATAGCTCACCAAACCATGTTGTTTTGCAACCTCTGGCAGAAACCACTAGGCATTGGAGGGGAAGTTTCAAATGAAGAAGTAGCCCTTTCCCTCTAGCAATTATATTCTCAACAGTGGTCTTCCTCTAGGAAGACCTTTTCATTGCTGTGGAAAACACCTTCTGTAGTCTCTATTTTGATTCTCAGAATCATCTTGTCAATATAGAGTATTGCTTGGCCCAGCTAAACAACACTATCATCAATTGTACAAGAATTACTGCTGTTGACAGCTGCTCCTTAAGAGGTCCTATCTTAACTACAACAACATTTTAACTTGAATGCTAGTCTTAGGACTGGGTGACATGCTAGCCAAGGCAATTACTAAGGAAGACAAATCCATAGCTTTGCTGATGTCCTGGGCCATAGCTATGGTAGTACATCAATTGCTCAGATTATTGAACCAAAGGTATGTAGAAAGTGTTACTAGATTTAGTAGCCTGACATATATGGTAGCAAGTAACAGCAGATAGCAGCTTCATAGAGAAATATCACACACTACTAGGTACATTGTCTTGAACTACAGTTCCAGCTAGGTTGTCTCAATAACCATTGCATAGCACCATTAAGGTGATACATGGCTTAAGGGAAAATAGATCCCTACACTCACTCCTAGCTTTTAGC